CTTTTGCCTTGAGGGTTCCATGTGAGGGCTTGTCTTTTGATGCAGTTTGGTGCTTTTCGTAGTGTGTGTCCTATCCACTTCCACCGCTTCTTCTTGATTTCCTCCTCTACTGGAATCTGGTTTGTTCTCTCCCACAGTAGGTTGCTGCTGATAGTGTCTGGCCAACGAATCCGAAGTATTTTGCAAAGACAACTGTTAATAAACAATTGTATCTTCTGGATGATGGCTTTGATAGTTCTCCATGTTTCCGCTCCATACAGTAGAACTGTCTTCACATTTGTATTGAAAATCCTGATTTTGGTTTTGTTTGAAAGTTGTTTGGAGTTCCAGATATTTTTCAACTGTAGAAATGCAGCCCTCGCTTTGCCAATCCGCGCCCTCACATCTGCGTCGGATCCACCTTGATTGTCGATGATGCTGCCCAGATATGTAAAGGTTTTAACGTCCTCCAAGGCATCTCCTTCAAGAGTGATTTGCTTGGTGCATGTTGTGTTGCATCGGAGAATTTTGCTTTTTCGTTTATGTATGTTGAGACCTACTGCTGCAGAGGCTGCTGCTACACTGGTTGTCTTCTCTTGCATTTGTTGTTGCGTGTGCGATAGAAGAGCCAGGTCATCTGCGAAGTCCAGATCGTCCAGCTGCGTCCTAACTGTCCAGTTGATACCATGCTTCCCTCCAGATGTCGACGTTTTCATAATCCAGTCGATGACCAGGAGAAAGAGAAAGGGTGAGAGTAAGCAACCTTGCCTGACACCGGTCTTCACCTCGAAAGAGTCTGTCAGCTGACCTCCGTGCACGATTTTGCAGTTGAATCCATCATAAGAATTCCGTATGATGTTAACTATCTTCTCAGGCACACCGTAGTGTCGAAGAAGCCTCCACAGTGTTTTCCTGTCCACGCTATTGAATGTTTTTTAGTAGTCGATGAAGTTGATGTAGAGTGGTGAGTTCCATTCAATTGATTGTTCCACAATGATCCGTTATCAATGTTAGACCAATCTTAAACCCTGGAAACACTGGACGGCCATTTCGTCCTAATATATGAGGCTTATCAGTAGTGCGTATTCACGAAACTTGAACATCAGAATCGAACCTAGGATCATTGGTCTCTCTCGGAAACGCTTAAGCTCTAAACCACTGAACCGGAGTCCAACGGTGTTAATGTCTAATTTCTTCCTTAGCTGGAATTCGATTTGTTACTGGTGGTATCTGGTCGATGGACCCGCAGTATCTTACGTAAACAATTGTTAATAATTATATTCATCTTTTGAACGATATCTTTCATAATTTTTCAAGAGTCAGATATTTGTGTGGAAAATTGGGACTTTGATGTTTGTTGATTGACACTTATTTTGAGTTCCAGATGTTCTTCAATTGTATAAATGCTATCCTTGCTATGCCGACCCACGCCTCCATATGTGCATCAGATCTACCTTGTTTTTCACTGATGCTGCCCAGATATGCAAAGGTTTCTACATCATTCAAAGCTTTTCCGCCAAATGGGATTTGGTTGGTGCATATTGTGTTGTATCGGAAAATCTTACTTTTCCTCTTGTGTATGTTGATAGCTACTACGGCAGAGTTTGCTTCTACACTGCTTATCGTCTCTCATATTTGTTGCTGGTTTTTTTTGGTAGAAGATCTAGGCCATTTGTGAAGTCTTAGTCACCTAGCTTCACACGAGCTTTCCAGTGTATTCCGTTCTTCCCTGCAGATGTTTAGGTTTTCCTAATTCAATGAACCACCTGAGGAAAGAGAAATGTTGAGAGTAAGCAAACTTGTCTTGTAGTTAAATAGAACACAGATGAGGGCAACCAAATTGTATTTATCTCAAATTGCAGAGTTAATTGTTAAAGTAGGAAAACCATATCGTAAATCGTTGATTTGTAAAATATCAATTCATCATATCGAACTGGACTGTTCCTGTTGCAAAACATCAATCCATTGTCTGACATTTCACTGTTCATGCGTTTCATACAAATCCAATTGTGTTCACGCTCTTCCTTTCTTAATGTTCCCCCATCTTCTGCTGCCAGACATTACGTTTACACTCACGTCATATACTACTTATAAGTAGCGCGCACCACACTCTGATATTGGTTCTCATTTGGAATAAGTCTATGAGCTAAATACTACTTATGAAGTTAGTGAAATGAAAAAATAATCGAGTTAAACATTAACACCATTGGATGCAGGTGCAGTATTGGTTTAGTGTTTAAGCGTTTGCATGTGAGATCGATGGTCCTGCATTCGATTCTGGTGTACGAGGGTCATGGGTGCACATTTCCACTGATAAGTCCGATGCTGAGACGAAACGGCTATCGAATGTTCCAAGTTTCTAACGGTGGTCTAACAATGTTGTATTCATGATTTCAGTGATTAATTTAACACACACACACACACATAAAAGTGTTCACATTTGAAACAGCTGACTTAATGATGTATGGTACACAGATATATATTTGTTTTAGGATTCAACTTTAAAAAGATTTTTCATACTACTTATAAGTAGTATAAAAATGACTTGATAAGTGTTTTGGACTTCTAGTTATGATGTTGAAGACAATTTGTATTTCTAGATATTTTGTGAATTATTCCGAAATAATTAATAGATTATTTTGAATTTAAAACTTAAGAAGTAAATATTTTTATCAGAAATATTTCATCTTACCATTGTGAATGAGTGTTATGATGTACGGTTTCCAAGATTTGGATGTGATGTTCGCTACCTCTCACCCCGCCGCTAAACTGACTACTTAAGCCAGAAGATAAGAGCAAAAGAGAAGGATGTAGTGATGAATCGATCAGGGTTAGACTGCTATTGGAGAACTAGAAACACTGGACAGCCTACAACTTACTTCCTTTACTAACTTACGTCTGTTTTCCCTTATCGAGCATAGGGCACCGACTAGCTTTGTCTAACCTACTCTCTCTCGAGCCTTCTTTTCTAATTCTGTCTAGTTTTTGTTTATTCTTCTCATGTTTATCTCCATTTATCAGCTTAATGTGTTCCTTAGTCTTCCTCTTCTCCTTTGACTTTGAGGATTTCACATAAGGGTTTCTCTTGTGACATAATCGGATGCTTTCCTCAATATGTGTCCTATCCATCTTCAAAGCTTTTTACTAGAACCATCCACTGATGATAATAAAAACTTAGACAGGACTGTGAAACGTTGAATTTACTTAAAGTCCAATCTCTAAAGCTTTTAGCGAAAGGAGCTACTAAAACTTCATTTGGTGACGACAAATAGTGTTTCGAGAAAATGCATTCTTTTTGAGGGACAGGAACACACTACGTGAATGTGTCTGTATGGGGAAACATAAAGCCGAGGATTTCGGTGTTAGGGTGTCGCATCATGGGCGAGTGTATGTGATATACTTATCAGAAACACGAGAGTTTTTGACCAACATCTCATGACACACATTTAAACGCACTTATTCCATGGGTAAGTTGTACTTTACATTAGAAACACACAAGTTTTCATCCGTACATACGTTGGCAGACACGTAGATATTAGAGCCCCCTCGGTAAAGCAGATGATAAGAGTTACAAAAATAATCTTCCTCCTTAATATCACTATTAATACGTTCGGTAGCATCGATTCGATTCAAAAGGTCAGAAAGCAGCAACAATGCTCAGCTATCTTTGTTAGGTGGTGAACTTTTCGTTCTGTAGCTTTGGAGATCATTGCTTTATATTGAAATCGTGAATCAATCATCTTTGGATCACAATTCGAAACCTCGACGCGCTGGGTAGACGTTTCTTCCTGCTTTGCGATTCATCAGCAGTGTGCATACACGACTCTCGCTACTCTCAGGCATTGAACCCAGAATCTTCGGTTTTGCTTGTGAACGCTTAACCTCTGGACCACTAAGCCGGCTTCCAACGGTGTCAATGTCTTACTTTGATCAATTTAAGGATTTTATGCAACCTCACTCATTTGGCTTCGGCAGTTACTTCCAACAAACGACAGAGTTGAACTCCACTGGTTACAGCAGTAGCTGCCAAAGACAATGGGTAAGGTTGCGCAAAATCCTTAAATTGATCAAATATAGATATAAACACCGCTGGACCCCGACTCAGTGATCCAAAGGTAGGTCATTCAAACCCGACACTGAAAATCCCGAATTCGATTTCGAAGAGAAGCGAGAGTTGTGAATGCGCACTGCCGATGAACCGCATACCAGGACGAAACGGCCGTCCACTGCCTCCCGATTTCTAATTGTGGTGATGATGAAATAACATATTAATTGAAAATTATTAACTGAAGCACTGATTTCAAACGGCTATCCGCTACAATTCATCAATAGGTGTAGAAATCAGTTAAGACAAAAGCAGGTTTTTCATTCTACTGAGAAGAAAAAGGGTTTATATCACTTTACCATTTAGAGGTGAATCAAATGGTCTAATCTTAAGACATAGACTAAAAGCAACCATACAGAAAACATACAACACTGCTAAACTGATTATCATTGAAAAGACCAAATCCATGATTTCACATAGACCTAAACGTTGCTCGAATGATGAATACATCACATCCCATTGCATTTATCAATTTGCATGTTTGTGTGGAGCAATATACGAACTTTGCAATCAAGGCTTATAGAACATGTACGCAAATGGCTTCAAAATCAGTTAACGTCATCAGATGAGCCGATTAGTGTGGGAAATAGAAAACCATGTTCATCGATCGCAAAACACATCATTGAGACAGGGCATCGGATTGACATCAATACCGCCTTCAAAACATTGTATAGAAATGTTGAAGGAAGAATTTCGAGGTTGATGGAGGTCTTGGATATTCGAAAATTAAACCCCCCCCACTTATGTGTGCAGAACCCATTTTTCATAACCTTGAATTTACCCTGGTAATCTTTAAGCCATTGATAGGGTAATGTGACAACTTTCCTACCCTCTTTCTTATTCTTTTCATATTACGTTAATTTCTTCTCCCTCTATCCTTTATTTGCAATTATTTTTGTGTATTTTATAAATTTAGATCAAATTAAAATCTGCTGTGGATCAATTTCGTTCTGATATTGCCAGCAAAGACAATCTTTCCACCATTGATTTTTGTAAGTTTATACATTGAACAAGTAACTTTAACCTTTGGTCGATTCATGGTTACAAATAAAACTTAACAATCTTCACAACAACCCCGCAATGCAATTACATGTGTCCACTAGTGACTAGCTTGGTGAGGAATCTTCTCCGAGTTCTAGTGGTGGGAAGTCGTGACCAGTGAAGTTCAAACCTGTTCGGATGTATACAGGGTATGAGGTTGCGTAACTCCGTGAATTTGATCAAGTTAGACATTAACACCGTCAGATACCAGCTCAGTGGTCTAACGGTTAGGACGTTCGCGTACAATACCAAAGGTCCTGGGGTTGGAATCTTACGGGGTGCAGGAGTCGTGGATGTGCACTGCTGAGGAGTCCCATACTAGGACGAAACGGCCGTCCAGTGCTTCCAGGTTTCTAATGGTGGTCTAACAGTCGTCGATTCATGGTTACAAATAAAACTTAACAATCTTCACAACAACGCCGCAATCCAAAAACGGATAGGCTTAGTGTAGCTGTATACATCCAACCAAAAACACTTTGTGAACTAGGGGGAATCATGCAAAGTAACGAGATTGAGAAAAAACTGGAAAAGAAGAGATAAGCTGACCACATGTCGAGCGCCTACTTTTCATAAGATTAGTAATTAGTAATAGTCAATAATCAGGCCAACTTTAGATTCGGAAAGTGAATTTGAAAAGTGAAATTCAAAGTAAAGAGAGTGTAGATTTTGAAATTGTTAAGATTATTGTGAATTTAAAGTAAATGATTAAGAAAGTAATTTTGGTAAAATTATGTTATAAAATGGATGACCTTTAGAGGATCAATCAGATTTGAGGGAGTGCTTAATGCAATTGGTTGCTACTTGAGAGTATGAGGGACAGTTGAGTGAGCTTGGTTAAATACTTCCATTTTATAAAAAAAATTGAGCTGTAAGTTTCATGCTTTAGAATGTTTTATGGGTGGGGACAGGGAATTGTTGAGTCAAATTTTTGAACATCTTTCTTTCTTGTGAGAAGTTGTCTGAAGTTGACATCTCATACTTCAGTACAGTCAAGAGTACCACTTAACACTCGGAACTTAAGTTGATGCTTTCAGTTTTTTGCGAACTCCAGTTGTCAGTCGGTCAACTACGGCGCAGAGCTTTATACTATACCATATTAACATAGAGACGAAATTGTCAATTCAAATCTCATAGTAGTAGAGGTAGTAAGAGTATTAGCGGTAATAGAGAAGATTAGGGATCTAAGAAATTATTCAAGAAGTATAATCCTGTCAAATAAACTGAAGAAGGGGAAGATAGAGGTGATGAGGAATTCAGAAAATTAGAATTTCAGAGAATACAAAGGGTGGATGCACCTGTGGTGGCCAATTTTGTTGTCGTCGGGCTCACCATTTGTATACTGGTGAGCGAGTGAGCGACTGAAACGATTCGTATGGAGCGATGCGGAGAAGCAGCGAATAAAACGAATGAAGCGACGTGAACAGGCGAAGCGCGTTGGAGAAGGCTAATGAGCCAACGCCTAGGATTACAATACGAACGAATGGGCGAAGGAAGCGATGTGGAGAATGGCTATAGAGCCAACTCAAAGAGATAGAGCATGACTAAGAATATATAGTCAGACAAATATAAGACAGACATGAAACAAGCGAAATAGGCACACATGAATAAAAGCGACGAATGATTGACAAGGTCAAATGACAAATGGGACAAGTCACATGAGCTCATACAAACCAGACAATAATAAGAACGAATGGTACATATAGATTGTTGCAATACAAATGGCTTAGTTAAATAAATTAATCGAAATGGCTTAACCAAGTTAGATGTAAGCGAACTGGAATATATGTGGAGGCACTACACACTTACACCATTGCAAACGATTTTGAGCCATGTCATTTAGGTTATATAACCATCGATAATTATCATCTCGCGGACCCCAACCAGGTAGTCGAAAGTTACCGACATGGCTAAGTCCACTCGTCAATGATTTCATGGATTTCTTCCATGTTTGGACAAACCATATTGGTCGATTTCTATTGGTCAAAATTATGGTCGTTATAACTTCAATGTTGTTTCTTATTGGTTGTCCTGACTATCAATGTCACTTCAAACGTTACTTCCTATTGGTCGTCTTAACTGTCACTGTCACAGACTTCTATGATGTTTACTATTCAACCAAAATGTATGAGTATGCATTATCTGAAACGTTTTATGACCACAACCAGGACCTGGGCTCGGTCCCGGATCCCTAGTCCGGGATGGTAATTCTCTTCTGGATTCGGACCTCGTACTTTCTGGATGCTTGTAGAATACAGATTCTACTTCATATCATGTCTTCTTATTTTCAATAAATATGGGGGTTTTAATAATCGGATTTGAGTAACATGTCGTGTCACCGTGTTTACGTGCAGGAGTAACAGAAAGAAACTTTGAAGAAGCACTGAAAGATGTCCGTCTTGTCCTCACTGTGCTCACTGTCTATAAGTCCCAAAAACTAGGACGAAATGACCATCCAGTGGTGCTCCCAGATTTCTAATGGTTTTCTAACATTGATCGATTCATGGTTTCAAACAGTAACTCAACCATCCCCACTAAATGCAGCTACCTAAGGTCTGAGGGCGAAGTCGTACTGCTGACTACAGAGGGGTGTGACAACAGTAAGGTGTTTCCATCGGACAACAAGCAGCATGTGCAGCCATGCTGCCTTCTCACAAGGAAGGAAGGGTTAGAAAAGTTCGACCTTAAAAATGTCACACCTCACCCTACCTCACGCATTTCCGTCTCCGTCGGTAGGGGTGCCCACTAAGGGCCTTTAGGAGCGGATCTAATACTCAAAAAGCCTTTGATAAAAAGGCCATGCGTGACCGGCCTCAAGCAGTTGTCCCTTTGGCTCTGCTTTCACACTCCCAGGTCGTTAAGACCAACACTAATCTATCATCCTTTTCAGGTCTGTCAAGAAACAACCTTCCACGGTGTGGGCAGCCGGGAAGTGACAATCGCCCTCATACCCGTAACAGCACATGAGACCGAAATGGTCAAAATCAAATCCTTCTAAACCCAGATAACAAAAACTCAATCAAAAAACTTGAAAAAAATTCTAATTACTTTTTCCATGGTGTTTGGTGGTGTAGGAATAAGTTGGAAGAAAGTTAGGGACGGCCAAACCAAAACATGGCACAAATCCATGAAGTCATTGACGAGTGGTCTTAGCCATGTCGGTAATTGTCGACTACCTGGTTGGGGTCCACGAGATGATAATAATCGATGGTTAGAGACCTTGAATGACATGGCTCAAAATCGTTTGCAATGGCGCAAGTGCATCCATTCGTTGTGCTCTCTCAAATCCTAATCTTCTGGATTGGTCAACACCTCTACCTTTGTCTTTCTAACCTTGTCTCACTGAATTATACTTCTTGAATAATAATATCTTCAAACCCTAGTCTTCTTCATTATCATTAATACCTCTACTATCTCTACTATCACTATGGGATTTGATTTGATATTTGCGTCTCTGTGCTAATAATGTGGTATGGCTACATGAACTTATGTACATACGTACGAAGTTCTACGTTGCAAGTGACTGACTGAATGACTAGGACGAAATGGCCATCCAGTGGTACTCCCAGATTTCTAATGGTTGTCTAACATTGATCGATCGATTCATGATTTCAAACAGTGAGTGAGTCAACAATCCCCACAACCATATATATTATTGTATATTTCACATATGATTTTATATTTTCTATTTATGTAATCTTGTCTTTTCTCTCCTCAATTTTCTTCATTATAGATTATCAAATTTTATTGATACAATTATCTAGTCGTATAAAAATTTGTTATCAACAAGAACACCAACCGGAAATCCCCTTGTTATTCAATATTCAATCCAATAAATATCATGATGATGATGATAAATATTATCAATATTACTTATCATTCTTAGCTTCAATTCATTTAAACAAATCATTAATTCATTATTATCAAGATTCAATTAGTGTAGGACAATTCAAAGAGGAGGAGAATACACCATTGGCTAGTAGTTTCCCAATATTATCTTGTTTGACAAAACGTTTATCAAATGAATTTTATCAAAAATTAACAGAATATTTACAGGATTTATGTAATTCAGTAATAAAATTAGAAAATAATTTTTCCGTATTGATTACGATTGGGAAAAGTCTTTTATGTTGGGTAAGTAAATGCTGTTTTTATGGAGTTATGTAGTATTTGTTGGTGTTACACCTGCACGTAAACATGTCGATTTGATATACTTGAACTACTATTACCAGTTTTCCTTAGTCGGAAAACGAGAACGAGGATCGAGGAACTGGTGACACGATAGTCTACTATAATCCGATTGTCGCAACCCCCATATTGAGTGAAAATAAGAAGACTTGATATGAAGTAGAACATGTATTCTACATGCATCCAGAAAGTACGAGGTCCGAATCCTGAAGAGAATCAGGATCCCGGACTATGGATCCGGGACCGGGTCCTGATCACAAAACGTTACAGATAATGCGTATTGATACATTTAGGTCGAATATAAAACAGCATCGAATTCTGTGAGATTGACAGTTAAGACGACCAATCAAAAGCAACATTTGAAGTGACATTGATAGTCAAGACAACCAATAAGAAACAACATTGGAGTAGGTGACATTGATATCTACTAGGATAATCATAAAAATTGACCAGTAGGGAATAAACCAATAGGAATTAACTAATAATTCTCTTAGGTTATTGGATGAACATCCTAACAGTTGGGGACGTTCGATCCCCGGGACTCACTTGTAAAATGTCATGATTTTGAATTTTTGTTATGTTTTCGCGCATATCTTGCTCAGTTGACCTTGAAATTACAGTTCCCACTTGGAAAAAGCATTGACTATTATTGGTTGATGGATTATTTTAGTACACTATTTTTGTGGCTCTCATCAAGGGCGTTTCTATCAGCGTATAAATAAGCTTGATTTGTGTGCTTATAGACCCCGTATTTTCTGGGTGGTTGTAGAATACACTTTCTACGCCTTATCAATGTTTCTTGATGTAGTTAACCAGGCCCGGGACACATGGATTAGGATAGTCGATAGTGGTGGTGGTGTTTGGTTCTCTGAGCTGGGTGTTTTGGTTGTGGGGCTTTGATTGTTCTTTAGATAGAAGTTTGTGCTGATGATGTTGTTCAGAAGAAGAATGAAAGCTCCACAACCAAAACACCCAGCTCAGAGAACCAAACACCACCACCACAATCATCCACCTGAGCTACAAATCTTCTCCACCATCTCATAGTCTATCTTCATCCCGTTTACCGAGTAAGGTTAGCTCACAATAGCCTACAAGCATATCAGTTGACGTGCGTATCAAGACTGTTGTTGATTATTAAAGCAATCAATCGATCATTGTTTGAACGCTATGAGAAAGAAAACTGCAATTATTGGACACCCGTTTCATCCTGGTGTATAAGACTCATTGGTGGTAGTGCTCATCCATCACCCTCGCATACAAGAATCAAACTCAGAAACTTTAGTCACGCTGTCTAGTGCTTCCAGGATTATAATAGTGGTCCAACAGTAGTTGATTCATGGTTTTACTCATAAACAACAATCTCTGTAAAAGTCTATAAAGAAAAACTGTACAATGTGCTCATTAGTGACTAGTTTTGTGAGGAAATTCTCGGAGTTTGTCTGAGAAGACATGACCAATGAAGCTCAACCCTGTCGGATGTAAACAGGGTTGCGCAAAAATCCATAGATTGATCAGGGTTAGACATTCATATTGCTAGAAGCCGACTAAGTTGTCAAGAGGTTAAAAGTTCGTGCGCAAGACCCAAGTCCCTAGGTTTGAATCATGAGAGTAGCGGGAGTCGTGGCTGCGCACTGCCACTGATGAATCTTATACCAGGGGAAATAGCTGTCTTTCAGTGCTTCCAGGTTTTTAATTGTAGTCTAACAATGATTGATTTATGATTGCAATTGGTTAATTTTATCTAAAAACTGATGTTTCAGTCAATACAGGTTGATAAAATTTTATTTTTGGGAATGTTTAATAATGTTTATGGAGAAGAATTTATTTTTTATCAAAGCTTATGAACTTATATCAGTGGATATGACTTTGTGAGGAATTGTATACATCAATTGGATCTTTGCATGGGTGTCTCCCTCAAAGAAGCAGGTATATGTTACATGCCGTATAGTAACACACGCTTGCACCATGTGATATACACATAGGTTTATCCTCTCATTAGGAAAGTAGATGGTTACCGTAGATGATTACCACAGACTGTCTTTCACTCATTGAATGATGGTCGTTTCGTCCCGGAATGGGATTCCTCAGCAGTGCGCATCCACGACTCCTGCACCCCGCAGGATTCGAATCCAAGACCTTCGGTATTGTAGGCGAACGCCTAACCATCGGACCAATGAGCCGGTACCTAACGGTGTTAATGTCTAACTTGAACAATTTACGGATTCATGGTTTAGAAAACGTGTAACTTAACAATCTTCACAACCCCGTAATGCAAATTACCTGTGCTCACTACCGACTAGCTTCGTCAGGAATCTTCTCCAAGTTCTAGTGGGAAGACGTGACTAGTGAAGTTCAACCTGTTCGGGTGTAGACAGTAACTACCGAAGACTGTGTATGAGGTTGCGCAACTCCGTGAATTGATCAAGTTTGACATTAACACCGTTAGATACCGGCTCAGTGGTCTCACAGTCTGGGCGTTCGCCTACAATACCGAATGTCCTGGATTTGAATCCTGCGAGGTGCAGGAGTCGTGGATGCGGACTGCTGAGGAGTCTCATACCAGGACGAAACGACCATCATTCAGTGCTTCCAGGTTTCTAATGGTGGTCTAACATTGATTGATTCATGGTTTAAATAATGTGTAACTTAACAATCTTCACAACCCCGTAATGCATATATATATAAGCACTCTTAGGAAGTCAATATAGGAATCTGAATCACCATTGAACACCTAGACGCACTGGACAGCCTTCTAATTTTAGTACGAAACTCATCAAGTGGTCATTTACGTCCTTCACACATGGGAATCGAATCCAGGACCTTCGATCTTTAACCCGTACACTCAACTTCTAAACCTCTACTAAGCCGACGACATTCAACTTCATTATTATCTAACTTCAGTCAATACACCATAAGGTGCAACTTCATCCATTCTCATCAGTAATTAAAACTGCCTCACACCCGACCAAGGTTTGAACTCCACTGGTTCCTTACACATATAGCTGCTCGCTACTAGTCACCGCCACCAGTCCAGTAAGCAGTACATTTTTCAAATCTTTTCTTTTTTCCTTCGTTTTTTTAGATTTTTGATATTCTACCAATATTTATTGATTCACAATTAAACAATCTACTTGATCAACATTATAATTATGAGAAGAATAATTCACAAATATTCACCACTCAATATCGTATTATTCATTGTGATATTTTAATTATTTTATTAAATTGGATTATTTATCTGTGGAATAATTATTGTCAAATTAATGTACATTGGCCAAATAATGAGAATGTTTTTCAATTTATTCATCAGATTTTAAAAATCATTATGTATTGTACAATATTAAATCATGATCATATTGGACAATTGAATAAAGCACATTGTTGTCAATCGGGACTGATACATTGTGCAATCATACCAAATATTATGAAATTATGTGAATTGTTAAAGTGTCAATTTGATATGTTGAATAATAATAATAATGACACTAGTATTGAACAAAAAATTGATTTGGAGGTAAGTTTTTCGGGATAAAATTTATTGTATTATTTTAAACTACTTGTTAGTAGTTTAAATTACAACATAACATTTGTATCTGACTTGCGTAATAAGTGTATCTACAGTCTATTACGATTGACAGCTCTCCTTGTTATCATTTTATTAAATTAATATCTAAAAACGTGTCAGCTACTGAATAGTTTTCTGCGAATTAAGATGTGTTCTAGAGAAAGAACTTCTCATACTGATATGCTTACCGATTGATATGCTTGAAACTATTACTGTGGTGCGAGCTACTTATAAGTAGTATATGACGTGAGTGTTAACGTAATGTCTGGCAGCAGAACATGGGGGAAGATCAAGAAAGGAAGAGTGGGGGGAACACAATGGAATTTGTATGAAACGCATGAATAGTAGTGACAATGGATTGATGTTTTGCAACAGGAACAGTCCAGTTCGATATGATGGATTGATATTTTGCAAATGAACAATTTACGATATGGTTTTCCTATTTTACTGAGTAACTCTGTAATTTTCGTTAAATACAATTCGGTAGCCCCACTTGTGTTCTCCTTCACTACATTACGAGTTCACTTTACTTGGCAAAAGGGGACGAAGGTTAGTCGATTCTACTATCACCCAGAAAATTGGATTTTGCAAAGCGCACAAATCAAGCTTATTTATGCAATGATAGAGACGGCATTGGTGAGAGCCATAAAATAGCGTACTAAAAAAATCCACCAACCAATGACAATCAGTGATATTCCGAGTTGGAAATGTAAGTTGAAAGTCAGCTAAACGTCCCTGGCGCGCAAACATAGAAATTCAAAATTTTCAGAATAAAATGACTAAATTAGGACCTTTTCTAAGTGAGTGAGTTCTGTGGATCTAACATCTCCAAAACATAAACGGTTACATATGAGAAGATAAATTTAATTTTTTGAAACACTTTTAACTAGCTATTTACTAATTCGTAGATAAAATGAACATTATTCCAGCTTTTATGCATGTAAATTAATAGCTTTATTAGACATTTCAAAGTTGTCCATATTCACTGGTCAAATGTACTGAATAAAAATCGTACATCATTCATGATGAAAGTAGTTGTAAGGTGGGTTTAAAGAGTGATAAATGCAGGAGTTTTATTCACACGACAATACACACAATAAATGGACAAAGTGTAAATACACTTCATTTCCTATTAGCGACAGGAAAAATAAAATCATGAAAGTACTAGTGTAGTGAACGAGAACACAGGTGGGGCAACCGAATTGTATTTATCGCAAAATAACAGAGTTACTCAGTAAAATAGGAAAACCATATCGTAAATCGTTCATTTGCAAAATAATCAGTTCATCATATCGAACTGGACTGTTCCTGTTGCAAAACATCAATCCATTGTCACTATTCATGCGTTTCATACAAATTCCATTGTGTTCTTCTAACTCTTCCTTTCTTGATCTTCCCCCATGTTCTGCTGCCAGACATTACGTTGACACTCACGTCATATACTACTTATAAGTAGCTCACACCACACTAGTACTAACTCTCTTGAAAGAGAAAGTAATCCAAAGTGATAGAGTGAAGGTTTAAAAGGACCGAATGCAGGATTGTGTGTTGTTACGCCTGCACGTAAACATGTCAACTTGATATATTTGAACTATTATGAGTTTACCTAGTCAGAAAACGAGAGCGAGGACCGAGGATCCGGTGACACGATATGCTACTGGAATCCGATTATCCCAACCCCCATATTGAGTAAAAAGTAAGAAGACTTGATATGAAGTAGAACATGTATTCTACAAGCATCCAGAAAGTACGAGGTCCGAATCCACAAGAGAATCAGGATTCCGGACTGGGGATCCAGGACCGGGTCCTGGTCCTGATCATAAAGCATTACAGATAATGCATATTTATACATTTAGGTTGAATAGGAAACAGCATCGAAGTGTGTGACATTGACAGTTAAGACGACCAATCAGAAGCAACATTTGAAGTGACATTGACAGTTAAGAAAACCAATAAGAAACAACTTTGGGGTACGTGACATTGATATCTAGGAAAACCAATAAAAAATTGATCAGTAGGAATTAACCAATAGGAATCGACCAATAATTCTCCTAGGATATTGGATGAATATCCTAACATGTGTGCTCACTACTGAGTAGTTCCATACAAGGACGAGAAGGTCACATCCACTGATTCTCCCTTTCTAAATGATGTCTAGCTAAAATCAGTTTTTATAATCTTTAACAATGAGAGTAATACCGTAGTGAAAGAGAACACAGGTGGGGGCAACAGAGTTACTCAGTAAAATAGGAAAACCATATCGTAAATCGTTCATTTGCAAAATATCAATCCATCATATCGAACTTGACTGTTCCTGTTGCAAAACATCAATCTATTGTCACTACTATTCATGCGTTTCATACAAATTCCATTGTGTTCTTCTAACTCTTCCTTTCTTGATCTTCCCCCATGTTCTGCTGCCAGACATTACGTTAACACTCACGTCATATACTACTTATAAGTAGCTCACACCACAATACAATTTTTCATTTGAACGCTTTCCTCCATCTTTTTTTTTCTCTTCTAGGAAGTGAAACATCATTATATTCAAACATTGAAAATCTTCGAATTATTTTTAAAATTACTTCAATGTTTAGGTGAATTTTCAATGTCAGCTTCAGATTTATCAGATTTTTTAAAAATGTTACGTTCAGAATCTGTTCGATTATTTTCAAGTCGAATATTACAAGTAAGATTTTATTAATGTGTTGAGTTTCTATTTTTAATTGTGAATGAATGATAAGAATATATATTAATTAGGTTTTAGTAATTAATCTACGATTGATTTCATTCATGTGACGGTAAAGCGTATAAACTGGTTTGTATTACAAAATTGTGCGTGGACGGCAGTTCACGGATGTATTGCAAGTCAAGATCGGCATCAGACAAGGTTGCTTATTGTCATTCTTTCTCTTGCTTCTGGTAATCGACTGGATTATGAAGACGTCAACATCTCAAAGGAAAGCTCGAATGCAGCTAGATAAGGTTTAGTTCGCAGATGATCTAGTGTTACGCTTGTCTATAGGTATGTTTAAACTATTACGAGTACACCTTAGTTGAATAACGAGAACAAAACATTGAACCAGCATCCAGGTAGGCTACTCTGATCTCTTGATCAAAAGGTATCAGCAAGAAGTCTTGATGTAGTGTAGAAAGTGTATTCTACAAGCATCCAGTCAGCACACAATGAATCCAAGCACTCAGATTGCGTTTATTTATACTCTATAGAGACGTCCTTGGGAGAGTTACAAAAATAGAACACTAAAATGACACAGTAACCAATTACAGCTAAGGATTCTGCTGGTGGGAAATGTAATCTCAAGGTGAACGTAATATGAAGAGAATAAGAAAGAGGTTAGGAAATTGTAACATTACCCTAGGCTTAAAGATTACCAGGGTAAATACAAGGTTATGACAAATGGGTTCTGCACACATAAGGGGGGAGGTTTTAATTTTCGAATAGCCAAGACCTCCATAAACCTCAAAATTCGTCCTTCAACATTTCTATACAATGTTTTGAAGGCTGTCTTGATATCAATCCTATGTCCTGTCTCAATGATGTGTTCTGCAATCGATGAACATGGTTTTCTATTTCCCACTCCAATCGGCTCATCTGATGACGTTAACTGATTTTGAAGCCACTTAGGTACATGTTCCACAACCCTTGATTGCAAAGTCCGATTACTTCTCCTTATTTAAGTGTGTCCACACAAATATGCAAATTGATAAATACAATGGGATGTGATGTAATCATCGATTGAGCAACGTTTAGGTCTATGTGAAATTATGGGCTTAGTCTTTTCAATGATAATCAGTTTAGCAGTGTTGTATGTTTTCTGTATGGTTGGTTTTAGTCTCTGTCTTAAGATTAGACCATTTGATTCACCTCTAAATGATAAAGTGATATAAACCTTTTTCTGTCAAAATTTGTAAATGGGACTAATTGTTTCAACAGAAATATCCTGAAGGACGAATGCATATCATTGGTCAAGAAATGGCTTTCTCTTTTAAGGAAGTGTTTTTAATTTTTGGTAGTCGAATAAAACATCCTATCGAGTTTTTTCCTTCTCTCTCAAATAGCCAGTTTGAGAGGGTCAGCATGTCACATGTTCGAATCTCGGGACACCAGACATCATATAACACATACGGGTTGGAAATACTTTCTACAGATGATCATTAAATAATTTTTTTCAAAATGTCAATAACTACTTACTAATAATTAGTAATGTAATGATTATCAGCATAATTATTATGTCATACTCTCTCTCTTAATTTTTAGGTACTTGTAAAAATTACACAAAATGTTCAATTAAATTTAACACCATTACCAAACTCTGGTTATTGGTTTCAATTTAGTCAACCACAAGATAGTCTTCTTGTTTTACCAGTCGGACCGGAACTGGGACATTTAAGCAAGTAAGTAAATTTTGGGATTAGAGAAAATGTCAAAAATTTTTTTCAGTGTTTATAGGGTTGGTTCTTTGTTTTCCGTCTCTTAAAAGAACTTAATGAGTCAGTGGTTAAGGGAGAGGGATAGATATGTCATGAACTTCTTCGGAACACATAAAACATAGGGTTATAGTTTAGGATTCTTCACGTTTTTGACGATTTGTCGGAGATGAGGTCGAACTCTGTTGAGAAATGATGAAGGTTTACGATAAAATATCTGAAATCATTGGATTTTACCAACTAAATGACCACTGTCAACCAGATGTGGTAAGACAGAGCTGCATATTGTCTTGATTTGGCCTTTTCTGAAAAATGCTGGGAGATGTTCATACATTCATTAGTTAAGTTGTTTATTCAAATCAAGGACAAGTTACTCAGATTCGTTTTCTCAATGGGGGTAGCTATATCAGTCATGCTACCGTGTGACTGAACTAACAAATAAGTCGACGCCTCCCATCATGATTTGTAAAGGGTTAGATTAAGACAATACAAAACTCATTCTCGCCACATCTGGTTGACACTTGTCATTGGGGAGACAAAACCAAATGATTTCGATTAGTCTATCGTATACCTCTATCATTTATCAATGAGATTCAATCCTGTCTCCGAAATATAATAATAGTTGTAGGAATCTGGACCTTCAGAAGCAATTCATGTCATCCGAATTTCTTCTTTGGCCGAACATAAGTTAGACGATATAATTATCATTTTTTTCACATCCTGTGTTCTTTTTAGAGTATAAAGTTATTTAGATTGTTGAATTTCATTGGAATTCTAAACTGACCAATGTTAGATCACCACTAGAAATATCGAAGCACTGGAAAACTGTTTCCTCATAGTATGAGACTTATCAACAGTCTGAATCCACAATCCCCTAATCGGGAATCAAACCCATCACCTTCGGACTCTCATACAAACGCTTTACCTCCAAACCCCTAATAAGTGGACATCTAACTGTGTTAATGCCTAACTTTGATCGATCTTAGGTATTGCGCATCCTTACCGACTGTCTACAGTAGTTACTGCCTACACCCGACCAAGGCTGAACTGTACTAATCACGGTTTCTCACTAGAAGCTAGTCACTGGTCAACATATTTTATGAGATTCATCATATAGATATGGAGATTACTGTTGTACACTGAAATGATGAATTAGTCATTTTTACACCACCAATAAGACCCTGAAAGAACTGGATGGATGTTTCATGTTGGTATGAGACTCATCAGCACTGCGCATCCATGACTTCCACTACTCGCAGAATTTAAATCCAGGATTTTCGGTCTTGCACGCGGGCAGTTAACCTCTGGACCACTGAGCCGGTATCCAACCTTGTTCAATGTCTTCGGTGAGCACTGCTTTACACACCAACAGAGTTGAACCCCACTGGTCAAGTCTTCTCACTAGAACTCCGGGAAATTCCTCACAAAGCTAGTCACTAATGAGCAAATTCTTATGATATTATTTATATAGATATGGAGCGTATTGTTTGACATTGAGATCATGAATCAATCATTATTAGACCACCATTAGAAATCTAGAAACACTGGAAAGCCTTCACGTCTTAGTATGACACTTATCAAAACAGTATGAATCATACGATCCTACTGGCAGGAATTGAATCCAAAACTTTCGTTATCTCATAGAAACGCATTACCTCTAGATTACTTACTGTAGTGAAGGGGAACACAGGTGAGGACAACCGAATTGTATTTAACGAAAATTACAGAGTTACTCAGTAAAATAGGAAAACCATATCGTAAATCGTTAATTTGCAAATCTTCAATCCAATTCATCAATCGATTGTCTGACATTTCACTTATTCATGCATTTCATACAAATTCCATTGTGTTCCCACTCTTCCTCTCTTTCTTGATCTTCCCCCATCTTCTGCTGCCAGCCATTACGTTTCTACTCGCGTCATATACTACTTATTAGTAGCGCGCACCACATTACTACTAACCCACCGTCTAACTGTGTCAATGTTCAACTTGAATCAACTCGCGATGTTGACTTGTATGTAGATTTCAATGTTCTTAGGTTTGAGGCAGTCATTCAAGACAATAGAAAATGATCACTTCATATAACTAGTTCAAATATCAATTTTTAAATGAAATACCGACCACTTTACCGTTTGTTTTTCTCTTCTAGTGATCAAAATATCAGTACCACATTTGAATATTCATCACGTTTAATGAATAATTCATTGTCAACAGATTTAAGTTTACATTTTTGGTTATCGATTGATAATCTGCTGTCATCATCGTCATCATCAATCAATAACATGGATAAGTTGCAAACAATCAATCCGAAACGTTATTGTCTATTTCGTTTACTGTGTACAAATGGTAATGGGATGGAGATATTTTTTACAAAATATGGTTATTTAGTTGTGGCTGTCTCAACACAAGATTGTTTTAATTATGTTGTGGTAAGTTTTGATTGGTTATGTATTTCTATCGCTCTGTGTGTGTGTGTGTGTCAGGAGTTGTGAATGCGCATTGCCAGGGATGAGTCCTATACATTAGGATGAAACGGTCGTCTTTCAGTGATTCTTCATTGTTTCTTTCTAATGATGGTCTCAGATTGATCGAATATCCAAAACCTTATAATGTAAATTATCATGCGCTCATTAGTCACTAGCTCCATGAGGAAGTTTCTCTGAGTTCTAGTGAGAAGTCCTGACCAGTGGAGTTCAACTCTGTTCACGTACTCACCGAAGATATTGAACAAGGTTGGATACCGACTCAGTGTTTCAGAGGTTAACCGTTTGCGTGCAAGACCGAAGATCCTGGGTTCGAATCCTGCGAGTAGCAGAGGTCATGGATGCATAGTGATGATGAGTCCTATTGCAGAACGAAACGTCCGTACAGTGCTCTCAGGTTTCTAATGGTGGTCTAACATTGATCGATTCATGATTGAAAAAATGCTACTTTGAGTTCATAATATACTTGAACAATTTTCCAATCTAGGATGAGATTTTCATCCCGTTCAGGATTCTTCAGTCGGAACGACTTGTCACAACTCAGAATGGATAGCGTGATGATATTTTTCAAGCGAACAGTACTTGGTTCAAGTCTCAGAGTGAATATCAACTCTAATGCAAATCAGGTATATTCATATATGACGAAATGGGCGTTTGAGTTCCATTTCTAGTCAACATCGATCTCTGTTCATAATGTTTGACTGTACTCTACTTGATTTCACTCGGATTGAGTATTATATAATTATCATCGATGAGATAGGCAATTTAAACCAACTGATTTTTTTCGGGAGATAAATTTACTTTTGTTGTCGATTCCTAGGATCCAGTGAAAACTTCAAATGTGTATACAGATATGTATCAATGGTGGAGAATCTCACCATGAATGACCCGTAGCTTTTCCTATTCACCTCGATCTTGATTGGCTGTTAAAGCTCTTTGACTTATCATTGTCTGAATCTGTATTTCGCTTGTATCCCTCTTTGATTTGTTTCTCGATCCTATCTATGTATATTATTTTTCTGATTGATTGAAAAATTGGATCCATGTTAATGTGTGTGTTGACTGCCGATTGATCTGAGTGCTAAAGCTTCTAAAAATTCTATAGTGTTCTTTGTCCTCCCCCTACCCAGTTTTTCCACATTGTTCCAATCAAATGTATGTCCATAATTGTCGGTATGTATTGATATAAGCGAAGCGTTGTCGTGGCGTTTGACTGCTAATTGGTGTTCACATAAACGAAGCTGAAGAGGCCGTCCACTTAGTTTTATGTAGTGTATTTTACAGTCTGAACAATTTATTTTGTAGACGGTATTTGGTTTTTCTTCATTTGTCATTTTGTCCTTTGGTCTACATAGGGTTGATTGAAGTGATTCTGTTGGTTTGTGTGCTATGCCTATTCCAAATGGTTTCAGTAGTCGTGCTGTATGCTCCAACATGTCTTGTATGTATGGTAGGATGATGCGTTTGTTGGTTCCTGTACTTGATTTCGCTTCTGATGATGATTTCGGTTGATGTTTTTTGATGAAGTTGCGTGGATAGCCGTTCTTTTGGAAGATAGTCATCAGGCGGTTTTCCTCGTTTTTCAATGATTCGTATGTGGTGCAGTGTGTTTTTGGCAGTTGATTTTGCAAGTTCTTAGGTTTTCACCACTGTAGTTGAGAATTAGATCTGTGTGACTTGGCTTCCGTAATATTTCGGTCTCCAGTTCTGGTGATCAATACATCCAGGAATGGTGGTTTATCGTTTGACTACTTTTCCATCGTGAATTTTATGATATCAAAAACAGCATTGATCTGGCTGTAGGTGTATAATTTTTAGAAAGCTTGGAACTAAGGTCAGTCAACAATCAACAAGCACATCGATACTGATTCAATCTATAAACTGATCGGAAAAATCATAAATGAACATATGATCAAGAAACAGATCAAAAGAGGATACTGTTGGGGACGTTAGATCCTCAGAACTCAATTGGAAAGGTCTTAGTTTTGTAGTTTGTTCCTGAAATTTCGATTTTTTTAAGTTTTCGCGCATAAGATGCTTAGTTGACTTAACTTCAACTTACATTTCCCACTCGGAAAATCCTTGACTGTCATTGGTTGATCGACCATTTTAATAGGTTATATTGTGGCTCTCATCAAGGGGCGTCTCTATCATTGTGTAAATATGCTTGGTTTGTGTGTTAAGCAACCTCATATTTTCTAGGTGCTTGTAGAATAGATTCTCTACTCCTTATCAAGACTTCTTACCCTAGTTATCAGGGCGTGATAAAAAAGCATTCGAGTTGCCTATCGTGTCACAGTTTCGTTAACCTTCGTTCCATTTACCAAGTAAGGTGAACTCGTAACAGCTTCAAGCATATCAAATACAATTGTAGTGAACGAGAACACAGGTGGGGCAACAGAATTGTATTTAACGAAAATTACAGAGTAACTCAGTAAAATAGGAAAACCATATCGTAAATCGTTAATTTGCAAAATATACCAGTCCATCATATCGAACTGGACTGTTCCTGTTGCAAAACATCAATCCATTGTCACTATTCATGCGTTTCATACAAATTCCATTGTGTTCCCCCCACTCTTCCTTTCTTGATCTTCCCCCCCCCATCTTCTGCTGCCAGACATTACGTTGACACTCACGTCATATACTACTTATAAGTAGCTCGCACCACACAATCAAAAATGAATGTGCACACAACTACAGGTTTTAAGGTCAATAACAATCAGTCAAGATCGAGGTAAAGAGGACAAGCTACGAGTCATATGCGGCGACATTTGAATAATTCACTTCTTCTAACTGAACTTTGTGCTGATGATGTTGTGTTCAGTAGGAGAACAATGAAAGCTCCACAACCAAACCACATCCAACTCAGCGAACAAAACTCCATCACACAGATAGTGAAGGAGAACACAAATTACAGAGTTACTCAGTAAAATAGGAAAACCATATCGTAAACGGTTAATTTGCAAATCTTCAATCCATCATCAATCCATAGTCTGACATTTCACTCACTATTCATGCGTTTCATACAAATTCCATTGTGTTCCCACTCTTCCTTTCTTGATCTTCCCCCATCTTCTGCTGCCAGACATTACGTTTTCACTCACGTCATATACTACTTATAAGTAGTGCGCACCACATATATTATGCAGTTTATTATTGGAAGCATAAATGTATCATTGTTAGACCACCATTAGAAACCTGAAAGCACTGAGAGACTGTCGTTTCATCCTAGTATACAGGACTCTTCGGTGGCAGTGCACATCCACAACTAGATCAGTGACAGTGATATTTCACAGGTACCATGCATTTAAACTTGTTAGAGCCAATCAACTCTTTCATATTACTGAATGCACGTTACATTTTAGACATGGGATTTTCATCATATTTCACGACATAATTTTTTCAATCCTAATTCCCTAATTCATTTATTTTCAATATATCTTAATACTTAAAATAGACATGTGGACCAAATAAATTGACACCATGTGAATGGCATTCTGTCGCCATTGTATTCTGTCATTCTCGACGTCTGTTAATGAATAGAACTATATTGAAAGTATTTATTGATGGGAATCTATGTTATTCCGGAGATTTTCCTCATCCAAAAACAGATGGAGTAAGTGTTTATAGATTTTTTCTAATTTTTTCTTTTACTGACATGCAGTTTACTAATCAAGTATGAGAAAGTTGTGAACTATGGAACTATGTTGAAAATGATTTCTAACAGATGAATGATTGTCATTGGTTGAGAAATGGATTCATTTTCTTGGGGGGTAAATAATAGTTATATATGTATAGACGAGTATTTGTACATTTGATTCGGTAACCAAATAGACTTTCTCCTCTGATCTCGTCTTTACGCTGAAGTAGCCAGTTTGAGAATGGATTAGTGTGTACCACATTCAGATTTGGGGTTCACGACCTCATAACAGCAATGATCCAATCGAACTATAATGTCATCTATTCATGTTCGCCCATAATCGGTAGTGTTATGTTGAAGATTGATGAAACTAATTGCTCCAAGTTCGTAGTCCGAGGATAAACTTGTAGCACCATCGATTGTATGATGTGTGCAAGGTCTTTTCGTCAGACATTTATTGCGGACATCGTTTCTGCTTGTACACAAAGGTATAATGAGATTTGAAAGGTCAACAAAAAGGCTAACATACTTCATTCTGCTCTAAGTAATGAAAATACGAACCGCTCATTGTATTCTGTGGTTTTGTAGCTGTTATGATGCAGGCTGACCCAAATTTAAAAGCAACACGCCTTAAACCCCTGAACACGCTACTTGAGTCAGATAATAAGAATGAGAAAGAAAGTTTATCTGGCTACCGAATCATACGTCTGAGTACTCATATATACATATATATCTCCTCTTTAGAATACAAATCCACTTCTGATTCGATAAATGTATTCCAGTGTTACGCCTGCACGTAAACACGTCAACTTGATAAACTTGAACTATTACGAGTTTACCTGGTCGGAAACGACAGCGAGGATCGAGGATCCGGTGACACGACATGCTACTCAAATCTGATTATCCCAACACCCATATTGAGTAAAAATAAGAAGACTTGATATGAAGTAGAACATGTATTCTACAATTATTCAGAAAGTACGAGGTCCGAGTACAGAAGAGAATTAGGATCCCGGACTAGGGATCCGGGACTGGGTCCTGGTTCTGGTCATAAAACATTACAGATAATGCGTGTTTATACATTTCGGTCAAATAGGGAACAGCATCGAAGTGTGTGACATTGACAGTTAAGACGACCAATAGGAAGCAACATTTGAAGTGACATTGATAGTCAGGACAACCAATATGAAACAACATTGGAGTACGTTACATTGATATCTGGGACGACCATAATATTGACCAGTAGGAATAAACCAATAAGAATTGACCGATAATTCTCTTGGGATATTGGATGAATATCCTAACATTCAGTGGAATGAATTTAGAAAAAGAGAGAGATAAAATTTATAAGGAATTGAGAAGATTAGAATTTGAGAGAACACAAAGAATGAATGCAACTGCGCCATTGCAAACGGTTTTGAGTCATGTCATTCAATGTCTCTAACCACCGGTTACTATCATCTCGCGGACCCCAAACAGGTAGTCTACACCTATCAACATGACTCAGTCCACTTGTCAGTGACTTCATGGATTTGTGCTATGTTTTGGTTTGGTCGCCTCCTAGCTTTCTTCCAGTCTACTGTTCCATCAGATAATATCGCTTGTCGAAACAGTCATAAGTAACACATGTCCCGACCACTTCAACTGATAAAGATTGACTACTTGATCAAATGATCTGCTACCTAGTACGCGTTTCTTAACACTAGCATTGCCTAATCTATTGTCCCAGGATATACGAGCAATGCTTCGAAGACACTGATGATTGAATATTATTAACCGCTTCTCAGTGACCATTTTTCACACACATATAGTACGACGCAGCAGACTGCTGCGCAGTAGGCTCGTCTCACGGATGCCACACAACCCATTATAGCCTACATTTATTCGACCAAACACTAACAACATACAAAGTAAATAATACGTTTATTAGTGAATACTACTCTCATTTATTTTTCCTCTTTATTTACTATTTTTAATTTCACAAAACAGAATATTTTCATTCTACACATTGGTGGATGTCCAAATTGGGTCAATCAAATGATCGATAATAAATTGGCCAACAATTTAAAATCCAAAACTGGTCGACGTAATGCTGTCATATCGAAACAACAAAATTTTGGCAAACATATCTACATGACACGTGAAACTGTCTCGGTATCATCAAGTTCACCATCTTTGTTAATTCATGACCAATTAACCAATCATCAACATCATCATCAAACTGGTTTATTTTCTCAACAACTTGATATTGGGATTGTGCATAAAGTTGATCATGGCAATGAATATTTATTATGGGGAAAAATTAATTCATTCCAAGGGAAATTAATTTCGTGTGTTATGTTTAATGAAGCTATATCGGATAGTGTATGGCAAACAGTTACATCACTTGGTAATGGGATTGTTGGGCGTTTTTTGTCATTCTGGTCAATGTGTTGTTCTTCATTTTGAGTATGATATGTTAGAAACTATTACGAGTTCACTTTACTCGAAAAACGGAGTGCAGATCAATGATGTGGTGACATGATAGGCTATTCTCATCTGATTGTCACAGGCCCACACTAACTAGAGTAAGAAGTCTTGATATGGCGTACAGAGAATGTATTCACAGGCACCCAGAAAGATTGAGGTTGCTAAGCACACAACTCAAGAATACGCCATTAGTGAGAGCCACAAAAATAGCGTACTAAAATAATCCCTCAACCAATGACATTCACGGAATTTCTGAGTGGGAAATGTAAGCTGAAGGTCAACTAAGTGTCTTATGCACGCGAACATAGAAATTCAGAATTTTCACTACAAAATTAGGACTTTTCCAATTGAGTTCTGGAGATTTAACGTCCCCAACAGAGTACATCTTTTTGGTGGTGTTTCGGTGACTGAGATGGATGTTTTGGTTGGTTGTGGAGCTTTCATTGTTCTTCTGAACAATATCATCAGCACAAACTTCAAATGGAAGGGAAGCAATCGAATTTCTCCACGCTTGGCCTGTAGCTTGTCCATTTTACCTCGATCTTGATTAGGTGTTATTGACCTTAAACCTATCGTTGGTTGCACCTTTGTTTTGGTTGTATCTGCCTTGTGATCTGTTTCTTGATCCTATGTCAGCTATAATTTTTCTGATTGATTGATAAATGGGGTCAATGTCAATGTGTTTGTTGATAGCTGATTGACCTGAGGTCAACAGCAACCAATCAAGACCAAGGTTGTGAACACTCCGTAACACTGTAGTCCCATACCAGGACGAAACGGCCGTTCAGTGCTTCCAAGTTTCTAATGATGGTCTAACATTGATCGATTCATGGTTTAAAAAATGTGTAACTTAACAATCTTCACAACAACCCCGTAATGCAAATTACCTGTGCTCACTAGTGACTAGCTTCGTGAGCAATCTTCTCCTAGTTCTAGTGGGAAGACGTGACCAGTGAAGTTCAACCTGTTCGGGTGTAGGCAATGTCTACCGAAGACTGTGTATGAGGTTGCGCAACTCCGTGAATTGATCAAGTTAGACATTAACATCGTTAGATACCGGATCAGCGGTCCGATGGTTAGGCGTTCGCGCACAATACCGAAGGTCCTGGGTTAGATCCCTGCGGGATGCAGGAGTCGCGGATGCGCACTGCCACTGATCAGTCCCATACCAGGACGAAACGGCCGTCCAGTACTTCCAGGTTTCTAATGATGGTCTAACATTGATCGATTCATGGTTTCAAAAATGTGTAACTTAACAATCTTCACAACTCCGTAATGCAAGAATGTAATCCTTAAATCGATTTTCGATTGCATTTTTCAATCAACTGACCAAAAAAATGAATGAATGAACTTATCGGAGTTTACTGAACCGAAAAAAATGTTTGAGCATCAAGAACTTCATTTTCTGTTAGTGCGGATATCAAACCATGGCACTTGCTGGTTTTCGTCTTGTATATAGATCTTCCCAAAAGTTCTTCTCAAATACAAATTAAAGGATGATTCATCAACAGAAACTTTTATATTAAGGAGTCTTCGATATTCACGAAAATCTTGCGCACGTTATATATATATATATATATATCTGTCGTTTAATTTTACTTGATTCTAAGTTGATAATAATCTGATGTATAAGAACATTTTAAGGATTATGAAAATTTTTAAAAAAACGCTGTGAAACTTTTAAAAAACAAGTTAGAATACTACTATCTCTTAAGAAAGTGAATCCATTTCTTGACCAATCATATATGTTCATCATTTCGGACATTTCTATTGGTTGTCAAATGACCTTCTCATTTAGCCACTTCTGATTGGTTCATTCATTATATCAGTGATCAAATCCATCTAAGAGTTGTTCAACATGGTTAAAATTTAAATAGTTTGTTGAGCACATACAATATTTATCGATTCATGTTTTTAACTTTTTCTCTCTCCTTTTTACTGTTTCAATTAGGTCCTTGTAATTTAACTTATCTATTGGACAATGAATGTTATCATGTAAACAATTTGAATTCATACACTACTACTACTACTACTAGTTCAAACATAAATAATGATAATTCTTCTGGAGGAAATTTATCAATGATGAATTTATCAAAAATTATTTTTTATTATCATGCTAAATTAGTTGATTTAAACAATGCGATTTGTTTAGAATTAAGTAGTGAAACACTTGGTTTAAACAATTCATTTGAATGTGTTCATTTATTACCATCACATAAACAAATTGATAATCGTTTAATTATCAATGAACATTTTTATCAAAAATATTTATGGTTAAAACATATTAATTATAAATGTATGAATTTTGGTGGTCTACCAGCGACTATATTAGGTCCAGAGCGATTAGAAACTATTTTAATCAGTGTAAGTTATGTCAGTTTCGAATTGTTTGCTTCAGCTTATCATTTGTTTACACACTTAACTAGAGGAAGATGTCTTGATAAGCGATAGAAAGTGTGTTCTACAAGCATCCAGAAAATTGACGTTGATAAGTGCACAGATCGAGTTTATTTATGCATGATAGAAACGTCCTTGTGAGAACCACAAAAATAGCATACTAAAATAACACATCAACGGATGAAAGTTAGGAATTTTCCGAGAGGGAAATGTAATCTCAAGGTCAGCTGAGCGACGTATAGGAGAAAACGCGAAAAATTCAAAATTAGGACTTTTTAAGTGAGTTCCAGGGATCTAACGTCCCCAACAAACTTGGAACCTTTTTAGGGTGTTCTGCCAGTCCCATGTTAGGGTAAAAAAGTTATGTGTTTGGCGATTGAGGTTAACAACCCAATCTTGTAAAGTGAAAACATACTTGGTAAGAAAAATGCTTACTAGGAAAAAATTAATCTCAATTCTGTTCTTGAAGTTGGAAAGTTCTCATTGAGAGGAGTTATGACAACTCAATGTGAAAACTGAGTTTCTTCGACTGACTTCCAGCGGATAAAGTTGGTTGAAGAATCTTTTTGGTAGTCTATGCTCTATGAAGGATAATATACATAAGTAAGGAAAAGTGTGAATTATTTGCTCTGGTTAGTGTTCAAAAGTCAAAAAAATGTCAAGGCAGTTCTGTTGTATGGAGCGGAAACGTGGAGAACTACCAAAGCCATCATCCAGAAGATACAAGTATTTATGAACAGTTGTTTACCTCCGCAAAATATTTGGGATTCGTTGGCCAGACACTATCAGCAACAAGCTCTTGTGGGAGAGAACAAACCAGATTCCAGTGTAGGAGGAAATGAGGAAGAAGCAGTGCAAGTGGATAGGAAACACACTGCGAAAAGCACCTAACTGTGTCCCAAGACAAGCCCTTGCATGGAACCCTCGATGCAAAAGGAAAAGAGGAAGGCCAAGGAACACATTACGCCGAGAAATAGAAAGAGATATGAGAGGAATGAACAAAAACTGGAAAGAACTAGAAAGGAAAGCCCAGGACAGAGTTGGTTGGAGAAAACTGGTGGACGACCTATGCTCCATTGGGGGTAACAGGCGTAAGTAGGTGTTCAAAGGCCTAGAAAAAGAGACAGACTAAAGGAAACATTACATCGGTAATCGCAGACAGACATCAAAAGAGTGAACAGCGATTGTGTAGAACTAGAAAAGAGGTCTTATGACGGAGTAGATTGGAGAATACTGGTTGGCGGCATATGCTCCAAGAAGACTAATAGATATGGGCAAGTAAAAGTTAGATATATAATGTAATAATAATTGTGAAATAAGTAGTCAAGGTTGTCAGTTAAAAAATTTTCACGTAATTTTTGAAACATTTTTACTTACATATCGAATATTCATGAATCATTTACAAATGGATTTTAACACCAGGTCGCTAAACCCCTATGCCCAACGCTCCTCTTTGATCTGCCGGGTTCGGACCGGCGGAGTAACCCCAGAGGGGCTGTAGGTGAAGTTTGTCCATGAAACTATAATTGTTAAGATGTTAATCCAATATCCTAAGAGAATTACTGGTCAATTCTTATTGGTTAATTCCTACTGGTCAATTTTATGGTCGTCCTAAATATGAATGTCACGTACTCCAATGTTGTTTCTCATTGGTCGTCCCGACTGTCAATGTAACTTCAAATCTTGTTTCCTATTGGTCGCCTTAACTGTCAATGTCACGGAATTCGATGCTGTTTCCTATTCGACCAAAATGTATAAATACGCATTATCTGTAACGTTTTATGATCAGGACCAGGACCAGGACCCGGTCCCGGATTCCTAATCACGGATCCTGATTCTCTTCCGAATGCTTATAGAATACGGGTTTAACTTCATATCAAGTCTTCTTATTATAACTAAATATGGGGGTTAGGATAATCATATTTGAGCAGCGTGTCATGTCGCCGGATCCTCGATCCTCGTCGCTCTCGTATTCTGACTAAAGTAAACTCGTAATAATAGTTCAAGTATATCAAGTTGACGTGTCTCCGTGCAGGCGTAACAATAATGCAATAATATCTATTAGTTGTCAAAGTTTTTCGTTTGTCATTTCTCATATTTTCTTATTTAAAACCATGTATATTCTTTTTAATTTTTCAGGATTCAATCAATCAGATTGGTGGGCTAGGTGTCCTGTTGCCAATTCTAAAACTTTTACGATCTTTTCCATCAATCAATTATGAAAATGCATTGAATAGAATTTCACCTTTGAATAGTATTACTATTGATAATAATCATAATGCTGATTTGGGTATGACAGATTTATTTATTATTGCTTATCAACAATATATTTACGATTTAAATCTTGTCTACAATGAAATGACAAGCATGAAGCCAATTGTAGTGACAAAGAATCAATCCACTAAAGAATATCGTTTACGTTCTACATCAGTTTCATTGATCACTAGTGGTGGTACTCCTAGTGGTAGTAGGAGTAGTAGGAATAGTGTGAGTAGTGCGAGTCGTAGTGGGAGTGGGAGTGGTACACCAGAATTGAAAGATGAACGAAGTTACTCGTCCGGTTCGATTGTATTTAGTAAGTTTAAGTAAATTTAAAATGATGATTGATGTTTTTTTTTTAATTGAAAAAAATAATGATCGTTTTGATACAGGGCTGGATGTGACAAGGGATACTACCCCGTAACTCAAGTCTCATATGATCGGAACGATGATCATTGCCCGACATGAGATAAAGGGTAACAAGAGTGTTTGGGCCCATTTGTGTGTCAAGCTGGGCTGCCTCTTCTATACTATCCTACGCCATATATGTGTAGACCATATGCTATACTGCTATATAGAGCTGAAGGTCTCCTATGAGACTAGAGGTTCGCTGGGAATATTGTGGATGGCTTTGCTTTGGTAAGCATTGTTAACAGTCCATATACAAAATCGGTTAGCAGGGTGACCGATTTCATTGATACTACTGATGGTTGTTTCTCGACATTTCCGAGGGCCATTGTCATTGGGGTGCTGTATTACATATCACCACTGCTAATCAATAATGAGTTTGACAGTCATGTAAGCTGGATGGTTCGTAAATGGCCTGTTCATGCGGTGCATATTGATTGACGCGATCATGGATCGGAAATATATATAAACCATTGTGTGTACATGAAATGGTGTAAATGGTCCACCAGGATATCAGGTACCTGTGGTGGCGGCACCACAAGATTGAGCCGAACAGTTCAGGTTGAAACATCAACACCTGTCCAGTGTCTGGTTCTCCTGAAAACCAATGAAGAATTACCCTTTATCGATATAAAGTTAATTTGTATAACTGTGAATAAACTGGTTGGTCCTGACTTTAGTCATTTGTTTGTTTCAGAGATTAAGCCACGTTTGTCTAAGTACATACCTTAATAGGGTGAAACCGTGAATGGCTCATTAAATCAGCTATGGTTCCTTAGATCATAAACGCTATATGGATAACTGTAGTAATTCCAAGAGTTAATACATGCCTTGAATCCCTGACCAGTAAGGGAATGAGTGCATTTATTAGAACAGAACCAACCGGGTGCGGCTTCGGCTATGCCTGTTACATTCTGTGGTGACTTTGGATAACTTTTCTGATCGCAGTCAGCCTTGTGTCGGCGACGGATCTTTCAAATGTCTGTCCTATCAATTTGTTGTTAGGTGATTTGCCTACCATGAAAATAACGGGTAACGGGGAATCAGGGTTCGATCCTGGAGAGAGAGCCTGAGAAATGGCTACCACATTCAAGGACGGCAGCAGGCGCGAAAATTACCCACTCCCAGCACGGGGAGGTAGTGATGAAAATTACGGATACGGGACTCAATTAAGGCTCCGTAATTCGAATGAGTACAATTTAAATCCTTTAACGAGGACCAATTGGAGTGCAAGTCTGGAGCCGGCAGCCGCGGTAACTCCAGCTCCAAAAGCATATATTAAATTGGTGTGAATCGCCCACCAAGGTGTCCGGTACATATATGGTGGTTGCGTCATGGGAATGAGTCGAACAGTTCACGTTGAAACGTTAACACGGGGACAGTCTCTTTGGTTCACCTGAAAACCAATGTAAAATCACCCTTGTCAATTTTGAGAGTGAATATATAGTATGATTGCATTACTTACTTCGCTGGTCACATATCGAGCTTATTTTTTGACTGAATATGAATATTAATCCATATCTGATTGCACTGAGTTGGTTCACTCACCTAATTACATTGTTTGTACGCTATTTATTCTCATCATCTGTCTGCGTGAACGATTATTTTACATAGACTAATCCAGTTGAATCCGTATTTTGGATTCATATAACCACCGTCACGCAAACAGGGTTGATCACAGCACCTGCAATCATATCGTCCGAACTGGATTCAGATCTCGGGACACGAGAACCGTATAACAAGTTGTGAAATTTTATACAAACAGTTGACCTAGTGGTTTAGTTACTTACCTACGCCTGTTATCCCCAATGTATTATTGGTTGCCGACAAGCATTCTCCAACTCAGTATTTTCAGGCCCTTCTTCTCCAGTTTCCCAGTGATATATTATCGGCTGCTGTGGTTGTCAAACTAGGCATCAATCTTGTGACTTCTGAAAGAGCTCGGCTTTCCTCATGAGACGTTATAACTCTTCTAAATGAAGATCATTTCACTCCCAGGGAAAAGTTTAAATGGTTTGAATTATTTTTCTCTGGTTAGCGTTATTTTAACGATTTATTTTTCTATGGGATGGGGTCATCAACCACATACCCAACCCTTCTCACTTATCCCAGCTTGGGATCAGCAGCAATCCCAGAAGAGCTCAAGGTGGAGTTTAAACGAAGCATAAACTTTTTTCGTCTTTAATTAATTATATGTACAGATTTATGCACATAAAAACTGATTTCTCGTTTTTTTTCTTTATCATTCTAGATACTACTTTCAATAGTAGTAGTAGTATAGCTAATGTATTTATAATTTTGCGTAATTTAATCTTATCAAAACCAGAAAATCGTACACAAGTATTATGTCCAGATTTTATGTTACCACTTCTGTATCTTTTAAAAAAAGTAAGTTACCCTGTAAGATATTCATAGTTATTTGTTTGATATTGTTGTGAAGATTGTTGAGTTACTTAGTTGAAACTCATGAATCGATCAATATTAGACCACCATTAGAAACCTGGAATCAGTGGTATGCCATTTCATCCTGGTATGGTACTGATCATTACTGCACATCCATGAATTCCGCCACTTGCAGGATTCTAACCCAGGACATTCGGTGTCGCGCGCAAACGCTTAACCTCTGGTCCACTGAGATATCATTTAGTGATGTTAGAGTATGACATCGCTCAATTCACGGTCTTGTACAACTTCATCAAGTGTCTTCGGTGAGCATGGCTTCACACCAGAATAGGGTTGTGCTACATTGGTCTCTACTTCTCACTATAACACGGAGAAACTTTGCTTCGGAGCTGTTGACTAGTGAGCGCATGATAATTAGCATTATAGGGTTGTGGAAATTTTTGAAATCAAGAATTGAGCGATGTTAGCACGCAAGTCATACTGTTGACTGTAGAAAGGTGTGACAGCAGTAAAGTGTTTCCCTAAGATAACCAGCATTCACGACGATGCTTCATTATCACAAGAAAGGAGGTAGTTAGAAAAGGTCGATCCTAAAATGTCACACTTCACCTAACTCCATCTTTGGCTGTTGGGCCTTTCAAAAAGAGTGGAGCTAACACTTCCAAAACATTCACTGAAGTTGTCCCCGGGACTCTGTGGTCATGCTCCCATATCTCTAAGACCAACATTAATTCAAGTTCCTTTCAAGGTCCCTCCATTTCACGGTGTGAGCAGCCGAGAAGGAATATCCCTTCTCATACCCGTAACAAAAAACGTGACTCAGTTAGTCACAAGCAGAATGGATTACATGGATCACGAAAGTTTTTCTAATCGGTTTAGATAAATTAGAAGTCCCTTAGTTCATGCGTTAATAAGTATGGATTAGCAACAATACGAAATGATATGTTTACATGGGTATAGGAGTGATATGATTGTTACCGATTTGGTCTTTTGTGCTATTGCGGGTGGCTGACGAAATCTTCGTACATACACAGAAGGTTCTAATGGTGTTCGCCAACTGAAGTCACTTATGACGTAGCCGAGATATCCGTCTGATAACCAAAGGACAAGTCCGTCCTATTTTGTGTATGTGAAACATGGAAGGAAAGAGTAGAAGATATTCATAGGTTATTACTATTCGATCATGGATGTCTTCGAAGCATTTCTCGTGTATCCTGGGACAACCGAGTAAGCAGTGCGGCTGTTAAGAAGCGCGTACTACGTAAGGAGGGCAGATCAATAGATGAAGTAGTGAAACTTTATCAGATGGGGTGGTTAGGACATGTTTTACGTATGCACAACCACCGACTGCCTCAAGGAGTGATTTTTTGCGGTTTAGGAGTAGGTCGGAAGAAAGCTAGGAGCGGCCAAACCAAAACATGGCTGACTGATATGTTTATACTGATATTCAGTCCTGTGGACACCCTTGAAAACCACTGATCATTAAGTTACAAAACCAGAGTTCAACTGTGATAAAATATATCGACAAACGAAAACAGCAAGACATACAAATCTGTTCAATTGCAAACAACGCCATTTGAAAGAAACTAATAAAACGTTTGTGGAATAACTTGAAAAATTCACTTCTGTATAATGTTAGCACAGGAAGATGTTTTCTGAAAGGACAATCAAAACTTAACTGATAAAAAAACAATAGCTCAGACAAAAGAAAGTACTCCAGTAGAAAATCTCTATCTTGTTGCGTTTATATATATATATATATATATATATATATATATATATATATATATATATATATATATATATATATATATATATATATATATATGCCTAATCGCTCAACAACCTACTGTGGGAGAACACAAACCAGATTCCAGCAAGAGAAGAAATGTGGAAGAAACGGTGGAAGTGGATAAGACATACATTGATGAAAACACCCAACCGCGTCACAGGAAAAGCCTTCATTTAGAATCCTAAAGGCGAAAGTAGAAGAGTAAGACCGAAGAACCCTTAACACTGAGAAGAGGAGACAGACATGAGAAGAATGAAGAACGGTTCGATAGAACTATAAAGAAAGACTCAAGACATAGTAGATTGAAGAATGCTGTTCGGTGGTGTGTGCCATAAGGGGAGTAACAGGCGTAAGTAGGTAATGCTTCATCGCATTGAGTTGGTTCGTTCGACTTCTCCAATTTGCCTCACTTTGCTTTTAACGCTCTGTATTCTCATATCTGTGTGCGTGAACAACTTCATGAAATGAATTCATCCAAATGAAACTGTATCTGACACCGTATTACCGCCGTTGTACAAACAGAGTTTCCCTGATAATGATATACGGAAATGAAATGGAATATTTATTTCATGGCATTTTCAACTGTTCGTATCATTTGAAGTCTGATCTTAGGCCACTAGAAAAAAAATATATATCTGTTACTCATGCACGTAAACGCGTAACTTTGATATACCTTTGTCAGTAAACGATAGCGAGGATCGAGGATCCGGCGGTGTGACAAACTACTCTAATCCGTTTGTCCCAAACCCCCATTGAGTGAAAGAAGAAGACTTGATATATAGTAGAACATGTATTCTACAAGTATCCAGAAAGTACAAGGTGCGAGTTCAGAAAAGAATCAGGATCACGGACTACGGATCCGGGTCATAAAACATTACACATAATGCGTATTTATACAGCTAGGTAAAGTAGGAAACAGCATCGAAGTGTGTGACATTGACAGTTAAGACGATCAATCAGAAGTAACATTTGAAGGGACATTGACAGTCAGGACGACCAATGAGAAACAACATTGGAGTACGTGACATTCATATTTAGGACGACCTTAAATATTGACCAATAGAATTAGACATACAAAAATAATTCTCTTAGGATATATATATATATATATATATATATATATATATATATATATAACAGAACAAATTAACTTTCTTGACTGCTCTTTCCTGTGTTTTTTTCTTTTACAGCTTCATCCATTACGTTGCAATTCATTTACAGTTACAACAATTCATGATTTTATTCGTGTACTCATGAATTTACCACGTAGTAGTAGTATTAGTAGTAGTAGTAGACAATCAGTAGTATCTGTAAATCGTCTGCAAAATTTATTCGCAAATCAAACAAAATCAGAAAATATCCTGTTTCTCATTTATCAATTATTAATTGATTGGGATTTATGGTTAAAATCTAATTGTTTAGTGATTTGGATACATTTACAAAAATTATATCAATTGATTACGGATCATCATGAGCCGAATCATAATTACTATTATGCATGTCATGATTTATTAAAACAAATATCGATCGATTCATTGTTAACATCCCTTGTGAAATATCATAAGTAAGTTTATTTTTTTTGTTTAATGTGTCTGGTAAGTTTTTATTGATCGTGAAATCATCATGTTAGAAAAGGAAGTCATTTATTGACCAATGATATGCATTTGTCCTTGAGGACATATTCTGGTGGCCGTCAAATGACCTTCTCATTTGAGCGCTTCTGATTGGTCCACCATATGTATATATATATAGTTTGTAGACAGCCTTGTCAACTATAGGGATATATTGCTTTTGACTACTTATTAAGTTTTGGAGATACTGTTAGGTGAAGTTGAAATAAGAGTTATACTGGGTGGTTTTCTTCACAAAACCATGTTGGATCTCTATATATACTCACGTTACAAGCGTTCTATTAATATCACTTACATCTTCATTAGATGTGAGTATTCTGGTATGTGAGTAGTATACAACAGGCTTCAAGAATCATTGTAGGTAGTTTAGACTTGTATATGCAGTATATGATGTAGGTGGACTGAGTCATGTCGGTAGGTGTCGACTACTTGGTTGGGGCCCGCTGGATGTTAGTAATCGATGGTTAGAGACCTTGAATGACATGTCTCAAAACCGTTTGCAATGGTGCAGGTACATTCATTCTTTGTGTTCTCTCAAATCCTAAACTTTTTAATTCCTCATCACTTTATCTTTATCTTTTTAAGTTTATTTCACCTAGATTCTACTTCTTGAATAATATCTTCTAATCCTTACCTCTGCGACTACTGTTAATACCTATACTACCTATACTATTACTATGGGATTTGAATTGACAATTGCATTTATGTGCTAATGTGGTATGGTGACATGAACTGATGTGCGTACGTACGTAAGAAGTTCTACGTTGCTGTTGATTGATTGATAGAATCTTTTTATCGCTTTTCATGAAAGCAAATACAATGTCAACATTGTAGTTACAATATAAATAAGTATATTTCATACTTCGGTTGGTTGATATCAGAGTATGTGATTCATTTGAAAAACACATATTACATATCATGTCTTCGGAATGTACTGGAAGCGGTTTTTCAATGTGAGTATGAACAGTATGTGATAGGAAGTTATCCGGCAGATACTTACTTACTTACGCCGGTTACCCCCAATGGAGCAGAGGCCGCCCACTAGTTTTCTCCAACCAACTCTGTCCTGGGCTTCCCTCTCCAGTTCTGTCTAATGTTTGTTCATTCCTCTCATATCTTTCTCTATTTCTCAGCGTAATGTGTTCCTTGGCCTTCCTCTTTTCCTTTTGCCTTGAGGGTTCCATGTGAGGGCTTGTCTCGTGACGCAGTTAGGTGCTTTTCGTAGTGTGTGTCCTATTCACTTCCACCACTTCTTCCTGATTTCCTCCTCCACTGAAGGAATCTGATTTGTTCTCTCCCACAGTAAGTTGTTGCTGATGGTGTCTGGCCAACGAATCCGAAGTATTTTGCGTAGACAACTCTTAATAAACACTTGTATCTTCTGGATGATGGCTTTGGTAGCTCTCCAAGTTTCCGCTCTATACAATAGAACTGTCTTGACATTTGTATTGAAAATCCTTATTTTAGTTTTGGTTGAAAATTGTTTCGAGTCCCAGATATCTTTCAACTGTAGAAATGCAGCCGTTGCTATCAGACAGATAATTCGGTTTTAACCATCTCCTTAGAAAATGAAGACATTTCTTGGCCAATGATATGTGCTCGTCCTTGAAGACATTATCTGATGGCCGTCAAGTGACCTTCTGATTTGGAAACTTTTGATTGGTTTACTATATTAATGATCAATAACATTTGGACAGTATTTCATGTTTAGTGAATTAAAATTCCATCGGAGTTAAGTAGAGTTTTAACCTTCAGTTATTAGTACAGACGAACATTTAAATAAATATGGGTTATAAAAGGTATTGAATTCGTGCTAAGAGGTTGGTATACTGTCCGAGTAAGCAAATTGAAGTAGGTGGTATTCTCAAAGACCTACCTCTTTGAGCTTTCCACCTAGAGGTTTAATCCATAAGGCAGTGGAGCCACATGGCAGTCGCTGACCAAGGAGTTTACCTTAGTTCGGAAACAAGAGTGAGGATCGAGGATCCGGTGACATGACGTTCTACTCCAATCCGAGTGTCTCAACCCCCTCCCCATTGAGTAAAAGAAGAAGACTTGACATGAAGTAGAACCTCTATTCTACAAACATCCAGAAAGTACGAGGTCCGAGTTCATGAGAGAATCAGGATCACGGAGTGGGTATCTGGGTTATAAAGCGTTACAGATAATGCGTATTTATACATTTAGGTCGAATAGGAAACAGCATCGAATTCTGTGACATTGACAGTTAAGACGACTAATACGTGGCATTGACATTTAGGATGACCGTAAAATTGACCAATAGGAATTACGGGATTGTGAAGATTGTTAAGTTACACATTTTTTGAAACCATGAATCGATCAATGTTAGAACACCATTAGAGAAACCTGGAAGCAGTGGACGGGACTCATCAGTAGTGCGCATTCATTGATCAAGTCAGACAATAACACAACTAGATACCGGTGCAGTGGTTCAGAGGTTAGGCGTTCGCGCTCAATAAGAATTAACCAATGAGAATTGACCAATAATTCTCTTAGCATATTCGATGAATATCCTATCTATCCTATCTAAAAAAATAACGCAGTCAATTTTGTTTTTCTACATTCACTCTACATTCAGTAATCCAATTCAATGTTCAATTTATCGATTTCTCTTTCTCTCTCTGTCACAGTCTTTTAGATTCCTGTTTAAATCATCAATCAATCACATTGTTATCATTACAAATGACTGATATGAAATTACAATGGCCTACAATAATCACCACTACTAATACCACTAATAGTAGTAGTACAATCAATGATATTCATCAATATGAATTATTCATTTCAAAACAAATTATCATACAATTTTGTAAACTGATCAAAATTAAATTAATACCAAGAACACAAATGAAAGATTTAATGAAAATAATTAATTTCCTAATAACTTGTCCAATTATTTTATTGGTAAGTTGAATTAGTGTCTGTTAACATTAACAGTTATGTGTTTATTGGTGATCGAAATTGGGGCACTACAGTTCTAATATATGTCAGTCAGTCAGTCAGTCAGTTGCAACGTAGAAGGTTGTTTCTTGGGGGACCTGAAAACGAAGATAGATTAGTGTTGGTCTTGGAGACCTGGGAGTGTGACCGCAGAGTCCAAGGGACAAGTGCTTGAGGCCGGTCACGCACGGCCTTTTTATGAAAGGTTTTTTGAGTGTTAGCTCCGCTCTTAAAAGCCCTTAGTGGGCACCCTTATCCAAGGAGACGGAAATGCGTGAGGTAGGGTGAGCTGTGACATTTTTGGGGCCGACCTTTTCTAACCACTTCCTTCCTTGTGAGAAGGCAGCATCACTGCAGATGCTTGTTGTCCGAAGGAAACACCTTACTGCTGTCACACGCCTCTGCAGTCAGCAGTACGACTTCGCCCTCAGACCTTGGGTAGCTGTTTTTAGTCTCATCGTTCTCCAATCGACCAGCCTGACATGGCAGGACCAGCAGGAACATATGTTCCAGCCAGTATGACGATAGTCAAGCCCGACCACCACGTCAAGGTAGCAGCTTCGGTCGGGTTGTGAAGTGGCTGAGCGTGTTGGTAGTCTCATCATTCCTGAAGACCTGGTGTGTGACGAAATCTCAGCACGGAGACGGAGGGCTCAACTTGCATTTGTCAACTTGCGTCGTAGGGTGAGATACCTGTCTACCAACCAAAGGAAGGGTTTATTGCGCAGAAGTTCGCTCCGTCCTAATCTATGGCTGTGAAACATGACCAGTAGGAGTAGATGATATTCGTATGTATACTGGTTTTCGATCATAGCTGTCTTTGAAGCATTGTTCCTATATCCTGAGACTATGAATTAAGCAATGCTGGTGTCAAGAAAATGTAACTAGGTAGAGTTGTCAGATAAATTGAGGAAGTAGTGAATGTTTATCAGTTGAGATGGTAGGGACATCTGTTACGTATGCCTAACCACCGACTGTCTCGACGAGCAATGTTGTCTGATTTAGAAGTGGTATGGAAGAAATGTAGAGGTGGCCGAACAAAAATATGACACGAATCCATGAAGTCACTGACAGCTGGACTGGAACCTGGTTGGGTTCCACGAAACAGTCGTAACCGAGGGTGAGAGGCTTTGAAATTTTTGCCTTCTTTCAAATTTTTATCTTCTCAATTCCTCATGACTTTTTTCCTCGTATCAAATTTGTTTAACTGGGATATACTTCTCGGATCAAATTGTTCTATTTCTAACCTTGTCCGTAACTAATCATGTAGTGAAGGAGAAAACAGGGCAAGTGAATTGTATTTATCGCAAATTACAGAGTTACTCAGTAAAATAGGAAAACCATATCGTAAACCGTTAATTTGCAAATCTTCAATCCATCATCATTCCATTGTCTGACATTTCACTATTCATGCGTTTCATACAAATTCGATTGTGTTCCCACTCTTCCTTTCTTGATCTTCCCCCATCATCTGCTGCCAGGCAATACGTTTCCACTCGCGTTATATACTACTTATAAGTAGCGCGCACCACACTCATATTTCCACTACCTCTGCCACTATGAGATTCGAATTGACAATTGCATCTCTATGCTAATGTGTTATGGTAACTTGAACCGATGTACATACGTATCAAGTTCTAAGTTGTAGCTGAATGAGTCAGTGAATGACTGGCTGATTGAATATGAGGTCTTGACCTATAGAGTTTTACCAATATTAATAATGAGAGAGTTAGAAATTTCAACTGTTGAATACCAGATTAGTGGTTCATGGCGAAATCTGAAGATTTTCAGTTCAATTCTGGGCGGAATAAAACAGTTGTTCATTTAAAATCAGTCCGTAATGTAAGCTAAGAAAAACGTGGCTGTTCTAATTTGTGTATCTGATATGAACAACAGACATTGATAATATGTCATAACGATGATTGACTTTCAAGGATTAATATTATTACAATGCCTACTCGATAATCGGTTAGAAAAGAATTGTTCTGTTTCATTTATCTCCGTGAATAATCAACCAGTGAGTATCCATGGCCGCCGCGCGCGCGCTGTAATCAGACCCAAGACCTATCAACCGAACTTTTAATCAATCCACGATATTGTCTACGGTGAGTAGCTGCCTTTTACATGACATGGTTGGAATCCACTAGTCACGGCTTCTCACTAGATCTTTTGGTGGCGGAGCTTTCATTGTTCTTCTTCTGACCGTCACCATCAGCACGCAAATAGCATTTATTATTTCGTAACGCTGCCACCTCGCGTTGTAATTCTCCTATCTTCTTCGCGACATCATCAGCTTGTCTTTTACACGCTACCGAGGCGACTGTTGAGTTCATCAGTTGTCTTGTTACTTTCAGCAGCTCGGTACGTCCATTGGTTGTGCCGCGTTCACCAGTCTCAACTGTTGGCCGACCTCTGCAGGCACATTTTCAATGAATTGCTACGCTAGCAGCTGTGCTTGCGACTTCTCATCCGAATTCGGCAGACCCCGTCGCAGCAATCTTGTCAACTCCACAACCAGCACGAGTGGGTCGCCACCCACCGTCAGTCTCGCCTCTCAGAACTTCTGCAGCGCGTCCTGCCTATCGGCCAAGCTGTCGAACTCCACCAGCAGCCTTTCCGTCACCACCTCCCAGTCAGCTTCCTCCACACCATCGTACACCGCTCTCGCCCTGCCTCTTAGTAGAGTCCTCAACACCACCGCATTCACCCTCTGCTCCTTGACTCCTACCAGCTCCGCCACGGCCTTGAACTCCTTCAAGAAGCTCCATTCATCTCCGTCTTCAAACTCCCAAGGCCATGGGATCTTCATCCTGTGTAGAGGCGGCAACACCAATTGAGAAGACTGAGGCAGGCGAGGAAGATTGTATTGAGCAAATTTACACTCTTAGTCAATTAAAAACGAAAACATTACATTGAATACACTCTATTTGCACACCATCTTTCAGTCGTGACTTCCAACACTCCATCCTTGTTCTTCCATTCCTGTTGTTGCTTCCTTTCCTTCCTGTTGGTACTCCATTTACTTCTTGCTTTTGCTCCATTTGCTTTCCGTTTTCCTCTTCTGACCGTGAGACTTCTTCTTTCACTTCCCTTCTTATACTACTACTTATATCGTTCGTACAAGTAGCACACACCACAATTCAACATTTTTCCGATCGAATGTAGTCGGTCCATAGATGCCATAATTAGAAAGAAGAAATGTCATGACGTTCGACAGCTAACTGATGTTCACACAGACGAACCTGAAGAGGATGTCCACTCCTTTTTTTTCCGACAAACTCCACCATCTTCATCATCATTCACCTGAGTCAAATAACAACATCTCGTCAAAAAAACGACAGAACTATTACAACTTATTGACTAAAACTTTTATAATTGTAAATATTTTTGTGTTTAGTGTTTCTAATCTGCGTACATATTGATTTTCTCTTGATTAAATTTCAGGTGAAAGATATTATTAACGTGTTAGATGATTGTTTTAGCCAACCTCAATTCAATGATCAATTCATTTTAATGATTTATGAACCAAATTTAATTGTAAAATTGTATAGTTTATTATTTAAACCAAGCTATCAAGTGGATATTGAAACTAAAAAGCTAACTTTAAAGGTAAAAATGCTATTTTTGACATTATATGGTATGATGGAGATTGTTGTTTGACATTGAAAATATGAACGAATCATTGATAGACCACAATGAGAAACTCGGGAAAGACTGAGAAATGGCCGTTTCGTCTTGGTAGCGGACACATTGGCAGTGCACATCCACGACTCCTATTACTCTCAAGAATCGAAACCAGGACCATCGGTCTTGCATGCAATCGCCTGACCTCCGGATTACTGATCTGACATCAAACGATGTTAATGTCTAACGATGACCAAACTAACGGTTTTTGCGCCCCACAGGGTTGAACTACACTGGACACGTCTTCTCACTAGAACTCCTAGAATTTTCTCATGAAACTAGTCACCAGTGGGAACATTTTTTTATACGTACCGCTGATGAATCCCACACCAGGACGAAACGTCGGTCTCTCAGTACTTCCAGGTTTCTAATAGTGGTCTAACATTAATTCATTCGTGATTTTAATGTAAAATACGATTATTTTAATCATTATTATTGTGTTTAATTGTGATAATTCCTAAGTAAACTTTTAACTATTATTTCTAATAAATGATAGTTAAAATCACAAACTGATGTTAGTTAGACCAACTAGAGGCACTGGACAACCATTTTATTTTCGAATGGAACTTCTGGTGTGTGTATCAACGAATATGTTGAACATGCAATGCTTGTCGTCCCACAGTTAGGACAGATTAATTAATCAACTGTTCTCCAGTCATTATTCATACGTTATTAGCTCATAACTATGATTGTTCTTACTTGAGTGTGCGTGTGTGTGTAATGTGCTTACTTCTGCTGTTACATATTTAGCCTATGAATACTTAGTCTTTCCTTATTGCGTTGAATTATCTCACTTGCCTTTTACAATTTGCTTTGCTTGTACGATTTTCATTCTGATGTCTATCTGCTTAAATGAAATGTTATGCAACTCATAGTAAGGAGTTTTTCAATCCCATGATTAAGTTAATATCATAAAATTAATTGGAATTGTACATAACAAAAAAGTCTTTAGTTAAAGTGTCGGTTAGTCAGTCGGCTGGAAATCCCTGGGATAAGGTGAGTTGTGAAATATTTAGGATTGACCTTTTCTAACACTTTCTTTCTGTTGTGAGAAGACAGCATCGGTGTAGATGTTGGTTGTCCGAGGGAAACACCTTACTGCTATCAAACCTCTCTCTCTCAAACCTTAAGTTTGCTGTTTTTAGCCTCGTTGTTCTCCAATCGACCGGTCTGTCATGATATGACCTTAAGGAACATATATGGGTCATCACAACAGGCAGACCCGACCACCACGTCAAGCTAACAGCTATGGTCGGGCTGCTTACATGAAAGAGTTTAGTTGGAATATGCTATGATCATACATACATCAGTGAAGTATAGGAAGGTTGTACATGATTGGACTGCTCAAAAGTCGACAAGCAGCGCGTTTCTATTAACACTAACATTAGTCATAATGAACCTGTAAAACAGGTACGTTGGCCAAACAGAAAGAAGAATATATCTTAGATTTTTTTGAGTAAGTTCCTAAAAGTCTTCAAACAACAGAGAGATCTACCTAAAAAAGTTCAACCATCAGAAATGTCTAGGATACAAGACATCGATTTGATAGCTTGCAATTTTTTAAGGTGATGAATATACATGAATGACTGAGTGTACAGTGAAATAAATTTTCCATTCCATTTACGTATATATCATTCATAATTAGGCGAATCCTGTTTGTGTGACGGCGGTAGTAAAAAGCCAGAATACTGTTTTGTGAATGAATGCATTTAAGCAGGCAGACATGAGAATATGAAAAGTTAAGGTGAATAGAAGTGAATTGGAGGAAGCGAGTGAGCCAAATCAATCCGATAAGGCACGAATAAGTATTTACTGTCAGGTAATAATAGGTTAGACATTTAGCAGTCGAAGTAAGTATACACATAGGCACCCAATAATTGACAAGGTCAAAAAAACTTGGGAATGGTGATTCGAGAGGAATGAATTAGTTAATTAGTCCTAAAGGCTGGGTAGGACAAGCCCTGTAAGTTCGACATATTGGTGACACAAACTACAACTTACTGGCTTTAGTTTATTCAGTCAATTAGAGTAAACTTGGAATTTCGGAGACAGATGTGTTAGTTCAAGTTTTGTTTTGAATTATCCTTAATACTCACCAACCTGATTTAAACAGCGGACATTCACTTGTTGTTCTCTCGATTTGATGAACAACAGCCCTACTATGGGAAAGCAATGAGTAGGAGTTTCCTGGAAATGGTTATACACGTGTGGCAGAGAGTAAACTATCCTCATTCTTGAACATACTGAGGCATTTGGAGGGCCACTACATTAAATGTTTAATTTTGACATAATGAATCGATCGTTTTTAGACCACCATTAGAAACCTGAAAGCGTTGGACAATAGTTTTGTCCTAGTATGGGACTCTTTAGCATTGAGCATACATGAACCCTGCAGACCAGAATCGAACCGAACACTCAGTCACTTGCGCGAACGCTTCACATCCACATCACTTAGCCATCACCAAACAGTGTTAACGTCTAACTTTAATCAATCTAAGTTATTGCGCAACCCCACCTATTATCATCGGTACTTACTGCCCTATATCCGAAATTGTCTAACTTCACTGAGCTTGACTTCTCAAAGGAACTTTGAGAATTTCCTCATGAAACTAGTCGCTAATGAGCTCGTATTACGATATCCATCATAGAGTTACTAAGTTTGTTGAATTTCAGTGAAACCGTCCACTTTTTCCATTCACGATTTCAATGAAACTTAACATTTTCAATTAGAGTTATGGAGATTAGTGTTTTTACACATTTGAAATCATCAATCAGTGATCGTTAGACCGCCATTAGAAACCGGGAATCACTGGAAGACGGCCGTTTCGTCCTGGTATGAGACCCATCAGCAGTGCGCATCCACGACTCCTGCTCCTCACAGGATTTGAACTCGGGACCTTCGATATTGTGCGCGAATGCCTAACCATAGGACCACTGGGCCGGTATCCGACGGTGTTAACGTCTAACTCTGATTGATCTAGGGATTTTGCGCAACCTCACCCATTTGTCTTTGGTAGTTACTGCCTACACGCAACAAAGTTGAACTCCCCTTGGTCACATCTCACTAGAACTCCAAGAATTTCTTCACTAAGCTAGTCACTTAACATTCTCCACGTTTGTTGGGAATATTAGATCCTCAGAACTCGCATGATAAATATCTTCATTTTAGATTTATTTCATAGACCGCTCAATTGACCTTGAGATCACATTTCCCACCTAGAAAATCCTTGGCTGTGATTGGTTACTGTATCATTTTAGTGTGCTATTTTTGTGACTGTCTCTATTGAGTTTAAATAAACGCAATTTGACTTCTTCGATTCATTGTGTGCTGGCTGGGTGTTTGTATAATACAATTTCTACACTATATCCAGACTTCTTGTTGATACCTTTTGTTCAAGCGATCAGAGTAGCCTACCTGTATTCTGGTTCATTGTTTTATTCTCGTTTATTCGACTAAGGTGAACTCGTAATAGTTCTAAGCATACCTACCTAGAGACGAGCGTAACACAACATTTTACTAGTACAAGAATAAATTACATTTTTTCGTACATTCTTTACAACAAACATTCCCTAGATCAATCAGAGTTATACATTAACACCATTGGATGTCGGGCCAGTGGTCCGATGGTAAGGCGTTCGCCTACAATGCCGAGGGTCCCGTGTTCGAATCCTGCGAGGTTCAGGAGTTGTGAATGCGCACTGCACACTGATGAGTCCCATACTAGGACGAAGCGGCCGTCGTGCAGTGCTTCCAGGTTTCTAATGGTGTTAGTCTAACAATCATGATTGATTAATGATTTCAAATGTGTAAAAACGCAAACCTCCAGAACTGTGCCCCAAAAACATTCTCACAATTTTTTTACATTTTATTATTTTATTTTTTCTTCTAGTTCATTCATAAATTAGCTTTATCTGATCGAGTAGCAGATAAGTATAAACAACAATTATTTCTTAAAGAATGGGGTGGTTTCAGTGCATTATTCAATAATAGTCATGCCAATATATCAATATTAATTCAAGATTATGAAATTGTCCAACTATTTTTGGATTTCATGAAAGTTGGTATGAAAGCAAATTTTTGTGCTCAAAATTCAATGTTCCTTTTCTTTTAAAAAAAACGTTTAATATTCATTGATAAATAAGTCATGAATCAGTTATTGTTAGACTACCAGCAGAAATCTGGATATTCTAAGCGATGGCTGTTTCGTCCCGTTATGGGACTCGTCAGTGGTGCGCATTCACAGCTTTTTCTACTCATTCGCACAAAAAATTCATCATAGAGTTATGAAGATTGTCGTTTGTACATGTAAATTGGGAACCAATCATTTGTTAGACTACTACCAGAAACCTGGATATACTAAGAGATGGCTGTTTCGTCCTGATGTGGGACTCATCAGCAGAGAGCATCTACAACTCCTTCCAGTCACTCACGATTCGAAGCCAGGATCGTCGTTCTCGTGGGCCCGAATGCTTAACCTTTAGTCCACCGAGCATTAATGTCTAGTCTTGGTTAAACATCAAGCCTGCTGCACATGCACATCGCTGCATTTTAGACAACGCAAGGATTCTCATTGCAGCTAACAGTAATTACCCCTGCCCCAATCGAGAATATACATGTTGTCCAGTTTGGTCTGCAGATAGGTGGACATCTAAAAAGCGCGCACACAAACAGTGGCCCCCGCTTGGGCACTTATAAAGCGACAGGATCCCTCCGACCAGTCCACTCCCCACAAACCCCAATCGGCAAGGGCAGCAAGTCGGGCTTACCCAGCCTGACCTAGTCAGCAGCCATTCCAACCGTCTGGACTCCAACTGCCTTGCTCTGATACAATCGACCGGAGTCCACAAGGCTCCACATGAAGCTAAAGATATAGTTTGTCCTACAAGGTCAGCCGGAACGTACACCTTTCCATGAGGAAGATGTCATGAGCTCGACCAAGCGCAAGCGCTCATCCCACTACGTAAGTAAGCAGACATCATTGGTGTCCAGTACCAGTTCAGCATTGGAACACCAGAACCCTACTGGAGACCCTTGTTTAAGGGGCCTCAACGCCAGTTCACACACTACATCGGGTGCAGAGTGTAAGGGACAACCACATAGGGTCGGCGTCAATAGTCCAGGATGTCTACGGCTTCTTCCCCAAACAGAACGTCTAGGGCCACCTTCAGTCATCCTGGAAAGCTATATCCCTTTCAAGGTATTTGCTACTACGGAATGATAGAGGACAAGTCCTCAAACCATTGTCGGAATTTGCCTACGCTCGATGGACGGGATTCAGACTTAGAGACGTTTAGTCCTAATCCTCCAGAGTGGCTAACCGCATCCACAGCCTTGCGACCATGAACACGTACCATTATTCTGGACCATGCTAGGCACGGTATCTCAAGTGTTCGGAACGGCTTTTAGCCGCGGCGCTGATAACAACGCCATGTTGCCTGACAGGACCATGAAGAGGTAGCCGTCAGCACAACCCCCAGAAGGCTCCATTTCTGCGCATCACCTAATATACCCATTCAATTAGATGACGAGGCATTTAGCTGCCTTAATAGAGTCATAGTTACTCCCTCCAATGCTTAACCTTTAGTCCACTGAGCATTAATTAGTCCAAGGTATTGCTTAAACTCACCCATTTATCTTCGGCAGTTACTGTACCCTACACTCGACAAGGTCAAGCTCCACTAGTCACATCTGACGAGATTATATTATAAATAAAACGTAGATTATCAATCTATTATTTCCCAATCAATATACATATATTACTTACTCTTCATGACCAGAGTATAGCAGCAGTTCCCCTGAAGCTAGTCTCAGTTGTCCTACCTGTGTCCAATGCGTTTCACTGATACCGAGCACCTCGAGGTTGTATCTTTTCATTTCTGTCGCAACTTGAAATAGTCTTCCAGTCTCCCACAATGTACGAACGTTCCATGTACCTAAAAAAAATGGTTGCTCTAGTTGTCAGTATAGGCATCAGCCCCGTTACTTCCGAGAGAACTCGACTTTCATCATGCGACGTCATAATTCTTCTTCCAACTCCCAGGGCAGAGTGAAAATGGGTTGAATTATTTTTTTTGGTTATCGTTTTTTTGGCAAGTTAGATTTCGACGGAATGGGGTCGTCAACCCCATGTCCAACCCTCCTCCTTTACCCGGGCTTGGGACCGGCAGTAGCCCCGAAGGTTCTACTGGCGGAGTTAATATATATATATATATATATATATATATTAATCTTATGCATACATATTTACTTTCTTAGGTCCTTCCTATGATATTTTTGGATTTTTATGTTTATTCGATTTGCTGCAAAAAAGTCCAGTGAAATTTCGTTTGACAGCAATCAATACATTTATGAATATTTTAAATAAATCACCAAAATATGTTATTGACAATTTAAATCAATGCTCATCATTTGTCGACTCATTTTTTCGATTATTGTGTAAATCTCCAAGACGGTAAGTGTTACTGTGTTTTATTTGATAAAAGGTCATGAATTGATTATTAGTTAGACTTGGAAACTTGAAAGCACTGGATGGTTGTTGCTTCATAGTTAGTATAGGATTCATCAGTAGTGTGTACATTTACGATTCCCGACTGCGGAGATTGAACGCAGAACTGTCGGTCTCATGTGCGACTAGTGGAGTTCAACTCTGTCACATGTAGACACAATATTGTGGATTGATAACAGTTAGACATTTACACCATTGAATGCCGACCTGTGATGTGGAGTTTAAATGTTCGTGAATGAGCAAGAAGGTTGTAGGTTCGATTCTGGTGTGGTGTGTGCTACTTATACCAACGATATAAGTAGTATAAGAAGAGACGTGAAAAAAGAAGTCTCACTGTCAGAAGAGGAAAACGGAAAGTAAATGGAGAAAAAGCAAGAAATGAGTGGAGTAACAACAGGAAGGGAAGGAAGCAACAGCAGGAATGGAAGAAGGATGGAGTGTTGGAAGTCGCGACTCAAAGATGGTGTGCAAACAGAGTGTATTCAATGTAATTTTTTCGTTTTTAATTGACTAAGATTGTAAATTTGCTCAATACAATCTTCCTCGCCTGCCTCAATCTTCTCACTGGTATGAAAAGTGATGGATATTGTTGGGGACGTTCGATCCCTAGAACTCGCTCGATAAATGTCCTAATTTTGAATTTTATTCATGATCTGATCAGGTGACCTTGAGATCACATTTCTCACCCGGAAAATCTTTGGCTGTGATTGGTTATTGTGTTATTTGTGTGTTCTATTTTCGTGACTCTCCCAAGGACGTCTCAATAATGTATAAATAGACACGATTTGTGTGCTTGGGATCATCCTGCTTGCTAGGTGTTTGTAGAATACATTTCCTACGCTATATCAATACTTTTCGTTAGTTCCTTTAGGATCAGCGGATCAGAGTAGCCTACCTGGACGCTGGTTTATTGCCTCATTCTAATTTATCGATTAAGGTGAACCTTTAATAGTTTCAAGCATACTAAGTGATGAGCATAACAGATATGCATAAATGATGAGTCACATACTAGTACGAAACGGCTGTCCAGTGATTCTAGGTTCCTAATGTCGGTCTAACAATGATCGATTCTTGATTTTCATATCACTCAACAATCCACAGCTGTACAGTGTAACTAGTACTAGTGTGGTGTGAGCTACTTATAAGTAGTATATGACGCGAGTGTAAACGTAATGTCTGGCAGCAGAACATGGGGGAAGATCAAGAAAGGAAGAGTTAGAAAACAATGGAATTTGTATGAAACGCATGAATAGTGAGTGACAATGGATTGATGTTTTGCAACAGGAACAGTCCAGTTCGATATGATGGATTGATATTTTGCAAATTAACCGTTTACGATATGGTTTTCCTATTTTACTGAGTAACTCTGTAAATTTCGTTAAATACAATTCGGTTTCCTTCACCTTTGTTCACCTTCACTACACTAGTAGTGTCGTAGTGTAGTATCTTTGTATCATTTAAAGTTAAATCAAGTTTACTGGTTATATTTTTGTTGATCATTTTTTTAAAATTTATTATACACAGAAGTGTTGAACGAATCGAACAAATATCAATATCACAATTCGGATTAGCTGGAATTCATTTACCACAAAAACATTTGAGTGAAATTCATTCCAAGGATTTACCAGTGAGTTGTTTAAATATTTTCTGTTTGTCGTTGCACAAAACTAGTAGTACCATAATGGACATCAACTCTAAAATGTACGTCACGGATCCTACCATTGTTAACCACTATCTATCTCTGATTACTAAAGGTAATCCTCACAGGATAAACACATGCTAACTGATCAGCTGTAGTCGTGATCATCAGTATGCAGGTTAAAATTATTGATGTGAATGAATTAAACTCCACTCGATGATGCAGTAGGAATGGCTGTCAACACTTACCAGTTAACTGGATGACGTAATGGTGTTTTGAGTTTGATGGTACTGGGTTCGAGTCCTGAGGTTAAGCTCAACTATGGAATGTAGAAGTGAAATCCACTGGATGAGTTCGAAATGGGACGAAATGCACATTATATATTCCATCGATGCTTATTACCGGTCTCTGTATATAATATGAAATAATTGCTATACTAATAACATGAAACTTTTTAAGTTTGAACAGCAATGACTGCTTAATCAACAATTTCTGTATTTTTATTCAAACTACTATTAGTAACATAAGTAGTTTAGAAAAATCTTTTATTATATACATGTTCAATGACAGATTGAGTGGGATATCATACACTAGAACGAAACGACTCTACAGTTGTTCCCGACTTTCAATAATTGTCTGACTTACATTGGTTCATGGTCTGAATAGGGATTATGCAATCTCCAACCCCCCCGCTACTATACTATTTTCAAACTGAGGCGGTTTTAAAATACTGACCGATTTCTACATTCAAAGCTCCAATACCAGAGATTGGACCTAAAACCGTTGGTCTCGCTTGCAAATGTTTAGACTCTCGAACACTGAACCGAGATCCGTTGATTTTGACCTAGGTTTTTATTGGTAATCTAGGTTGGATCCATTTATAATCTTAGCAAATTTTCACTATCTCCGTAACACATTCATATCTTCGAACTCTAGTCTTTACGATTATTGCTTATACTTCTACTATCTCTACTACTACTACTACTACTACTACGGGATTTGAATTGACAATTCTATCTCTATGTGCCAGTGTGGTATTGTAACTTGACCTGATCTAAGTACTCGGACTAAGTTCTACGTTGTAGCTAACTCACTAACTTTAATCTGTAATGTTAACATAAAGTATCGTTTTGCATATACACTCCTCTTATTATTATTATTATTGTGTCTTTATTATTAGTCCATCGGTGATTCTGGTCATGGTAGTTCAATAATTTCACAAAGTGAAGAGTTCTATTCACCAACTCAATCATTACCAGAGAGTAATTCATCAAGGCTATCTTCTTTGTCGAATAGTGAAGTAGATTCTGTTTTTCATAGTCCACCTTATGATCGTATATCTGATCAAATGAATTCTTTCAAAGATACCAACCAGTTAGATTCATCACATAGTTCAAAACTTCAACGAAATTCAACTAATATTTCAGATCAAGTTAGTACAACAGATCGACAACCCGTTTCTGATTTACAACAACAACAACACCAAACTACTGATAATACTGAATTCAGTAGTATAAATACGTCGCAACAAAAACTACTAGAAAATGAAATTCTAGAGGATAATTTAACTCAATCAGTACTTAAATGTGTACATGAAATCCTTTGGATATCTAGTCATTTAGAACGTTGGCATTTGAGTACAACAATTACAAATGATGATCCATGGGTGGTAAGTTTTCAGATGAGGTTTTTTACTTTAGTTTGTAGATTATGACAAAAAATAAGTAAAATTTCACTGTCAGCTTCCTTCCATCTCCTAGTTTACTACAACTGAAGGAGTAATTTTTCCCTTGGATAATATTTCAGCAGTGTTACCTACATACTTAGGTCCTGAGATGGCGGACAAAACTTGTAGCTCAGGTGGATGATTGTGGTGGTGTTTCGTTCTCTGAGCTGGGTGTTTTGGTTGTGGAGCTTTCATTGTTTGTTCTTCTGAACAATGAACATCATCAGCACAAACTTCAGATAGAAGTGGAGCATTCGAATTTCTCCATGTTTCACCTGTAGCTTGTTCTGCTAACCTCGATCTTGATTGGCTGTTCTTGTTGACCTTAAACCTGTCATCGTTTGCACCTTTGTTTTGATTGCATCCTCCTTTTGATCAGCTTTTCTTGATCCCATGTCACCTATGATTTTTCTGATTGGTTGATAAATTGGGTCAATGTCGATGTGTTTGATGATTGCTAATTGACCTGAATGCCAAGCTTCTAAAAATTCTCTAGTGTTCTTTATCCTCCCCCTACCCCGTATTTCCACATTGTTCCAATCAAATGCGTGTCCATTATTGTCAGTGTGTATTGGTATAAGCGAAGCGTTGTCGTGGCGTTTGACTGCTAATTGATGTTTACGTAAACGGAGCTGAAGAGGTCGTCCACTTTGTCCTATGTAGTGTTTTTTACACTAGAGAATTTTTAGAAGCTTGGCATTCAGGTCAATTAGCAATCATCAAACACATCGACATTGACCCAATTTATCAACCAATCAGAAAAATCATAGGTGACATGGGATCAAGAAAAGCTGATCAAAAGGAGGATGCAATCAAAACAAAGGTGCAAACGATGACAGGTTTAAGGTCAACAAGAACATCCAATCAAGATCGAGGTTAGCAGAACAAGCTACAGGTGAAACATGGAGAAATTCGAATGCTCCACTTCTATCTGAAGTTTGTGCTGATGATGTTCATTGTTCAGAAGAACAAACAATGAAAGCTCCACAACCAAAACACCCAGCTCAGAGAACGAAACACCACCACAATACTTAGGTCCGTTACCCAAAATGGAGCATAGACCACTGACTAGCACTGTCCGACCTACACTATCCTGGACCTTACCTTCCAGTTCTGTTTGAATGTTGTTCATTCTTCTCATGTCTGCCTCCATTTCTCGGCGTAACGTGTTTTTTTGAATCTGCCTCTTTTCATGTAACCTTAAGAATTCCAAGTTAAGCGTTCGATCACAGGGTGGAAGATTCTGGGTCCGAATCCTGTTAGTATCATGAGTTGTGTAGGCTAACAGCCAATGAGTCCCATCTCAGGATGAAACAGTCATCCAATGGTTCCAGTTTTCTAATGATAGTCTAACGATGAGTAGATCACCATTTCAATGTCATACAATCATCTCCATAATTTATAAGGTAAATTTTCCGAGAAAAAAAATTAAATCCTCGATATCCTGCTCCATCGCCGTCCAGACGGATCAATCAGACGAAAAGTACACCGCAAACCCACCTGGTCGGGACAGTACCTCCACTTCACTAGTTTCTGCCCCATACAATATAAACGTTCTGTTGTTAAAACTCTTTATTCGCTCGAGCAAGTAGAATCTGCACTGCTGATACATTGAACGACGAATTCAAGCTTATTACTGACACACTTAAATCAAACGGATATCCCGAAACGTTTATTGGTCATCAGAACACAACTATGACGAAGCTGATAGCAACTGATGTGCCCAAGAAACCAGTGTACCTACAATTACCTTTCAAAGGTGATCATTGCATGAAAATTACAACCAAACAGACTGCAGCTGCAATAAAAAAGACCTTCAATGCAGCTAATCTGAGGCTTATCACAACAACCAGATCGATCTCAGTTACCCCAATCAAGTCTCCAAGACCGATTCAGTCCAAATCCCACTGTATTTACCAATTCACATGTAACTTCGGAGAAAGTTACTTAGGGAGGACAGATCGCCGATTGGAAGACAGGATAGGGGAACATATTCCAAAATGGCTAATCAAATCCATGATTCATCAACCTAGCCCATCATCTCAAAATCGATCAAGAAACCCAGCCTCGTCCATTGCAAAACATCTAATGATGAGTGGTCATCAAACTGACTCAAAATCAGCCTTTAGAGTTGTGACATGCATGTCATCAAAACCCACACACACTGAAACTACTCGACTCTATCTTGATTGGTCGGAAAAGTCCAACTTTATGTGTTCAAAAAAACAATTGTATGTTGACCTTTGTTTACTTACCATGGTGGTTCTAGTGAGTGAATGTCATGATGCTAAATAAGAAATTTTGACCTTATCTTCAAAACTGTATTTACACACAAATAACATGTTGCTTGTTGTATGTGACTGACGAGAAAGCACGAAATGGTACTACTATCTCACAAAATATGTCTTCTCATTTCTCTGTTCAAATTTATCAAAGGGAACCACTGTTTTAAATCTCATTTTCATTGTTATCAAATAGGGTTATTACAAAGCTATGGTATCATTTATGGAAATGAGCAATCAATTCATTTTAATTAAACCTGCATTTTGGATAATTCAACGATTATTTGAATTAATTATTTCTTCATTGGAACAATCATTACCAAATTATAGTAAGTAATTTGTTTTTTTTAACAAAAAGATAAATTAGAATTTATTTCAAATGTAAGTGAAGTGGAGAAAATTAGTAGCTCAGCTGGATAATGATGATACTGTTAAGATAGCCTTGTAGAATTATTGGTCAAATCTTATTGGTCGATTTCTGTTGGTCAAAATTATGGTCGTTTTTTAACTGTCAAAGTCAAATACTTCAATGTTGTTGTCTCTTATTGGTCATCTGGACTGTCAATGTCATTTCAAATGGTTACTTCCTATTGGTCGTCTAAAATGTCAATGTCACGGAATTCGATGCTGTTTCTTATTCGACCAAAATGTATAAATACGCATCATCTGTAACGTTTTATAACCCAGATTCCTAGTTCGTGATTCTGATTCTCTTCTGGACTCGGACCTCGTACTTTCTGGATGCTTGTAGCATACAGGTTCTACTATTTTTTTTACTAAATATGGGGGCTGGGATAATCAGGGTAGGGTAGCATGTCGTGTCACCGGATCCTCGATCCTCGCTCTCGTTTTCCGATTAGGTAAACTCGTAATAGTTCAAGTATATCAAAATGACGTGTGTACTTGTAGGCGTAACAGATACTGAGCACATTAGAACGAAACCTGGAAGCACTGGACAGCCGTTCCATCCTCGTATGGGACTCATTAGTAGTCTGCATCTACGATTATCCCTACTTTTCAAGAATGGAACCTACGACATTCGGTCTCATGTGCGAATGTTTAATATCTTGTCAATTGAGTCGGCTGTTGGGGATGTTAGATCCTTAGAACTAGCTTGATAAATGCCTTATTTTGGATTTCATGTTTTATTTCCCACCAGGAAAATCCACGGCTGTGATTGGTTGCTGTGTTATTTTAGTGTGCTATTTTCGTAACTGTTCCAAGGATGTTTCTATGATGGATAAATAAACGAGAATTGTGTGCTTTATTGTATTGTGCTTGCTGCGTGTTTGTAGAATATACTTTTTATACGCTGGTTCATTGTTTCTTTCGCGTTTATCAACTAAGATGAACTCGTAATAGCTTCAAACATACCTACTGACGAACATATCATCGGCTCCGAACGATGTCTTCACTGGGTAACTGTAAACACTCGACACAGCATTACTACACTGGTCATGGCTCCTCACCTGAAATCTGAGAATTTCCTCATGAAGCTAATCACTAATGAGTACATTTTATAATATTTATCATTTAAACATAGTCACTGTTGTTTTTCATATGTCTAACAATGATCGATTCATGATTTCATATCATTATTTTGTGTTCGGTTTCTTAAACGAATGTTTGTCTACGACTTTTCTGATTGGTTGGTAAATTAGATCAATATGGATGTGTTTGTTGATTGGTCAATGACTTGAGTGACCACCAAGCTTCTAAAAATTCTCCCATGCACTTTATAATCCCTCTATCCAGCGATTCAATGTAGAGTGTAATGTTGTAATTATTTTTTATGGCACTGCTTTACACTGGCGACTAGCTCCGTGAGGAAGTTTTTCCGAGTACTAATGAGACGTTCTGACCAGTGAAGTTCAAACCTGTTCACGTGCAAGGTAGTGCTCACTGAAGATAGTAAGTGAGGTTATGCAAGACCGTGTATCGATTGAAGCTAGACAATGAAACCGTTAGATGTCAACTCAATGGTCCAGAGGTTAGGTTTTCTAGCGTGCCATACCGAAGGTCGTGGGTTCTATTCTGATGTGTGGGCATTGTGGATGCTCACTTCTGATGGGTCCTTACAGATTTCTAATATTCATCGATTCATGATTTCAAAAAGTAACTCAACAATCTCCACAACCCTATCATAAATACAATCTGTTGTGATTAGCAACGAAATCTAGGATCTATTAACCCTTCTTATATGACACTGACTAGCCGTATGTTCACATTAGTCAAAGAACCCAGTAATTATTGATTAGTTTAGTTTATAGATAGGTCTCAACATACATAAACGAAAAAGCAAAATTCTCCGATGCAACACAACATGCACCAACCAAACCACTCTTGATGCAGATGCCTTGGAGGACGTTAACACCTTTACATATCTGGGCAGTATCATCGACGAGAAAGGTGGATCGGATGCAGATGTGAGGGCGCGGATTGGTAAAGCGAGGGCTGCATTTCTACAGTTGAAAAATATCTGGAAATCCAAAGGAATATCAATCAACACTAAAATCAGGATTTTCAATACAAATGTGAAGACAGTTCTACTGTATGGAGCGGAAACTTGGAGAACTACGAAAGCCATCATCCAGAAGATACAAGTGTTTATTAACAGCTGCCTACGCAAAATACTTCGTATTCGTTGGCCAGACACCATCAGCAACAACGTACTGTGGGAGAGAACAAACCAGATTCGAGTGGAGGAGGAAATCAGGAAGAAGCGGTGGAAGTGGATAGGACACACACTACGAAAAGCACCTAACTGCATCACGAGACAAGCCCTCATCTGGAACCCCCAAGGCAAAAGGTAAAGAGGAAGGCCAAGGAACACATTACGTCGAGAAATAGAGAAAGATATGAGAAGAATGAACAAACAATGGACAGAATTGGGAAGGGTAGTCCAGGACAGAGTTGGTTGGAGAAAACTGGTCGGTGGCCTATGCTCGATTGGGGGTAACAGGCATAAGTAAGTAAGTTAGTTAGTTTATAGATTAATCAATAACCATTTGTCTATATTTAACTTCTTTTTTATTTTCTATCTTCAGATCAAAATTTATTATTTCCAGGTGCAGTGGATGCAGAGAAAGTTCGTAAAGTTGTTTATTTATTCATGATATTTCTGGTCGATACAATTTGTAATCATAAACATCTGATCGATGATCAATATCGAGAGGAAGTAAGTGGAATTATTCCGTAAACAGATACCTGTATATATATGTATATATATATATATATATTCCTGTTCAGTGCGGTTCTAGTCTAACCGTAGCAGCTACCTTGATACGGTGGTCTGGCTTGCCTATCATGATGACCCAACTGTTATGCCTGCACGTAAACACATCAACTTGATATGCTTGAACTATTACGAGCTTACCTAGTCGGAAAACGAGAGCGAGAATCGAGGATCCAGTGACACGACATGCTACTCAAATCCGATTATCCCAACCCCCATATTGAGTGTAAAATAAGAAGACATGATATGAAGTAGAACCTGTATTCTACAAGCATCCAGAAAGTACAAGGTCCGAATCCAGAAGAGAATCAGGATCCCGGACATAAGATCCGGGTCTGGGTCATAAAACGTTACAGATGATGCGTATTTATACATTTTGGTCGAATAGGAAACATCATCGAAGTCTGTGACACTGACAGTTAAGACGACCAGTAAGAAATAACATTGGAGCACGTGACATTGATATTTAGGACGACCATAAAAATGACCAGTAGGAATTAACCAATAGGAATTGACCAATAATTCTCTTAGGATATTGGATGATTATCCTAAAACCAACCGAGCTAAATTGACTAGAACATATGTTCCTGTGGGTTCTACCATACCAGACAGGTTGACTGAAGAACGGTATGTCTAAAAGCAGCAACCTAAAGTCTGAGGGTGAAGTTGTACTGTTGATTGTAGAGGAGTGTGACAGCAGTAAGGTGTTTCTGTCGGACAACCAGCATCTGAAGCGATGCTGCTTTCTCACAACGGAATGTAGGTGTTAGTAAAGGTCGACCCTTAACATTCCACACCTCACTTTAATCTGTGGACTTCCGTTTCAGGCAGTAAGGCATTTTCAAGAGCGGAGTTAACGCTTTCAAAACAATTCATGAAAAGGTTGTGTGTGACAGGCTTCAAACAGTTGTCGCTTGAGCTCTGTGATTATCCTCCTGGGTCTCTAAAGACAACATTAATCTAATTTCCTTTTCAGGTCCATCAAGGAACTTCCTGGGTAGCCGGGAAGGGACATCCACATTCAAACCGGTAACGACATACGAGATCAAACTAGTCTCAATCAACTCCTTTCCTTACCTTTGAATAACCCTTTGACTTCAATTTTTACATTCTAATATATGCCAAGTGAAAGTAGAAATGGGATTAGTTATTGAGTGTAGATAAACAAGCAATTAGTCTAATGAGTAAATGACTATGTGATCTTATCATTTACTTACTTACGCTTACTTCCGATTGTGGAGCGTAGGCTACCGACAGACACTCTCTGTCCTCCGCTCTCCAATCCAGTTGTTCCCAATCGCTATTCATTCTTTTCATGTTCAACTCCGATTGTTGATACAATGTGTTTTTAGGTCTGCCTCTTTTCTTTTGGCATTGGTAATTCCAAGTTAGGGCTTGATTTATGGTACAGTTGTGTGGTTTCCACAATGTGTGTCATATGCTCCGTCCAACGATTTCGCATAATTCCCTCTTCAGCTGGAAACTGTAGGTTGTTCCTGACGATGTCTGGCCAACAAATCCAGAGTATTTTACGTAGACAACTGTGAATAAAAACTTGTATCCTGTGGATGATGGCTTTCGTGATTCTCTAAGTTTCCGCTCCACACAATAGAACAATTTTAACTTTCATACTGTAAATTGTGACATTGATGTGTTAGTCGAAAGTTGTTTAGATTTTTAGATGTTCTGAAATTGTAGAAACACTAACCTTGCTTTAGTAATTACTCGATGATCACAGACGAATTTTTTCTCATCTCTGCCGAACCAATGAGTGAGTGTTGGATTTCGCCAGGAAATTTACTCAGCAATATAGTCAATTAACATTTTGGCATGATCGCTTATGTCGTCAGTTCGTGATGCGAAGAGCCAACTCTCATTCCTAACGGCTTACATTCAGCTGTAAATCCTATATCTAAATTTCTGACATTGATTTATAATCCTCTTTTATTTCAAGAAAGTAGGTGAATATTCTCAAGGATACTTAGGTATCACTCAAATTACAGTTTCACCCATTATTTCCTGCTTAAATCATCTCTCATACTAACTTGTTTATTTTAAGCAGAGATGCATGATGACTGACAGTTGAATCCAGGATATACATCTCGATTTATTTCGAACTCGTCACCTGGATGTACACATCATCTTCCAGAGTAGATATTCTTCACTCTGCTACTCGAACCTTTAACCCGTTTGCCGACCACAACTGATCGAATTTCCGTCAATTTTAGTCTCACCCATTATCTCCTAGTTAAAACTTAGCTCATGCCAACTTGTTTATCATGAGCAGAGATGAATGGTGACTGGCAGTAGATTACAGGATACACATCTCGATATGCCAATTTCACTCTCACTCACTGACAGTAGAATCCAGGAAATACATCTCCGAATCATTACCTGAATGTACCCATCATCTTCCAGAGTTGATGTTCTTCACTCTGATACTCGAACTCTTAACCCGTTTGCCGACCACAACTGATCAAATTTGTTAGGATACTCATCCATTATCCTACGGGTATTATTGGTCAATTCCTTTTGGTTAATTCCTACTGGTGAATTTTATGGTCGTCCTAGTAGATATCAATGTCATGTCCTCCAATGTTATTACTTATTGATTTTCCTGACTATCAATATCACCCCAAATGCAACTTCCTATTGGTCGTCTTAACTGTCAATGTCACAGAATTCGATGCTGTTTCCTATTCGACCAAAATGTATAAATACGCATTATGTGTAACGTTTTATGATCAGGACCAGGACTCGGTCCCGGATCCCTAGTCCGGGATCCTGATTCTCTTCTGGATTCGGACTTCGTACTTTCTGAATGCTTGTAGAATACATGTTCTACTTCATATCAAGTCTTCTTATTTTTTACTCAATATAGTGGTTGGGATAATCGGATTTGAGTAGCATGTTGTGTCACCGGATCCTCGATCCTCGCTCTCGTTTTCCGACTAAGATAAACTCGTAATAGTTCAAGTATATCAAGTTGATGATGTGTTTACATGCCGGCGTAACAATTTCAGTCTCACTCAATATCTTCTAGTTTAAAACAGCTCTCATATCAACTTGTTTATTATAAGCAGAGATGAATGATAACTGACAGTAGAATTCAGGATATACATCTCGATCTGCCAATTTCACTCTCACTCACTGACAGTAGAATCCAGGATTTACATTTCGATCCTCCAATTTCACTCTTATTCACTCACAGTAGAATCCAGGATATACATCTCGTACTCATTACCTGAATGTAACCGTCATCTTCCAAAGTTGATGTTCTATTACTCTACTCATCGAACCCATTCATCACCTGCCAATTTCACTCTCACCCACTGGCAACAGAATCCAGGATAAACATCTCGTACGCATTACTTGAATGCACCTGTCATCTTCCAGAGTTGATGTTCTATTACTCTACTCATTGAACTAATCACCCCTTTATCAATCAAAACTGATCGAATTTCAATCTCACCCTTGATTAAATCATTCGTTTTATTCTCCCACTTTGTTATTTTTCTATCTTTTTTTATAGTTAATCCGATCATTGACTAATTTATTACAAAATTCTTTATTAATATGGGAATTAAATGTAACACAATGGAAAGAAATTCATCCTCTTATGATTTATTTCATTTTTTATTGGATTCTTCATTTAAACAACAACACCAACACCGCCAATAACCATAATTATCATTCGTCACATGTTCAATTATTGATTTATTTATTCAACCAATTATATTATATTCTATGTCATTTCAATGAATTAAACAAGCCATCTTCTAATGTGGTAGTAAGTTTTGATATATTTTTTTGATATGATTACAATACTCTAAAACTGTGGTGTGCGCTACTTATAAGTAGTATATGACGCGAGTGTAAACCTAATGTCTGGCAGAAGAAGATGGGGGGAAGATCAAGAAAGGGAGGAAGAGTGGGGGGAACACAATGGAATTTGTATGAAACGCATGAATAGTGAACTGTTGTCAGACAATGGATTGATGATGGATTGAAGACTTGCAAACTAACGGTTACGATATGGTTTTCCTATTTTACTGAGTAACTGTGTAATTTTCGTTAAATACAATTTGGTTGTCCTCACCTGTGTTCTCCTTCACTACATTTGGTGTCGCTGCCTGCACGAAGGAAGGAGCTCCCGTGGCCGAAGGATTTTGAGGACGGAGATCCGCGGAGCTTCCTGGAGGAGTTTGAGGCCGTGGTGGGGCAGGTGGGTGTGAAGGGGCACGGGGCGGAGTTATTGGTGCTGGGTACGCTGCGGGGAGTTGAGGCAAAGTCTGTATACGACAGCTTGGACGATGCCGCCAGGAAGACGGCGTGGGAGACAGTCACCGGGCGGTGGTGGAATGATTCTGGCTTCCAGTGGAACTTAACAATTTCTGAAACTCTCTAAAAATTCTGATACTGATCATATGCTCAGTAGAGTGATTAGCTATGAGAATCTATTTCACGTGTCCTATGACCAGTGGAGGCAGATTCCTCCTCCATTGAGAAAAAATGGATGAGGTTCAGTTAATATTGTGCATTGTTCGCAGTTAGTGTTGGTGATGTTAGATCCCCAGAACTTGCTTGACAAAATGCCTTATTTTGGATTTCACGTTTGCAAGTATGGGCTGATCAGTTGATCTTGATATTTCATTTACCACCAGGAAAATCCATGGCTGTGATTGGCTTCTGTGTATTTTACTGTGTTATTTTCATAACTGTCCCAAGGACGTTTCTATGATGTGTAAATAAACGAGATTTGTGTGCTTGATTGTATTGTGTGATTGCTGGGTGTTTGTAGAGTATACTTTCTACGCTTACCAAGACTTCTGTTTTACAGTTTGGGATTCAAGGTAGACCTATCTGGACGCTGGTAATTGTCTCGTTCTCGTTTATCGACTAAAGTGAACTCGTAATAGCTTCAAGCATACCTAGTGACGAACTTAAGAGTTAGACATTAACCCCAAGCGAAGTTACGCTTGAACTGAATGCTTTTTGATTTGTTCTTTTAGGGTTACTTGTGAGCGATACAGTCTTCCATCTGTAGGTCAGAAGTTGAAGGACTAGCTTCCTCAGAAAACTACTTGCTTCAGTTTGAGTGCTCGTGCAGTATCCCACCTCGCGAACATACACAACTTAGTATATAGGTGTGAAATATCCACGCACAAGACTGATGATCCTTGGTTTGATTTCCGGACTGGGGGGATGCACGATGATGAAGAGTTCCATACTAAGAAGACACAGCAATCCAATGCTTTCAGGTTTCTAATGGTGATGTAACATGGATTGGTCTATGGTTTCAGTGATACTATAAAACTGTCAGTCTAGTTATTTATGAGATGATGGAGAAAATCTGTAGCTCAGATGAATGATTATGGTGGTGTTTCGTTCTTTGAACTGGTTGTGGTTTGGTTGTGAACCTTTCATTGTTCTGCTTAAACAACCTCATCAGCACAAACTTCAGGTAGTAGTGAAGTATACGAATTTCTCCTTGGTTGCCCCATAGCTTGTTCTGTTAACCTGGATCTTGATTGGTTGTTATTAACCTGAAATCTGTCGTTGACTGAATCTTTATTTTGATTGTATCCACCTTTGCTCTGTTTTTGATTGGTTGATAAATTGGGTTGATGTCAGTGTGATTGTTGATTGCTTCTAAAACTTTTCTAGTGTTCTTCGTATCTTCTCTATCCAGTGGTTGAACATTTTTCCAATCGAATGTTGATTCACAGCTGTCCGAATGTATTGATATAAGGGAATAAATGTCATATCGTTTGACTTCTAACTAATGTTCACGTAGACGAAGCTATCTGAACTGAATAGCTTAGTGGATGACATGATGGCTGTTGGAGTTGCTACATCCCTAGAAAATGCATAACAGTGATCTTGTAATTATTGTTTGGAGATTTAAATTCTTTATTTTCGCGCTAAAAGTGCCTATGATAACCACTTGTAAGGGCCTTAAACCTCATTGGTTTCAGTGTTCTGTTTTGAAACTCTTCAAAGGATGCACTTTGCATTGTGTAACTCACGCTTGATTTGGTGTCAGCGTTTTTAGTCAATTAGTTTTCTACAGGATGGGGTCGATAATCCTACACCCTACCCTCCTTCTTTATCTGTGCTTGGGATCGGCTGTAGCTTCAGAGGAGCTTCTGGAGGAGTTATGCTTGAACTGAATGCTCGTTAGCTCATTCTTTTGGGGTTGCTTGTAGATTATACAGTCTTTCGGCTGATCTTAGATGTTTTGCTATAGTTTGTTTGGTTCAGCTTCAGAGAACAGTTTGAATACTCGTCCACACACCCAAATCCATCAATTTCTGTGGTGAATTATTATTTAAGTGCCTTTTATACCAGTGACTATTTGTTTAAATCAATAAAAAGTGATTAAGAAAAAAACACTCAGTACTGAAATCGACTTTAAACTACACAGATTGCAGTGTCAAGTAAATGAAATTTTCTCAGTATTTTTTCTTACTATTCTACACTACGTTTTATGTGTAACACATCATACTACTTTGATTTAATAAGTAGTTTGAGCAATATTATTGAATTTCTGAGGTATGCCCATAGTATTGTTTCTGTTATGATTTATACTTTTCATGGTATGATTCCAATCCAGATATGTCACAGATTTCAGGTTTGTAAATTTCTAATGTTTTCGAACACTTGATTATAAAACTGAAAATCTTTGGACTTATTTCATAGGTGTATTGGTAGAGTGAACTATTTGCCAAAAAAATACCTTATATGGTATATGTTGACAGTAAAATTAGGAATCTGTTCTGCCTTCAAACAATTCACGTCATAGAATAACTGTCTTCTTCTGTTTTCGATAGAACCACTCTTTATAACTGACAGAGTTGTAATTCGCTGATCATGGAACTTTTACTAGAACTTTACACTTCGAATTAGAGTGATATCTCTTCGTATAAAGTAGTCTTATTTAGAGGCGTTCAAAGACATTTTAAAACTTTAAGAATGCCTTATTAAAGATTCGAGCGTCTGGAAATTATTACTTACGCCTTAAAATAATTAGTTATATCGTTGACTATTTCGTTAGGCTATAGAAAATGCAGGAATTTCAGATCTATTCAGATTTGTCTAGTGATAAATTTGAAGATAGGAAAACGTAGATTTTTGATGCTGAATTACTTAACCAATATGGTAGATTCATTTTGTTGGATAGTTTTATGTTGTAGCTCAGAAAAAACCATTCATGGTTGAGTCAATCAGTCAGTCAGTCAGTCAGATGCAACGAGGTTCCAAGAGACCAGAAATGACGTTTCGTGAACTCGCATCGTTTGCATTAGCGGTGCAGTCAGATAAGAGAATGTGAGTAGAGTTAGTTGTGGAGAGAAGAAAGGTATGTTTGGGAGTAGGAAGAATTTGATTTCGACCAATTTGGTCTCGTGTGCTGTTACGGGTATGAGGGCGGTTGTCAATTCCCGGCTGCCCACACCATGGAAGGTTGTTTCTTGAAGGACCTGAAAAGTAAGATAGATTAGTGTTGGTCTTGAAGACCTGGGAGCGTGACCGCAGAGTCTGAGGGACAACTGCTTGAGGCCGGTCACGCATGGCCTTTTTATGTGAGGTTTTTTGAGGATTAGCTCCGCTCTTAAAGGCCCTTAGTTGGCACCCTTACCGACGGAGACGGAATCCCGTGAGGTAGGGTGAGGTGTGACATTTTTAGGGTCGATCTTTTCTAACCCCTCCTTCCTTGTGAGAAAACAGCATCGCTGCAGATGCTGGTTGTCCGAGGGAAACATCTTACTGCTGTCACACCTCTATGCAGTCAGCAGTACAACTTCGCCCTCAGACCTTGAGTAGCTGCTTTTAGTCTGATCGTTCTCCAATCAACCTGCCTGACATGGTAGGACCTGCAGGAACATATGTTCCAGCCAGTATAGCTCGGTCGGGTCATCACGATAGTCAAGCCCGACCACCACATCAAGGTGGTAGCTACGGTCGGGCCATGGTTGAGTAGCGGATACAACATCACATTCAATTCTCGAGTCCCCACCGATAGAAAAATAATGTCAGTTAGTACAGAAAAAACACACGATTTTTTGTTATAAATTATCTAAATCTATGTTTTACTTCACTATTGTCTAGATTGCATTTTTTGTGTATCATTTGGACAAAGTCATTGAAACATGGTCAAGAGTTGATGAATTCCAAACCAAGGTAGATGATTTCCACAAAAGAAAAGAAACGAGTGAAACTTCCTATACTCAACCTTCCAATAACGAAAAAGATATGAATCAACGTGTTCAGTCTGTGATCGATTCCCGGTCAGACAATTCATCACAAACAAGTTCTGAAACACAAAATCTATGTTTACATTTTAATCAAATTATGTTTAAAATATTTACAGATCATAGTAAATCATTAGAACTATACAAATGGACACCTAATTTACCTAAAATGACATCAGATTTTCTTGAAAAATTTAAAGTTTACCGTTCTATACCACAAGGTGAATGGCAATGTTTTCTTGAATATCAAGTAAGTTAGCAAACTTTTCTAACTTTGTTGCAAGCTACTTAAATGTTTATTCAGTAGCTAAACTGTTTTATTTTAAATATTTGTGTGCCAAAGTGGCATTCAAGTTATTATTTTTCAATGACTTGAATTCCCAGAGTTACAAACCAATGCAATTTGTGATTTTTAAAGCATTATTTTAATGTCACAATGAACTAATTTACAGAAATACACAGCACTGTACTTTTGATTGATTTTTTAGCATTCATTAACAAGTTTTAAACATTTGTATTTGCAGTTTGATATTTACCAATCTCAGTGATCAGACTTATTAGGCATATGGGCATTCTGTGAAGGTTTGTTTGGATGTAGACATTAAGTCACAAGCACTATTAGCAGAGATTAATAGTGGTTGAAAATGAAATCCAGAGTTTCCGTTTCGTGGATGTACATGAACTCTGAAATGACGGTACATCCAGATGACAAGTCCCGAATGGGATGAAATGCACACTTTCTATTTGGACTTATAGAGTTGGGTAGTTTTATTCAGCTAATCGATCACTTTTGACTCTTGTCAAAAGAATTCAATACTTTGTTTTCAATCTACCTACTAGTTGGGATTTTTTTAAAAATCTGATGTGTTTTCAAAGCATGCTTCAGATCTTGTGATGTTTGATAGTAAATTTATATTTTCGGGCAGAGTTTTAGAGGTTTGTGTTTTTAAACATTTTAAATCATCAATCAATCATTGTTAGACCACCATTAGAAACCTGGAAGCACTGAAACAAGGCCGTTTCGTCCTGGTATGGGACTCATCAGCAGTGCGCATCCTCGACTCCTGCACCTCGCAGGATTCAATCAACTGTCGAACTAGACTGTCTTTTAGAGAGAAAAAAAGTGAATCAGAGCGATTACATGTATCCTTTTAATTGGCTGAACTATAGAAACTGTCATCATTTTGATTAGGTCAGCTCGTATCACTTGCTCGTCACATCGTATATATTCACTAAATGAGGTATTGTAGAGTATTTTTATACCTCCTACTTGCGTGCAGGGCTTCTAACTGTGTTGGCATCTTGTTCTACCAGACGACATGTAAGGAGATAGATGTGAATGAAGTAGTATTAAGATTAAATAACACTTTTCAAGAGCTTGTAAACTTTTAAATGTCTATTCGCCATCATATTTATGATAACTTGAAAAGATTGACCACCAAACTGTGTTAAATACCTTCAACATTCTTCACAAAACGTTGAAATTCTGTCTCAAGAAAGAATGATGGTGAACAGTAAATGATGAAAGGTATTATTTAAGAACTTACAAATCGTGATAGATAATGCTGAATAATGTTAAAATCATGTAGCCACTTTATGTAACAAGTCCAACTGAAAACTTTATTCCACATCAGTAACATATGAGAAAACCAAAAGAGATCAGAAGAAAGATGTACACCAAGTAAACTAATCCATGACACTGTTCTTATCACGGAATCTTCAACATTACAGACTTCATAGGATCCGAACAAGGTGCTGAGGTCCTGTTCATATCTTAGGCTTGAGCTTGACCGTCTTTGAGTGAGCGATAGGAACTCATTCATTTACAGGGGATGAAAATAGGTAGAAATCTGTGTTCATACAATTAGATCATACAGGAAAACAGAGAATAGAAAAGGGTTAAAAGAACAGCTCTGTTATGCTCGTCAATTGATATGCTTGAATGCTATTACGAGTTCCCATTACTCGGTAAGCGGAGCGAAGACACGTGATGCAGTGACACGATAGGATAGTCTAATCCATTTGTCCGCGGCCCGGCTAACTATATCAAGAGGTTTTGATAAAGCGTAGAAAGTGTGTTCTACAAGCACTCAGAAAATACGAGGTCGATAAGCACACAAATCCAGCTTATTTATACATGATAGACACGCCCTTGGTGATAGCCACACAATAGCATACTAAAATAATTTATCAACCAATGATAGTCAAGGACTTTCAGAGTGAGATACGTAATCTCAAGGTCAGCTGAGCGGCTTATGCGCGAAAACACAAAACATCCAAAATTAGCACCTTTTCCAAGTGAGTTTTGGGGATCTAACGTTCCCAACAAGCTCCTTATATCTCAACTTCTTGACTTAGTAAAGTCACTGGACACTTTCCTCCAAGTATAGTGTATCATTCTTTTCCAGAGAGGTAGGAACACAGTCATTAGATTATCTAATGTGTTAATATTGACGCCAACAAGTTTGTTTAGTATTTGTCATCTGGGTTTAAATTCAAAGATAGAATTGCAGTCTGGAAACGTTCCTGTAAACATATTTCTTAGCCATTTCTGAGTTGAACAATAGAATACCAAACAACGGATTCATTCAAATCATGAATCAGTGATTGTTAGACGACCATCATTAGAAACCTGAAAGCACTGATTGATTGTTTCGTCCCATTATCGGACTCATCAATAGTGCGTATTAACGATCTCCGTACGCGAGAATCAAACAAAACAGAGTGTTTGAGTCCATGTTCAGGTCTCAGGCTAACACAATATCTTGTTTTATAACGAATCAACAAACACACCCTTATTCAGAAATCAACACATTAAATCAAAAACATTTTAATTGAGCCAGAACTACTCTCATTCATTTGATATGACTAGTTTAGTCTCGTTTGTGAGTTTCCGCATAACCTTCATCTTTCTTTTCTAAAATTTATTTCATTGAATTAGACTCTTTCAATAATATCTTCAAATCTCAATCTTTCTCATTACAGATAATACTTCTGTAGTGAAGGAGAACACAGGTGAGGGCAACCGAATTGTATTTAACGAAAATTACAGAGTTACTCAGTAAAATAAGAAAACCATATCGTAAACGGTTAATTTGCAAATCTTCAATCTATCATCATTCCATTGTCACTATTCATGCGTTTCATACAAATTCCATTGTGTTCCCACTCTTCCTTTCTTGATCTCTTCCCCCATCTTCTCTTCTGCCCGACATTACGTTGACACTCGCGTCATATACTACTTATAAGTAGCGCGCACCACACTTCTACGACCTCTACAAACAACTATGGGATATGAATCGATAATGGCATCTCTGTGCTATCATGCATGGTATAACAACTTGAACTGATGTACGTGAGCGTACCAAGTTCTACGTTATCACTGACTGACTGACTAACTAATTAACTTACCAACTACTTACTCTCTTTCATATTTCTTAATTTAAAAATGATAATTGTTCCCAAAGTAGATATTCAATTCGTTTTCTTTTCGCCAATTTTAGCTTCAACCAATGGTTGAATCTTATACAACACAATATATCACAAATATGGTCTCAACTCAACATTTTTGTCATACAAAAGCTAATCAAACTATACAACAATCACGTCATTTACATCAACGTTATTTAGATAATATATCATTTCAACTGAATGCTTATTTATTTCCAAAATTAATCAATGACAATGATTCATGCCGTCTAAGTCCAATGAATTTGGTTGATACAGGAAGTCAGCATTTTTTACCGCCAAACACAACACCAACAGCTCCAACAACAACAATAAAACAACGTTCTGTGTCAGTAATGAATACGATTGATCAAAAATTTCGTCGTGATCGATTATCGACTGTGAGTAGACAAATGCGTGAAGAAGAAATGAATGACAATTATCGTTTCATTGAAATGGATAGGATAAATCAACAAACAACTTATTGGCAAGCTTTATCTTATCGATTAATGTCCACATCATTTAGTGCTCCATGGTTTATAAGGTAAAATGATGATAGATATACTCGAAATTATTTTGAATTGATGATTTGTGTTTAATGTCAATTCGGTATGCTTGTTGAAACTATGACGAGTTTACTTTAGTTGGAAAAGGAGAGCGACGAGGATCAAGGATCCAGTGATACGACAGGCTACTCTAATCCGAGTGTCCCAACCCCTTCCCTATTGAGTAAAAGAAGAAGACTTGATATGAAGTAGAACATGTATTCTACAAGCATCCAGAAAGTACGAAGTCCGAATCCAGAAAAGAATCACCATCCCGGACTAGGGATCCGGGTCTTGGTCCAGGTCCTGGTCATAAAACGTTACACATAATGCGCATTTATACATTTTGGTCGAATAGGAAACAACATTGGAGCACGTGACATTGATATCTAGGACGACCATAAAATTGACCAGTAGGAATTAACCAATAGTAATTGACCAATAATTCTCTGAGGATATTGGATGTATATCCTAACAAGCACTGGGCGGTCATTTTGTCTCATAGAATGGGACTCATCAGATGTGCGCATCAACGATTCCTGCTACTCACAGGATACGAACGTAGGATATTTGGTTCACGCCTAACCTCTGTTGATGAGTCCCATAATATAGGAAGAAATGGTAATCCAGTACTTTCAGGTTCATCTACGAGCTCGCTATAAGCAGTCGAACCTAGAACTTTTCCTACAGTTTAACGCTTTTTACTCAAATCACTGATACGGCATTGAACTCTGAGAGTTATAACTTTACCCTAGAACTCTGAGAATCCACTCTCGTAGCTAGTGACCGTATGATAGTTATGAGTAGAAGGTTGGCGAGATTATCGAGTGTTCCTTGAATCGATCAGTGTTCAACCGTGTTCAGTGTGAGACAGTTAGCTAAAGAGGATAATGAATTATGGTCGCTTAATATTGTGGATTGGATGAATATCTCAATATTCATCCAATATCCCAAGAGAATTATCGGTCAATTCTTATTGGTTAATTCCTAATGGTCAATTTTATGGTCATCCTAGATATCAATGTCACTTGCTCCAATGTTATTTCTTATTGGCCGCACTGACTATCAATGTCACTTCAAATGTTGTTTCCTATTGGTCGTCTTAACTGTCAATGTCACAGATTTCGATGCTGTTTCCTATTCGACCATTACCTGTAACGTTTTATGACCAGGACCAGGACCAGGACTCGGTCCCGGATCCCTAGTCCGGGATAATGATTCTCTTCTAAACTCGGACCTCGTACTTTCTGAATGCTTGTAGAATACGTGTTATACTTCATGTCAAGTCTTCTCATTTTTACTCAGTATGGGGTTGGGATTATCGTACTCGAGTAACATGTCGTGTTGCCGGATCCTCGATCTTCACTCACGTTTTCTGACCAGGTAAACTCGTAATAGTTCAAACATATCAAGTTGACGTGTTTACGTGCAGGCGTAACAAATGAAGTTGTAAAATTACACCACTGGATGCAGACTCAGTAATAAAGAGGTTAAGTGGGCATATGTAACACATTTCCCAACCAAATTATGTACCAACGTACCAAACTTCTACATTGTAGCTGACTGACTAACTTGTGCATATTGCGAGATCTTACAGCGGCTGATTTGATTTCGTTTTGTGATCATTGATAACTTATCTTTGCTAGAAATCGTAAATTATATTAAAGTGTCTTTCATTTTATAAGTAAAATTATCTTTTGTAATGATTTTTACTGTTATTCTATTGAAATCATGAATCGATCATTGTTAGACTATTATCAGAAACCTTGAGGCACTGAATGACCATTTCGTCGTGGTATAGTCAGTCAGTCAGATGCAACGTAGAACTTCGTACGTAAGTACATCAGTTCATGTTGCCATACAACATCAGCACAGAGATGTAATTGTCAATTCAAATCCAATAGGAGTAGAGTTAGTAAAAGTATTAGGAGTAATCGGAGAGGTTATGATCAGAAGATATTATTCAAGAAGTATGATTCAATGAGAAAAGTTTAGAAAGTCAAAACTAGAGGGGTTGAAGAATCCAGGAGATTAGGATTTGAGAGAACACAAAGAATAAATGAACCTGTGCCATTGCAACCGGTTTTGAGCCATGTCATTCGAAGTCTCTAACCATCGATTATTATCTTCTCGCGGACCCTAACCAGGTGGTCGACAACTACCGATATGGCTCAGTCCACTCGTCAATGACTTCATGGATTTCTGCCATGTTTTTGTTTGGCCGCCCCTAACTTTCTTCCAATTTATTCCTACACTACAAAACAAAGCTCGTCGAGGCAATCGGTGGTTAGGCATTTACAACACATGTCCCAATCACCTCAACTGATGAAGTTTCACCACTTCATCTATTGATCTGCCATTTTTACCTAGCACCCGTTTCCTAATAACAGCGTTGCTCACTCGGGTGTCCCATGATATACGAGCAATGCTTCGAAGACACCTATGGTCGAAAACCAATAACCTACGAATATATTCTACTCTGACTGGCCATGTTTCATCATGGTATATGACTCACTAGACTCATCAGACCAAAGTTCCTCGATTCAAATCCTACAAGTTACAGGTTTCAAGCACATGTTCTGCTGATCTATCCCCAATCAGGATGAAATGGCCATCCAATACTTCACGGTTTCTAAATAGTAGTCTAACATTGATCAATTCATAATTTCCAAAACATAATTCAACCCTCTACACATATTCTCCCTGTTACATTTCCTTCGTTTCGTTTTTTTTTCTCTCTCTCTCTCTCTAGCTATACAAAAATTAAACATTGGCGTTTATGTGAACTGGAGACAATTTGTCGTATACGACCAAAATTAGAACCAAATATCAATTTCCAGTTACATTTAGATGCTAGTGCAGAAAGAGATGGTTTAACATTGGCTAATTTTATCCAACTACGTATGAGACCAGTTTCATTAGATGATCGAACATTATCCACTGGTAATTTATCAATTTATCAATCGTCTTCTACACTGAGAGCATCATCAAGTGAGAGTAGTTTAGAACCATTACAATATGATGAGAGTAAAGTGGAGAAAATTAGAAATGATTCTGAAAAACTTTTATTCATGAAACATATTATTAAACATCCTCCATTGTCAAATCAATCATCTGTAGATGAAAATGATGTTGATGTTGGAGATGATGAGTTGGATGATGAAGAAATTGATTATGCCAATGATCATCGACGTGGAACTTTAATACCAGATGATTCATTGAAGACTCCGTAAGTTTTTTTGTTTAACATTTCTGTAATTTTTCTATACATTTGAAATCATCCAGTCGATCATTGATAGACTACCACCATTAGAAACCTGGAAGCACTGAGAGACGGCCGTTTCGTAGTGGTATGGGAGTACTCATCAGCAGTGGCAGTGAGCATCCACAACTCCTGCTCCTCGCAGGATTCGAACTCGGGACCTTCGGTATTGTACGCGAACGCCTAACCATCGGACCACTGGGCTGGCATCCAACGGTGTTAATGTCTGACTCTGATTGATCTAGGGATTTTGCGTGACCTCACCTATTTATTTGTCTTTGGTAGTTACTGCCTACACATACCCAACAGGGTTGAACTCTATTGGTCACGTCTTCTCAACTAGAACTCCGAGAATTCCCTCACGAAGCTGGTAGCCACTAGTGAGCACTGTTACGATATGTTGGGGCAGAGTTTTGGAGGTTTGTAATTGTTGTTTTAATTCTAGTACAGTCAAGGTGATATGGATTGGTGACCTTGAGAGGTCACTTATCAGCCAATCAGCTAAAAGTCATAAAAATATCATCTGGGATAATCATTTTGATTTGATGAAGGATCAACTCTCATAGATCAAAAGGTGAAGGTTAAATCCACCTATAAAAAATCGGACTGGTGTTATTAGTTACAGTTATCACGCCACAAATTTTTCATTAGAGTTTGAGATCAGTTATAATACAAAAAGGTTAGTGTTAAGTATTAAAACGTAGACTGGCTTTCTGAGTTTGGTCTTATTAAATTGTTCAGATTGTACTTTATTGAACCTTGTGAAGCAACAACTGGACATAATAGATAGCTGTTTCATCTTATGTCTTAGGTCAACTCGCCAGTGCGCATCCACGACTCGAAGTTGCTGAGTTCTATTCCCATGTGCTTGGGTATGAAAACGCACTGCTGAAGAGGAGTACCGTACTAGGACGACAAGACCGTCTACTACTTCTAGGTTACCACTAGTAATCTACTTAACAATAGTTCACAACTCCAACTATGCATGTCATACAATCACAATGATAGGAAGAACCGACATCAAAGGGTCGGGAATATTAACCCGATTCCTTTTCGCTACAGGGGGACTGCAGTGCAACAGTACTTTGCAGAATACTGAACAAAGCCCGCGAACGGACAATGTCAGGCACCCCGTTTCTGTTCCGATCACTTTACTGGATCACTTGGGACCGCCTGACCCATGGACAACTACTGTTCCTATGAAACCTTTCTCCACCTCGGCCTTCAAGGTTCTCACTTGAATATTTGCTACTATACTGTTATATAGAGCTGAAGGTCTCCGATGAGACTAGAGGTTCGCTGTGAATATTTTGAATAGCTTGACTTTGCTTTGGTAAGCATTGCTAACAGTCCATATACAAAATTGGTTAGCACGGTGACCGATTTCATTGATATAGGTGGTTGTTTTGCGACATTCCCGAGGGCCATTGTCATTGGGGTGCTGTATTACATATCATCACCATTGTTAATAATAATGAGTTTGACAGTCATGTAAGTGGGATGGGTCGTAAATGGCCTGTTCATGCGGTGCATATTGACTGTAACGCGATCATTGATCGGAAATATATATATATACCTGTGTGTGTATCTGAAATGGTGTGAATGGTCCACCAGGGTATCAGGTACCTGTTTGGTGGTTGTACCACAGGATTGAGCCGAACTATTCATGTAGCAATGGTAAAATGTGTCCAGTCTCTTTGGTTCTCCTGAAAACCACCAATGTAAAATTGCCCCCTGTGACACAATACAGGGTAAATTTATATAAATATATCATGTCATACAATCACCATAAATCCCTTTTCATGATAATTTTTTTCAGTCAAATTAATTTACTAACCCAATTTTGTTCTCTCTTCTTATTCATATTTATTGACTTCAGAATAATCTTATTCAATTCTTCAGACATTTCAACTAAAAATCAAATCACCAGCGATTTATTCATTCCAAATAAATTGAAAACAACATTTCAAGATATTGATGATCAGAAATCATTTTTATTATCTAAACATGATTCAAAATCCACACTACCATCATCCCCATCATCATCATTATCATCATCAGTGAACCAATCAAATTCTTCTTCCAATTCCGCCATGTTGTTCAATGATCAATCTCAACGTTCAGTGGTCAATAATTATTTACCACAAACACAAAAAGGCAAAGGAATTCTATTGAGTGTTAATGCACAATTAATTTTTGCATTGAAAGTTGTTGAAGGCATATTAACATTAACATCGAATCGTTTAATATTTGACGCTTCCATTGATAATTTAATCGCGGGTAATTATAGAAATAATTCAATCAGTTCTAGTAATACTACTATTAATACTACTGCTGCTGCTGCCAATGCGATTCAATTATCGATTCCGCCTGGTTATAAAATTATTAATGAAAAACTTGATGTGAATTCAACACAAAATGATCATTGTAAGTGGTGATAGATGATAAGAATATAGTGTTTGATGTTATTTTTAAGATTGATTCTTATTGGTTGGTGTAATTCTAGTGAGCGGAGGTCGTGAATACGTACCAACTGATGAGTCGCATATTTGTTAGGATATTCATCCAATATCCTAAGAGAATTATTGATCACATCCTATTGGTTGATTTCTATTGGTCGAAATTAGGGTCGTTTTAACTGTCAAGGTCAAACGCTTCAATGTTGTCTCTTATTGGTCATCCAGACTGTCAATGTCATTTCAAATGTTACTTCCTATTGATCGTCTTAACTGTCAATGTCACAGAATTCGATGCTGTTTCCTATTCGACCAAAGTGTATAAATACGCATTATCTGAATCACTGAACAGCCATTTCGTTCTGTAGTATAGTACTCATCAACCGTGCGCATTCACGACCGGAGCTCTTGAGAATTTACAGTAATATGTTGTAATTTAGTTTTGAAAGCTCTTCTCTTTCCGTTGCGCCTGCAAGTAAACACGTCAACTTGATATACTTCAACTATTACGAGTATACTTTAGTCGGAAGACGAGGGCGAGAATCGAGGATCCGGTGACACGACATGCTACTCAAATCCGAGTATCCCAACCCCCATATTTAGTAAAAGAAAACAAGACTTGATATGAAGTAGAACCTGTATTCTATAAGCATCCAGAAAGTACGAAGTCCGAATCCAGAAGAGAATCAGTATCTCGGACTAAGGATCCGTGACCGGGTCCTGGTCCTGACCATAAAACATTACAGATATTGCGTATTTATACATTTTGGTAGAATAGGAAACGTCATTGAAGTCTGTGACATTGACAGTTAAGACGACCAATAGGAAGCAACCTTTGAAGTGACATTGATAGTCAGGACAACCATTAAATTGACCAGTAGTAATTAACCAATAGGAACTGACTAATAATTCTTTTTAGATACTGGATGAATATCTTAACACTTTCTTACAAAATAAACTAGATTATTCGTTTTGTAATTTTTTAAATGATTACATTCTTTCGTTTTTTCATAGTTCGACATGTGATTTTTATTCGATACACTTGGTCATTAGCTAAACTATGCGAAATACATTTGCGTCGTTATAATCTACGTCGTTCAGCAATTGAAATATTTTTTGAAAATAATACTAATTATTTTTTTAATTTTGAAACAAAAGTAAGTTAAAGATGAAATAGTTTTTTCTTTTGTCTAATACATGGTCTTCAACATTTAAAACTTTCGAGTTTATTCCGTATATCATACTAACAGAGGATAGAAACGTTCACTCTGATTAAGATATGTGAGACTAAAGCTTCAGGTTTTCTAAAACATAAATTTGAATTATCTTATGAATCTTAATCTGGAAGGACTAGTCTTTTCGATATCATTCAAACGGATAGTATTTTTTTCTCAGGTTTCCATGTCACGCTACAAAACGCAGGTCATCCGAATATAAACCGTTGACGGATTAATTTCAGTGAAAATGTTTAACTACTTATAAGTAGACAAATTCGTACGTCAAAAATAATATCAATCATAATCCTGCTGTTCCAAAATACTGAATTGTTATGGAATTATAGGTTCATCTCATAATTAGGATCAATACTTAGATACTGATTATTCGTTTCGGTTCATATTTAAATCATGCATCAGTGGTTCAGTCAGTCACTCAGTCAGCTACAACATAGCACCCGGTACATGCGTACATCTGTTTAAACTGTCATACTACATTAGTACAGAGAGAGAGATGAAATCTTCAGTTCAAATCCCATAGTATCAGCAGTAATAGAGAAGATTAGGGATCGAAGATATGATTTGAGAAGTATATCCTAGTGAAAAGAAATGAAAAAAACGTCATGAGGAATTCAAAAGGTTAGAATTTGAGAAAAGACAAAGAATGGATGCACCTGTGCCATTTCAAGCAACTTCGAACCAAGTCTTTAACTGCCGGTTACGATTTTCTTGCCAACTCCGACCATGTATTATACACCTACTTACATGGTTCAGTTCAGTTGTCAATAAATTCATGAATATATGCCATGTTTTGGTTTGGCCACCCCTAGCATTCTTCGAGAGTGTCCCTACATTAGACAACATAGCTCTTTGAGGCAGTCGTTGGTTAGGCATACGTAAGACATGTCCAAACCGCTCATCATTGAGTACTGACTAATTCTGAGCAAATTATACTCAAGACATTACAAACCTATACAAGTAGAATGGTTTACTGGTTCCATATCTACTGATTCAAACTAGCTATTTGAGTGAGCAGTCAACAATGGGAAAGAGATTCTAATTTGGCTACGAACAATATAAATAAAAATATTCCTTTACCCCAGAAAATGAATCCATTCCACGACCATTGATATGGATTCGTCCATTAGGACATTTGTGATTGGTTTTATTAGTGACTGGTCCTCCATTTTACCCTTTATACTTTATTATATTTTTGACATGCTTGAATGCTATTACGAGTTCACTTTACTCGATAAACGGACAGAAGATCGATGATGTTGTGACACGATAGGCTATTCTAATCTGATTGTCCCATGCCTCGCTAACTAGAGCAAGAAGCCTTGACAAGGAGTAGAGTATAACTTTTACAGGCACCCAGAAAGATTGAGATTACTAAGCACATAACTCAAGCTTATTTATACAATTAATAAAAAGCCCTTGATGAGAGCAACAAAATGGCATACTAAAATAATTCATTCATCAACCAATGACAGTCAAGGATTTTCCGAGCGGGAAATGTAAGCTAAAGGTCAATTAAGCGACCTTAGCGCGAAAACGATGAAATTCAAAATTTTATTATAAAATTACAAGTGAGTTTTGGGGATCTAACGTCACAAACAATTTTAAAGTGGTCTTATATGTTAAAATGTTTAGATTATCTTTTATATTTAATTTAAAAAAGGTTGTTTGAACATTGAACATTATCTTTTGTCCAATGTTTTAAATTGAATGACCACTTTCTTTCTTTAAAAAAACAATCTAGATTCGTAGTAAATTCTATTCAGTCTTAATGAATTTACAATTACCAAGGTTAACTTATTATAATCAAGGTCGTAATCCTAGAGAAACACTCAAATTATCTGGATTAACTGAAGTAAGTAAGCATTTAACAAGTTAGTTTTATTCATTTTCAATAAGATAATTAATTTTCATCAGAGAACTGTGAAAATTGTTGAGTTTCGTCGAAATCATGAACTGACTATTGTTAGACGATCAGCATTAGACACTTTGAAGCACACACTGGACTAATTATTAGCTTCGTGAGAAACTTTCCGGAGTTCTAGTGAGAAGATGTGACGAGTGCAGTTCAACCATGTTGAATGTGGGACAGTTACCCCATGAAGACCATAGGTGGTAAGGTTGCTTAACACCTTAGATTGAGTAAAGGTAGATATTAGCACCGTTAGATCCCGGGTTATTGGTTCGAAGGTTGGGTGTTCGATTCCCACGAACGGCGTCATGGAATCGCATACTCGAGTAAAACAGCCATTCAATGCTTCCAGATTTCTAATGGTGGTCTAACAATGATGGATTCATAATTTCAATGAAACTCATTAATCTCTGTAACTCTGTAATGAAAAATCATTACTTAAGAATTTGGCGAGTTAGTTAATTAGCGATATAGTGTGACCATAATACAATTTGATTTCTGATATGGTTGTATGCTACTAATCAAAACTTGTCACTATAATTTTTGGAATTCTTTTGGAAGCTAGCTTTTAAAATGGGTGCATAGGTATCGTTCCATATCAAAATGTTGATGTATACTACTGAAATAAGAGTGTTGTTTAGTTTTATCTAGTTTTATGTGATCTTTAAGTAATATATGTCTTTAATTCAAAGAATATTCAGGGATACAGTTTGTTAATTTAGGAATTCCTCAAGTTAAAAGAAAATCTACTTAACAAAATGAATTCAAACTATTAACTTTGAAAAGTTTATTAGTCAGTTAAGAATTGTCCAGTCTCGTTCTAGTATGGGACACCTAGATGAGGATCGAACTCAGGAGCTTCGACCCTGTGCGCGAAAGCTTAATTTCTAGACTCCTACTGAAACAGCAACTGACAGTTTTCCTGCCTAAATTGAATCAATCTGTGATACTGTGCAACTATCATCCTTTGTTTTAGGCGCATAACTACTGTAGTGAAGGAGAACACAGGTAGGGCAACCGAATTGTATTTAACGATAATTACAGAGTTACTCAGTAAAATAGGAAAACCATATCGTAAATCGTTAATTAGCCAAATATCAGTTCATCATATCGAACTGGATTGTTCCTGTTGCCAAACATCAATCCATTGTTACTACTATTCATGCGTTTCATACAAATTCCATTGTGTTCTATCTAACTCTTCCTTTCTTGATCTTCCCCCATCTTCTGCTGCCAGACATTACGTTGACACTCACGTCATATACTACTTATAAGTAGCTCGCACCACACTACCACAAACACCCAAAACTGCTGAACTCCATTGGTCATAACTTCTGACCTAAGAACTTTGAGAATTTCCACATGAAGCTGGTTGAAATGGCCGTCTAGTGTTATTTTCAGCTCATTTATAGTAAACAGTTTCACATTTGATTAGTTCATGATTTCAATGAAATGCTAGAATTTTACTTGCTGATCACTTAGAAACTGTTCTGTTGTTCACATTTCTTCCTGTGTTTTTTAGCGTTGGGTTAATAGAGAAATATCTAATTTCGAGTATTTAATGCGTTTAAATACAATAGCTGGTCGAACGTTTAATGATTTGGGTCAATATCCTGTGGTAAGTCAAGACTTCTTGGAAGATGTTTACTTCACATATTGATTTTGGAGTAAATAAACTACTGAAAAATCATAAAAGTATGGAGAGCTGGACAGCCGTTTCCTCCTAGTTTGGGACTCATCAGTAGTGCGCATCCATGACCCTCATTTGTGGGAACCGAACCCATGACCTTCTGTTTCGCACATGAAAAATGAACCTTTAAACCACTGAGCTGGCATTCATTGATGTTCATCTATAACTAACCGCTAGCAGGATCACGGATGCGCATTGATTAGGAGGGTCCTTTTGAAATCCTCTCATATGATCAAGCGTATATATAACTTTTGACAGTGAAGTCCTACTAATTGCCTTCCTATGTATGGCTCAGGCGAAAATCAAAGATCTAGCATCCTAACGGAATAAATGACGTATGAACCTATAAGTTGTCACCGGTTACCATGCGTCTGGATCATCTGACGTTACTCTACTGACTTTTGTATTAGACTTGCGAGTCAAAGATTCGGTGAGCTTCGGTTCGGGCATCACGACAACATCCCATTCCACTTACAAATCCAGTAATTCTCTTGGCGCATACTTATTTACATATTCCTTAGTACTAATAGTTTGGGTAACATTGAACTCTGACACAAATGATGCTCTTTGAGTTGAGTTTGATGTGACATTACAGTTATCCACCTCACATCATGGATAAAAATTGCACAATATCGTAAACTAAACACCATCCCATAGCTTGTTCAGTAATCTAGGCATTCGCATGATCAATCTGAGATCTTGGATTTCGTTCCATCGAAATGGAGTCGTAGTTGAGCACTGCTTGAGTTCAACTATGTCAAGTGTGATATGCCTTAAAATATTACCAATTCAAGAAATAGAATTCAGTTTTTGTGTTCTCTCAAATCCTAATCTTCTGGGTTCTTCAACACCTCTAGTTTTGTCTTTCTAAACTTTTCTCACTGAATCATACTTCTTGAAAAATATCTTCTAATCCTAACCTCTCCGATTACTTCTAATACCTTTACTACCTCTTCTACTATGGGATTTGAATCGACAATTATATCTCTGTGCTGATGTGTTATGGCAACATGAACTGATGTACTTACGTACGAGGTTCTACGTTGCATCTGACTGACTGACTGACTTTGAAATATAAGTTATGAAAATATGTGTGACATTTGCACTATGGTGATGTGGAGACTGCTGAGTTACTTTTTAAAATCATCAATCGATCAATGTTAGACTACCATCGGAAACCTGGAAGCACTGGACGGTCTTGTATGGGACTCATCAGTAGTGCCGGTATTTGACGATGTTATTGTTTAACTTCGATCAATTCACGATCTTGCGCAACCCCATCCACTAAATTTTGTGAGCACTGTTTCACCCTCGGATAGGCCTTAACCCTACTGGTCACAAATTCTTACTAGAAGTCGGTGAAGCTTCCTCATGGGGCTATTCATCAATGAGCACATGTAATTTGCATTATGGGGTTGTGGATCGAATTGGAGTTAGGCGTTCACACCATTTGATATCGGCTTGGTAGTCTATAGGTTAGGCTTTAGCGCGCATTACCCTAAGGCCCTGAGTTCGAATCCTGCTTGGTACAGGAGTCGTGAATGCACACTCCTGATGAGTCCCATGCCAAGACGAAACGGACCTCCAATGCTTGCTTGGTTTCAAGCGATGGTGTTATTGTTTTTTATACTTTCAGAATGTGTTTTTTCTCTTTTCATTTTTTACAGTTTCCTTGGATTTTAGCCGATTACACCTCATCAGAAATAGATTTATATTCAGAAAAAACATTTCGTGATTTATCACGACCAATTGGATTAGCTAATCCAAAATTTATTAATCAAGTTAGAGAGAAGTAAGTCTTTGGATTAAATCTAGCAATGGAATATCTATGATGTACGTTTTCATCCAATTAGGAACTCATCAACTGGTGGGCAAACCCTAGTACCGTTCTTTTTTTAAAAGCAAGCATGTTTATTGGTTGAGGTAGTGAGTCTAGTTAGCCATTGACTTATAAAACAGAAATATTAACAACCTGATATGCCAAACTTTTTTTGTATGAGTGAATATCAATTCTGAGATATGGTCCGGTAAAAGCAGCTGATGAGTCCTAAGTAGGATGAAACATGAGTCCTAGATTCGATTGTTAGCCAAACTCTATGTATTCTATATCAACTTGTGTCGTAGTAGTATGTATATGGAACTATATCAACTATACAAATTACTTACTAACTAACTAACTAACTAACTAACTTACTTACTTACTTACTTACTTACTTACTTACTTACTGACGCCTGTTAACCCTTAGGCGTTTGATGGAGATGAGATTGATAAAAATATGCTCACTAGTGACTAGTTTCGTGAAGAAATTCTTGGATTTCTAGTCAGAAGTCGTGATTAATGGAGTTCACCCCTGTGGGGTGTAGTCAATAACTACCGAAGATAACGAGTGAGGTTGCGCGAAAATCTAAGATTCTTCAGAGTTAAGCATTAACGCCACTAGATTCTGGCTCAGTGGTCCAGGGGTTGGGCGTTCAAGCCCAAGACCGAAGGTACTGGGTCCGAGTCCAGGAACGAAAGGGCAATCCAATACATTCAGGTTCCCCATCTAACTGTAATCTAACATTGATTGATTCATTATTTCAATTTTATTCACTGGTTGGGACGTAAGATCCCTAAAACTCTCTTGGGAAGGATCCTCATTTTGGATTTTTTATGTTTCGGCGCATAAGTCGCTTAGTTGACTTTCAGCTTACCTTTCCCACTCAGAAAATCCCTTACTGTCATTGATTAATGTATTATTTTAAAACGCGGTTTTGGTGGATCTCCAAAGGACGTTTCTATCATGTATAAATAAACTCGATTTGTGTGCTTGTCAACCTAGTATTTTCTGGTTGCTTGTAGAATACACTTTCTACGTCTTATCAAGACTTCTTGCTCCAGTTAGACGGGCATGGGGACACATGGATTAGAGAAGCTAATTGTGTCACTGTAGCGTTGATTTTCATCCGTCTACCGAGTAAGGTGAACTCGTAATAGCATTCAAGCCTATCATTTGACGAGCATATCAGTGTTGTGCTAACATTGATCTATTCATGATTTCAAGGTAACTGTACTACTGTCTGTCAATCATCGCCATTCATCATTTCAGATAATCCGACAAAGTTTATTTTACATTATTGAGACCATGAATCGATCAATGTTAGACCATTATTAGAAACCTGGAAGCACTGAAAGACGGCCGTTTCGTCCTGGTATAGGACCCCACAGCAGTGCGCATTCACGACTCCTGCACCCCGCAGTATTCGAACTCAGGACCTTCGATATTGTGCGCGAACGCCCTAACCGTTAGACCACTGAGCCGATATCTAACGGTGTTAATGTCTAACTTGATCAAATTCACGGAGTTGCGCAACCTCATACCCTGTATACGTCTATCAAGACTTATTGATCTAGTTAGCTAGGCCGGAGACAAACGGAGTGGAATAGCCTATCGTGTCACTATATCGTTGATCTTTGTTCCGTTTACCGAGTTCGGTGAACTCGTAATCGCATTCAAACAAATCAATTTGGCAAGTATATCAAAACAATTTTGTGATCTTCTCCTTTTCTGTTCTTAGATATAATTCATTTGAAGATCCAAGTGGTATAATGCAAAAATTTCATCATGGTACACATTATTCAAGTGCAGCTGGTGTATTGCATTATCTTGTCCGGTTGGAACCATTTACAACGTATCATGTAAATTTACATGGAAATAAGTAAGTGACAATAGAAAATCCTACTAATGTTATGCTTCAGTTTCCATAGACAAGGTTTTATATTGAGTTTTTAAATGGATATAGTTTGTTCATTGTATGCTCTAATCTTCTTATTACTGTCTTGTGTTACAAATGACGGTAACTTTGGAAGAGCTTCAGTTTGAGTCAGTTATTTTGAACAGTGAATATAAATGAAAGCTAGAAAAAACTCGATCGTTGTTATGTTCCACAGTAGGATCATGTTGGGATATTCATCCAATATCCTAAGAGAATTATTGGTCAATTCCTATTGGTTAATTCCTACTGGTCAATTTTATGGTCGTCCTAGATATCAATGTCACGTACTCCAATGTTGTTTCTTATTGGTTGTCATGACTATCAATGTCACTTCAAATGTTGCTTCCTATTGGTCATTTTAACTGTCAATGTCACACACTTCGATGATGTTTCCTATTCGACTAAAATGTATAAATACGCATTATCTGTAATGTTTTATGGCCAGGACCAGGACTCAGTCCCGGATCCCTAGTCTTTGATCCTGATTCTCTTCTGCAATTGGGACCTCGCGTTTTCTGGATGCCTGTAGAATACACGTTCTACTTCATATCATGTCTTCTTATTTTAACTAAATATGAGGGTTGTAATAATCGGATTTGAGTAACATGTCGTGTCACCGGATCCTCGATCCTCGCTCTTGTTTTCCGACAATGTACGCTCGTAATAGTGCAAGTATATCAAGCTGACCTGTTTACCTGCAGGAGTAACAGATCACTTTATAGTTCGGTGGATACTACTCACAAACTCACATATAAGTAGTAAGCATCGCCTAGAATTTGTTACCACAGAGAAGAGGCTCAGGCGGTTGGTATGCACGGCATGAACCCGGTATGTTGAAGGTCAGAAGCGACGTAAGAGAGAGGACAGACAATATCCTGATTGGATTCCTAATAGATGTTTAATTTATGAGCCCCAAACTATTCCTCAGAAAAGTATAGAGTCTCAGAAACACCGAAAATTGCTTTATCCAATCAACATCGAGTAGAATCATGAAAATATCTAAAAAGTGCTAAGATTCTGATTGGATATATAGTCTCACCTTCCAGAACCTTCCAGAATTTGTTGTATAAATATAGTCTAATGTTATTAGAAGCGGATAAGAAATCTGATCTTGTGTTCATTTTGAGCAGATTTCTCGCGTTTGAAAGTTATGTGTTCACATTTTGTAGATAAAGAGTGTTTCTTCTAAGTATATGTAGTCTTGACTTCTTACGTTACAACAGGTTATATTCATTTTTATGTTCAGGTCAATTATTTACATCAAATGCTTATTGCTGATTCAAAATGAAGTTTTTTTAACAAGAGTGAAACAGAAACCCTGTATAAATACTTATTGATTTGTATACATTCATACTACTTAGAAAATGAATCCACTTCTTGGCCAATGATATGCATTCGTCCTTAAAGGACGTTTTCTATTGGTCATCAAATGAGCTTCTGATTTAGCTATTTCTGATTGGTTCTTAAGAATAAAAGCTTGTTATGATTGCTAGTAAAAAAATAATTTTTCCAAAACTTTATCGTTTCGATTATAACTATTCACAATTCTGTTTCATTGACCAAGTAATATAATTCCGAGAGTTAAAATTTATATACTTTGAACATTTTTATGATTATATAGAGGGAAATTTTCCCATCAAATTCTGATTGAAAAAAAATGGTCATGTCGCCGGCATAATTAACTTTGATCTTAACATTTTTTTAAGTCCTGGATATTAACTATAACCTCATACTATTCCTTATCATTTTTCGTGGTTTGATAAATGATATCTCGCTTTTATTATATATTACAATGAAAACTGAATCCGAAACCAAAAGATGAGTTTTTTTACTCTGTGATGAATAAGGTTGCAGAAAACATAAATTTAGTAAATAAATTTCAGTCATCCACTTCACTTACAGCTTTTCTTCGGTAGGAAAATTCATGTACAGAACAGTCAAAACACAAGAACTCCGTAATGATGTGTTGTGTCACAGATCTAAACGTGATACCTGCTAAATCTCCTGACTGAATACTATTTGAAAAAGAAGACAATAATGGGAGAGTAATTTTGTTTAATTGCCGACTTCTATACATAAACACTTGTTTAAATATGTACATTCAATCTCCTTAGAAAATAAATCTATTTCCCAACCAATGATTAGCATTCGTCCTTACGGGACATTTTCTATTGGTCGTCAGATGACCTTGTCATTTGGCCACTTCTGATTGGCTCACTGTCATTGTACCGTTTATTTTATCGATTAGTGCTTGAGCTGTTACTTATTCATCATAAATAATCATTTTTTCTCAAAAAAACCCAGATTTGATGTTGCCGATCGTCAATTCTATTCCATTCCAAATGCATGGCGTTTTATATTAGATAATCCGAACGATAATAAAGAACTGATTCCGGAATTTTTCTTTCTACCGGAATTTTTACGAAATAGTAATAGTAAGTTACATCATACTCATTTCTACCGATGTTAATAGTAAGGTTTGTAGGTTTTTGTTTAAAATAAACTTTGCGGGGTTGTTGTGAAGATTATTAAGTTACTTTATTGAAACCATGAATCGATCAATGTTAGATCACCATTTGACCACCACCTGGAAGCACACTGGAAGCACCCCGCAATGCAAATATATGTGCTCACTAGTGACGACTAGCTTAGTGAGGAATCTTCTCCGAGTTCTAGTGGAAAGTCGTGACCAGTGAAGTTCAAACGTGTTCGGATGTATACAGTGTATGAGGTTGCGCAACTCCATGAATTTGATCAAGTTAGACATTAACACCATTAGATACCAGCTCAGTGGTCCGATGGTTAGGGCGTTCGCGCACAATACCGAAGGTGCTGGGTTCGAATCCTGGGGCGTGCAGGAGTCGTGGATGCGCACTGCTGAGGAGTAGTCCTATACCAGGACGAAACGGCCGTCTTTCAGTGCTTCCAGGTTTCTAATAATGGTCTAACATTGATCGATTCATGGTCTCAATAATGTAAAATAAACTTTGTCTGATTATCTGAAACGATGAATGGCAATGATTGACAGACAGTAGTACAGTTACCTTGAAATCATGAATAGATCAATGTTAGCACAACACTGAAATGTTTGTCAGATGATGTACCTGAGTGCCATTACCAGTTCACTTTACTCGGTAGACGGACGAAAATCAACGATACAGTGACAAAATAAGCTTCTCTAATCCATTTGTCCCCTACCCGGCTAACTAGATCAAGAAATCTTGATAAGGCGCAGAAAGTGTATTCTACAAGCAACCAGAATATATGAGGTTAACATGCACTCAAATCGGGCTTATTTATACATGATAGAAACGTCCTTTGGAGAGTCACACAATAGTGTGCTAAAATAATCCATCAACCACTGACAATCAAGGACTTTCCGAGTGGGAATTGTAAGCTCAAGGTCAACTGATCAGCTCATGCGCGAAAACACAAAATCTTAAATTAGGACCTTTACCAAGTAAGTTCTAGGTACCTTACGTCTCCAACGAACATCATCATCAACCTCTATAACTGAAATACAACTGTGGTGACCCATTTACTGAGTGTTCTTAAGCTCGGTAATTAGCTCGTCTAGACAATCGTCACTAACTAGCATCTGACGGTTTATAAATCAGAGATGTGATAGGTACATCCAGCTAGACACGGGTTGCAATCAGGAGGGAATTGTTATGCTCGTCACTTGATATGCTTGAAACTATTACGAGTTCACCTAAGTCGATAAACGAGAACAAGACAATGAACCAGTAACACAGTAGGCTACTCTGATCCATTGCGTCAACTAACTGAAGAGGAAAGTCTTGATTTAGCGTAGAAAGTGTATTCTAGAAACGCCCAGCCAGAAGACAATGATCTCAAGCACACAAATCGCCTTTTCTTACACATCATAGAAACGTCCTTGGGAGATTCACAAAAATTGCACACTAAAATAACACATCAACCAATCACAACCAAGGATTTTCCTGGTGGGAAATGTGACCTCAATGTCAACTGATCAGCCCATCAATAAAATCCAAAATTAAGACATTTTTCGAGCGAGTTCTTGGGATTGAACGTTCCCAACAGAATTGCTCATCTCAAATTCCAACACTGCTAACCATTATCTACCTTTTCTAATAATGCTTGAAAACTATAGGTAACATCTAGGCACTCCGTACAGGATAAACACATATCGAAGCGAAGACTAATCAGTTTTACCTTGTTGTGTATAGGCTATCAATCAGCAGTTTTCAGTCTATTCTGTTCTGGGCTCTACTTTTCACTTGTTACTAGTTGCCTTTGATTCGATTATTGTTTCCCAGGAAGTGTTCATTCGTTTAACTTTCTTTTCCTCTGGCCATGAGGATTCGAAGTGAGGGCTTGTCTCGTGACGCAATTAGGTTCTTTTCCTTAATGTGTATCTTATCTACTTTCTGCGCTACTTCCTGATTTCTTCCTCCTCTAGAGTCTGATTTATTCTCTTCCACAGTACGTTGTTGCTGATGGTGTCTGGCCAAAGAATAAACACCTGTATCTATTGGATATTGGCCTAGGTAGTTCACTAACTGTCTTGACGTTCGAATTGTGACTCTGATGTTGACTGGCCAACTGTTGTTTTAAGTTCCAGATGTTACCGTTGCTCTTTGCTAATCAATATCTTCACATCTTCATAATTTCTAATGTCACTACACTCCATTTTCAATGTATACATTTATATCCACAGTGTATGAATTCAGTAATCACAAAAAGGCTTTTACAACTTAACATTGACACTTGATCCCTATGAATACATTTGTACGTATTTATTTCGTTTAAATTTGTTTTGTTTGTTTGATTTTGATCCTCCATCTTGAAAATATCAACTTATAAAAATTAAAATACTCTCTAAAATATTCTTCCTTTCTTTGTTTTAACAAACAAACGAACGAACGAACGAAAACAGATTTCGATTTAGGTTATCGTCAATCCAATCAAAGCCGTATTCATGATGTGGAATTACCGAATTGGGCTAAAACACCGGAAGAATTTATACGTAAACATCGTGGTGCATTAGAATCGGATTATGTTTCGGCTCATTTACATCTATGGATTGATTTAATATTTGGGTAAATCAATTTCGATAAATTAATTGGTTATCTATTGAATGATATTTTCAATTAGAGTACACATTTGAATTGATCAATCATAACTCTAATTGAGAACATTGTAAAATGTGCTCACTAGTATGACTAGCTTCGTGAGGAAATTCTCGGAGTTGTAGTGAGAGAAGACGTGACCAGTAGAGTTCAACCCTGTCGTGTGTAGGCAGTAACTACCAAAGACAAATATAGGTGAGGTCACGCAAAATCTCTAGATTGATCAGAGTTAGACATTAACACATTTGGATGCCGGCCCAGTGGTCCGGAGGTTAGTCGTTCGCGCACAATACCGAAGGTCCCGGGTTCGAATCCCGTGAGTAGCGGGAGCCATGGTTGCGCACTGCTGATAAGTCCTATACGAGGACGAAACGGCCGTTCAGTGCTTCCAGGTTTCTAATGGTGGTCTAACAATGACTTACTGATGATTTCAAGTGTGTAATAACACTTTCATTCAATACAAAACATACACCAATCTAATCACACTTGACGGAGAAGCTTTGGAGGATTTAACAAACCTTTACATATCTGGACAGTATCGTTGATAACCGAGGTCGATCTGATGCAGATGAAGAGGCGGGGATTGGCAAAGCAAGGACAGTATTTCTACAATTGAACAACATATGAAACTCAAAACAACTATCAATCAACATCAAACTCATAATTATCAATATGAATGTCAAGACATTTCTACTGTATGGGACGGAAACTTGGAGAACCGAAAAAGCCATCATCCAGAAGATACAAGTGTTTATTAACAGTTGTCTACGCAAAATACTTCTGATCCGTTTGCCAGATACTATCAGCAACAAGCTACTGTGCTAAAGAACAAATCAGATTCCAGCAGACAAAAATATCAGGAATTTAATAGGCTACGAATTGAGTAAAGTTCCCGACTACGTCACAAGAAAATTCCTCACTTAAAGTCCTCAATGCGAAAGGAAAAGAGGATTGCCAAGGAACAAATTACACCCAAAAATGAAGACAGACATGAGCAGAATGAGCGACAATTGGACAGAACTGAAAAGGAAGGCTGAGGACATACTAGGTTAGGAAATGGTGGTTGGCGACTTATGTTCAAATGAGGGTAATAGGCTTAAGTAAGTAAGGAGGTAAGTATTTTCATTAAATAACTGTCCACATCCAAAATAATGATTTATTCTCACCCTTAAGAAAAAAACTATAGTTGATGATTACTTGTGAATACTTATGGTTCAAACAGCGGTAAGCGTCCGCGCGCAAGCCCGGAGGTCCTGGGTTGGAATCTTGAGAGTAGTGCTAGTCGTGGATACGCACCGCGGATGTGTCCTATATCAGGATGAAACGATCGTCTCTCAGCGCTTCCAGGTTTCTAATGTTGGTCTAACACTGATCGATTCATGATCTCAGTAATGAATACCTAGAAGCACTGGATAACCATTACGTCCTCTTATGGAAATCCTCAGCACTGCACACGTACGATATGCCATGCGGAAATCGAACACAAGAACTGTGGTCACATACTTAAGCATTTAACCTGCAGACCATTGTGTTGGCATCCAGTAGCGTTAATGTCCAACTTCAATCAATCCACGATGTTACATAACCGTCATCCATTATCTTTTGTGAGCATCTGTCTCCTACACTACACAGATTAAACTCCACTTGTCATACCTTCCAAGTAATCACTGAATGGCTAGTTAAGATCAAATGCTTTTTCGTCATGTTCAGTTTTAAATGTCTTTTTCACATTATGCCTATTGTTATCATTAGAACTTTGAAATAAAAATTTTGGTATCACTGAAACCTCGAAAAATATCCATTAACAATTGACAGTTTGATTTTTCGACTCGTTGACATGAAAAAAAGGAACACAGATTCATAGATTTTAAGAGTTTATCAAGAGTTGTCATTAGAAAAGTTTAAGGATAAGTATAAATGACCTCTGTATTTTAGTAGAGTCAGAGTGGTTCAGGATAAGTGATATGCTCGTCAATTGGTAGGCTTGAATGCCATTACGAGTTCAACGAACTCGGTAAACGGAACGAAGATCAACCATACAGTGACACGATAGTCCCCGGCCGGCTAACTAGATCAAGAAGTCTTAATAAGGCGTAGAAAGCGTATTTTACAAGCACCCAGAAAATACAAAGTCGATAAGTACTCAAATCGACTTTATTTATGCAATGGTAGAAACGCCTTTGGTGAGAGCCACAAAAATAGCGTACTAAAATAATCCATCAACCAATGACAGTCAAGGATTTTCCGAGTGGGAAATTTCAGCTGAAGATCAGCTGGCGCAAAAACATGGAAATTCAAAATCACAGATTACAAATTACAAAATTATGACTTTTTGACAAGTGAGTTCTAGGGATCTAACGTCCCCAAAAAATAGCTACCGACACTTTTGAATAACACATTAGTCAATATTCGAAAATGAAGAAGACTTACTGTTAAATAACCACTAAAAACCTATTGACAACTATATTTTGCTCAAGTATGGCGATTCTTTTCAATAGGAATCCAAGATGTCAACTGGGGGATCGAACCCAACATCTTCAGATCCCTTAACAAGCATTTTATTTTCAAAACTATGGGGTCAAAATGTAATCATTTGATTATTTCATCTTTTATTCACTTATTCACAGTTATAAACAACGTGGTCCAGATGCAGTTGAAGCATTGAATGTATTCAATTTTGTAACTTATGAAGGTGCTGTTGATTTAGATAAAATTACAAATCAATATGAACGTGAAGCAATGGAAAGTATGATACAAAATTTTGGCCAGACTCCAAGTCAATTACTTAAAGTAAGTTTGACTAATTTTTGTTTATTGAGAGTATTTAAGGGGTTGTGAAGAATGTTAAGTTACACATTTGAAATCATGCATCGATCAATGTTAGGCCACCATTAGAAACTTGGGAGCACTGAAAGACGGCCGTTTCGTCCTGGTATGGGACTCATCTGCAGAGAGCACCAACAACTCCTGAACCTCACAGGATTCGAACCTAGGACCTTGGGCCTTGTGCGCGAACGACTATCCTATGAACCACTGAGCAGGTATTTAATGGTGTTGATGTCTAACTTCGATCAATTGACGGAGTTGCGCAACCTCATACACTGTCTTCGGTAGTTACTGAGCACTGCTAATGAGTCCCATACCAGGACGAAATGGCCGTCCAGTGCTTCCAGGTTTATAATGGTGGTCTAATATTGATTGATTCATGATTTCAAAAGAAAAAGTTGAAAAACAAGATCTGTAGTTTGTGATCATTAAGTATGCAAAGCTTGGGATTAGAAAAAAAAGTGCCAGGTAAAGATACTTACTTACTTACTTACTTACGCCTGTTACCCCCAATGGAGCATAGGCTGCCCACCAGTTTTCTCCAACCAACTCTGTCCTGGGCTTCCCTTTCCAATTCTGTCCAGTGTTTGTTCATTCCTCTCATATCTTTCTCTATTTCTCGGCGTAATGTGTTACTTGGCCTTCCTCTTTTTCCTTTTGCCTTGAGGATTTCAAGGGAGGCTTGTCTTGTGACTCAGTTTGGTGCTTTTCGCAATGTGTGCCCTATCCACTTCCACCGCTTCTTACTGATTTCCTTCTCCACTGGAATCTGGTTTGTTCTCTCCCACAGTAGGTTGTTGCTGATAGTGTCTGGCCAACGAAGTAGAAAATCCTCATCAGTTGAGGTGGTTGGGACATGTTTTACCAACTGCATTAATGTCTAACTTCAATCGGAGAACACAGGTGAGGGCAACCGAATTGTATTTATCGCAAATTACAGAGTTACTCAGTAAAGTAGGAAAACCATATCGTAAACGGTTAATTTGAAAATCTTCAATCCATCATCAATCCATTGTCTTACATTTCACCACTCTTCCTTTGTTGATCTTCCCTCATCCTCTGCTGCCAGACATTACGTTTACACTCGCATCATATACTACTTATAAGTAGCGCGCACCACAATACGTATTAAGTTGTACGTTCCCACTGACTGAATGACTATAGGGTATGAATAAGGATTTTGTGTCGCTTTAGGATGATAAGTTACTTACTTACGTACGCTTATTATCCCAATAGAGCATTCTCCAACTTACTCTGTCCTAGGCCTTCTTTTCTGGTTTTATCCGCCTAGATCCCTTCTGCGGTTACTGCCGGTCCCAAGCTTGTATAAAGGAATAAGGTTTGGCATGTAGTTAGCGATCTCATCCTGCAGAAAACTAACTCGCTGAAAAAAGCGCTAACCGGAAAAATTAATTCAAACCATGAGATAATAAAAGGAACTATCTTTACGGTATTTATTCGTAATTTTAATGTATAATTTATAAAACCTATTTTCTGCAAATAATCTACTTTGTTTAACTGATAACGATAAGCTTCCCTTTCTGTTTGGTCAACGCAGTGGTTGTGGTAGGTATACAGAAATTTATAGGTACAGGTGACGATAACGTTGAAGAGTTGCTTGTCAAATTTTGACTGAGTTATTGAACATGTTCAACGTTAAAACTTGGCTGATGGGTACTAGATATCCGCCTACAGGTGTTTGGAAGCCCTGATTTCAAACCATTTCAGCTCATGAGTTCTAGGATTCTGAAGAAACATTTGACATATGAACATATTTTTAATCACCGAATATCATAGTGCTGTATCTTACACCGTTGCTCCAGTACTTTGGGGATTAAACCTGAAGGGCAGCCACCCGTCGAGTGTCTCCTCCTAAGCTAACCATCTACTTCCGCTTAGGCACCCGTTTAATATCATATCCCATTCCAACCACAAATTCACTAGTCTATGGAGCGCATAAATTGTTATGCTCGACTCTAGGTCTGCTTAAACTATTACGAGTTCACCTTAGTCGAATAACGAGAACAAAACAATGAACCAGTGTCCAGGTAGGCTACTGTGATCCCTTAACCAAAAGGTATCAACAAGAAGTCTTGACATAGTGTAGAAATTGTATTCTACAAACACCCAGTCAGCACACAATGAATCCAAGCACTCAAATTGCGTTTATTTATACTCTATAGAGACGTCATTGGGACAGTCACAAAAATAGAACACTAAAATAACACAGTAACCAATCACAGCTAAGGATTTTCCTGGTGGGAAATGTGATCTCAAGGTCAACCGATCGGTCCATGAAATAAATCCAAAATAAAGATATTTATCAAGCGCGAGTTCTGGGGATCAAACATCCCCGACATAAATATTTAGGTGTTTCTTTGTAACAGTCATTCAGAAATAAATATAATAAAATTTTACGGATTTTTGTGCGATCTCACCCATTTGTCTTTGGTAGTTAGACATTAACAACCGTCGGATGCTGACTCAGGGGTCCGATGTTTAGGCGTTCGCGCACAATACCGAAGGTCCCGGGTTCGAATCCGGCGGGGTGCAGGAGTCGTGGATGCGCACTGCCATTGATGAGTCCAATACCAGGACGAAACGACCGTCTTCCAGTGCTTCCAGGTTTCTCTAATGGTGGTAGTCTAACAATGATTGATTGATGATTTCAAATGTGTAAAAACACAAAACCTCGAAAACTCTGACCGAAAATAAAATTTTAATTAAATTCATTTTGTACATTTTGTATGTGCAACTTGTCTGATTTATGAGTATCTTTATTCTTTGAGTAGACTAGTAATTTAAAGCGAACAATTATGGCCATGTGACAGTAAGTTAATAAGTTCAGAAAGAAATTTAACGTACAGATTAATTGCACAAATAAAGTGAAGTAACTTTGTTTAAATCTCACTAATGAAATCAAGGACTGATCGTAATTAGAAACCTTGAATGCGATGGATGTCTGTTTTGTCCCAGCATGGAACTCATCAGAAGTGTATATACATGAGCCCCAGGACCTTGTGTCTCGCTTGAGAATGTTTAACCACGTTATCACTGAGTTGGCATCCAACGGTGTTAATGTCTAACATTAATCAATCTTGTGCCGACTATAAGACTAGCTTTAAGTCGGATTCTTCGAGTTCCAATCAAAAGAAGTGATCAGTGGGGTTCCATCCGTCTTATGAAGAAGACAGTTATCCGCCTGAAGATCATCATTTGACTGAAGCAAAACATTAACACAAATGAATGCTGACTCAGTCATGGTTTAGAGGTTAAACGTTCACTCACATGCAGTAGAATGTTCTGGGTTTGACTTCCGCCTCTGGGCTAGTTCACAAATGTGTTTAAAACGAATTACTTGTCTACTTAATTGATAATACAACGATGCATTGATCAATGTTCAGTGTTTAAATCTGTTATGTGAATTAGTTTATCGTTTATTGAATATAATTTTTCTTCTAATCGAACAGGTATCTTGAATATACATACATGGCTTAGGAATTTAATTACTCTAGTATATGTATTTAGGTTAGTTGAAGACTGGCTTCTGCAAATTAGATTGAAACAAAGTGAATATCGGCTTTCCAAAATTATCCCAACCCCTCTTATTTTTCATAAATTCATTGTCGATTGAATGATTGTGTTTGTTGTCATGTGTGTGTGTGCCCCGCCCATAGAAACAAACACACACGCACACACACCAAGGGTGATGATTCAGCATTAAAATATCACCTTCACACTTCAACTACTTTCTCAGACTTTGTGAAGACTTTGTACAAATCGATATGCATAGATAGGCCTAATAGGTTTACACGAAATACTGACGAATAGCACTTCTATATGCAGTGAAAAGATATAGTGTCTAGAAAGATATTGATAACTGCATATTCAAATTATCTAGCCAATCAGAAGTAGACAAATGAGAAGGTCATTTGATGGCGAATTCATTTGATTGGTCAAGGAAAGGATTCATTTTCTAAGGAGGTGAAATATATATATAATATATTCCTTAATTTCGTTTACTCGCTCAGGTAGTCAGTTTGTAGTAGACGGGGGAGTGTCAGAACATAGCAAGATTCCATTCTTGGACACAGAATATCACAACAAATCCAAGTGTTGAGGACGTTAGATCCCTCAAACTCACTTGAGAAAGGTTCTAATTTTGTAATTTATTGGTGAAATTTTGAATTTTCATGTTTTCGCGCATAAGACGCTCGGTTGACCTTCAGCTTATATTTTCCGCTCGAAAAATCCTTGACTGTCATTGGTTGATGAGTTATTTTATAGTACGCTATCTTGTGGTTCTCACCGAGGGCATCTCTATCATGTATAAATAAACTCAATTTGTGTGCTTGTCAACCTTGTATTTTTTGGTTGCTTGTAGAATGCAATTTCTACGCCTTATCAAGATTTCTTGATATATTTATGAGGGCCAGGGACAGACGGATTACAATAGCCTATCATGTCACTGTATCGCTGATCTTTGTTCCGTTTACCGAGTACGGTGGACTCGTAACAGTTTCAAACATATCACAGAGCTATGAATCTTTCCGATTATTTCTACATATTTAAGTTTATTTCAACTACATATAATCCAGTTTGACTATCAGACAGATCATCCCTAAGTTATTTTAGTGTTAAGTTTCCTCTTGTAATACTGATAATATTATCAAGTCATGAGCTGATCAACTTCAGACTACTATTGAAAACCTGCGAGTACTGGAAGGCCATTTCGTCTGAGGATGGAACTCCTTGTCAGTGCTAGCCGCAAAATTATGGCTTAACATCATTGGATGCCAGATCAGGGGTTTAGAGGTTAAGCGTTCTCACGCAAGACTGTAAGTCCTAGTTCCGGGCGATGGACGCGCATTGTTGAGGAGTTCATTGCTAGGATGAAGCGGTCATCCTTCGCTTTTATATTTCTAGTGATAATCTAACACTGATCGATTCGTGATTTCAATGAAACCCAATGATCTCAACAACTTTACTTTATTCATGAAACTACTTGAATATTAGTTTCACTCTGATGCACTTGCTAGTGACTAGTTTCATAAGGGACGTGACCAATGGAGTCCACTCCTATAAGGTGTAGGTAGTAACTACAACATTGGAGGCCGGCCGGCTCAGTGGTTCATAGATTAAGGGTCTGCAGGCAAGCCCGAAGGTCCTGGGTCCTGATTCTCGCCAGTAGCGGGAATCGTGTACCCGGTAGTGAAACTACTACCCAGTGCTTACAGGTTTCTAATGGTGTTCTGACAATGAATGATTCACAATTTCAATGATAATTCCCAGTTTGTCACCGAATATTATCACGAAAACCAAATAGAATAATTTCTAATCAGAATAATTTTCGTATTTTTTCCTTCAACCTTCTTATGAAAAACACACACACACATGCAGGAACCACATCCAAAACGTTTAACCTATTCTGAATGGTTATCTACATTGATCAATCAATACAGATTACCAGTCCTATGTTTATTGACAAATGCCGCCAATTTAAAAACTGACCCGATCATATCAAAACACAATTTGTCAATCGAATCATCGTCATCATCATCATCACCAGCTGCTACTCATCAACAAGATTCATTTGATCAACCAATAACTACTATTACTTCTACTACACCGAATAGTTTGAAAACAACAAGATTTTTTCAACGATTTCTATCTGATACGATATATAATAATAGTAATACTAACCAAAATACTGATACAACAAATTCCATATGTCAAACGCATACAACATTGAGTGGTGATAAATTACAATTATCCAAACAAATATGGTGTGATGATTTAAGCTTTCCGCAATTTAATGATGATTACAACAAGAAATTTGGTTTAACTATTGAAACATTGAATTTGACTAACGCTACACCGACACAATTGAATTCAATTTATCTCGCCATTATTCCAGCATTTTGTTGTCCGTCGAAATTAGATTTAACTATACCGAATTCTTTAAATCCTGATAAATTTTACTCAGATATGATACGTTCACCGACAGTTAATTTGAAAACACGTCTATTCTCTACAAGTAGTGGTAGTTCGTCGATGTTAGCAGCGGTCGCTGCTTCAGCTGCGACTGCCACAGGATTTATGACTAGTTCAACATCATTGTTATTTGACAATGATATTACAACAACCACAACCACAACAAAATTATCGCCGTTATCGAAAAAATCACCATCATTGTGGGATCGATTATCTTCAGCTGTTTTCACTGTTAATCGTAGAGGTATAGTGAATCGTTATTTTTGGATACCAACATCAGATAAACAGCAACCAATGGGAAATGATGTTGATCGGACAAGTGAACCACTTGAACAATATAATTTATGTTATGATTCTTATCGTACAACACAACATGGGTAAGTTTTATGAAAAAAAACAAAGATATTACTTGGTTGTTTTAGCTCGAAAATTTGTGAGTGTTTTTGCTCCGTTGGAATGAATCATTGTTAGGTTATCATTAGAAACCTGGAAGCATTGAACAGCCGTATCGTCTTTGGTTTGGTGAGTCATCAGTAATGTCCATCCACGACTCTTGCATCTCACAGGACTCAGATATCATGAGCTTCGGGCCTGGCGTGCGGACGCTTAACCTCTAGACCAATGAACAGGAATCCAACGGTGTTAATATCTAACTCGGATCGATCTAATGTTTTGTGCAACTTCGTCCAGTTGTAGTTGATAGATAACAACTGCCTGCACTTGACAGTGTTGAACTCCACTAGTTATGGCTTTTCACTAGAACTCCGAGAATTTTTCTCACGAAGCTAGGTGTTAGGTGTTGACGCACAAAAACTAAAGGTCCTGGGTTACATTCCTGCGAATAGCAGGATGAAACAACCATCCAGTGTTTTCGGGTTTCTAATGGTGGTCTAACATTGGTCAACTCATGCTTTTTAAAAGAAGCTTAGAAATGTCAATTCAATAAAAGTTCAAATAGTAGACATATGGTGATCATTTTGGGGTATAAAGGATAGAGAAAAGTATACTATGAAAGAACAGCGAATTGTCGCATTACCCTTAGGCTAGTCAATGCTTCAAGATTATCGAAGTAAATTCAAGGTTGTTTCTGTACACATTAGGGGGGAGGTTCGAATACACGAGGGATTCTATCAGGATTTCCAATACAAATATCAAGACAGTTCTACTGTATAGAGCGGAAACTTGGAGAACTACGAAAGCCATCATCCAGAAGATACAAGTGTTTATTAACAGTTGTCTACGCAAAATACTTCGGATCCGTTGGCCAAACACTATCAGTAACAACCGACTGTGGGAGAGAACAAACCAGATTCCAGTGGAGGAGGAAATCAGGAAGAAGTGGTGGAAGTGGATAGGACACACACTAAGAAAAGCACCAAACTGAGTCACAAATCAAGCCCTCACATGGAACCCTCGAGGTAAGAGGAAAAGAGGAATGCCAAGGAACACATTACGCCGAGAAATAGAGAAAGAAATGAGAAGAATGAATAAAAATTGGCGAGAAGTGAAAAGGGAAGCCCAGGACAGAGTTGGTTGGATAAAACTGGTGGACGGCCTTTGCTCCATTGGTGGTAACAGGCGTAAGTAAGTAAGTAAGCTATCAACCTCAAAGTTCATTCTTCAACGTTTCTACACAATGTTTTGTTGGCTGTCTTGATGTCAATCTTATGCTCTGTCTCATTTATGTGTTTCGCAATCGATGGTCATGGTTTTCTATTCCCCATGTTTATCAGGTCATCAACTGATGTTAACTGATTTCAAAGCTACTTACGTACAAGTTTCAATATCCTTGACTGCAATGTCCGATTACACTTCTCAATGTATGTGTGACTAGATTGTTCGAAATGTATTACGCAAATATATCAAAACTCTGTAATTTTTCAGACCACCTACTTCTTCTCATTATTCTATCAAGAGAACTGATAATCTTATCTGAAAGGATCAATCAATCATTGTTAGACACTACCATTAGAAACCTAGAAGCACAGGATGGCCGTTTCGTCGCAGTATGGATGAGGTCTCGCGAAATCTCTAGAACAATCAGATTTAGACATTAATACCGTTGGATGCCGGACCAGTGGTCCAGACGTTAGGTGTTCGCGCGCAAGACCGGGGCTTCCTGGTCCGAGTCCTGCCAGGTGCGCTCTGCTGATGGATCCCATACATTGAGACGAAACTGTTGTCCAGTGCTTCTTCCAGGCTTCTAATTTGGTGGTCTAACAGTCACTGACTGATGATTCCAAATGTGTAAAAACACTAATCTCCATTACTCTAATTGAAAAATCTTATCTGAAAAAATAAGACAGAACACACGAAATGGTAGAAAGGAGGAATAATATCGTAAGTTCTGAAGGTTGTTGAATTTCATTTGAAACCATGAATGAATCATTGTTAGACATACTACTATTAGAGAAACCTAGAAGCACTAGAGGTCCGTTTCGTCCTGGCATGGGACTTTTCAACAGTTCGTCTACGATCCTCACGTGCGGGAATCGAACCTAGGTTATTCAGTATTGTGGGATAATGCTTAACCTTTGGATCAGTGAGCCGGCATCTAACAGTCTTAATGTCGGTTGTCCCACTGCTTTCACGTCTCTAATAATGTTCCAACTACAATGATCGATTGATATCAGACAACCTAGAAGCAGTGGGTAGCTGTTTCGACTTAATATTGGAACTCTTCAATTGTGTAGATAAATAACCTTAAAAAACGTGAAATCGAACCCAGTACCCCTTTTAATCACAGTGTTAGTTTCGCATTTCAACCAATCCACAACTAGTCTTTCTATTTTTTTCCTAAATGACTCATTTCATGGAAATTTCCAAATCCTGCGAGGTGCAGGAGTCGTGAATACGCACTGCCAATGAGTCTCATACCCGGACAAAAACGGCCACCCAGTGCTTCCTCCAGGTTTCTATTACTGGTTTAACAATGATTGACTGATTAATAATTTCACTGTACAGCTAACTTTTTTATATCATTTCTTATTTTAAAACAGTTCTATTGGACCACTTGATCAATCATGGATTCAATTTATTCAAACTAAACAATCTTCCCCAACTTCTAATAAACTTGATGAAATATTTTGTTTAAATACACAACCGAAATTTGAACATACTTCACAAAACAACATTATCGGTGCACAATTATTCGCATTGACTACTGACAATAAATGGTTATTTGCTGGTGGACGCTGGGATGGACGTTTAACCATTTACAATATGCATAAATCCCAAATTAAATCCATTCTAACTAGTCCACATTTACAAACTATCAGTTGTGTTGCTATTGATTCCGCTTATAATTTAATCGATCAACAAGCATTCAGCGCTCGTCGAGATATGAATGATGATGATGATGACACTGTGGAGAAAATCAATAAACCTACCAGTTCCAACCCGCGGGAACAAAATCCCATACGAACACGATATATCATAACAGGTAGTTGTGATGGGACATGTGCAATATGGGATTTTGATATATTAGATCAAGAACAAGACAATGAAGATCATCGTGTAAATGATGGAGATAAAGAATTAACCGAATTTCAATATGATGATTCACCTTTCAATGTCATCAAACCATTCAACAATAATAATAATAATGTATTTTTTGGCACTCAAGGTCATCAATACAACCAAGGTGAAATTCAAAGCTGTCCGCCACAGTGTACAATTTCCATTGAAAATATTGAAACAACTGATCATGAACAATTGACAATTGAACAAAATGTACCGCGTAAATTATTACATCATAATTTTTTCTATTTACCACGAATGGATTATAGTGTCCAGTATAAAAATGCCGCCATACCATTTTATCCTTTTAATGCATTCATATCAAATCAATCAAAATTGAAACCATTAGCTAAAATTATTAAGTTTTTTCATGGGAATGCCAATGGTACACCGGTCAAATGTGTAGCATTGAATATGACTTTAGACACAGCATTGATGGCAACGAATTTCTGCAACGAGATTTATTTATTCAGTGTCAAATTATCAAATTGGTCACGTGTACTACAGTTGGGCAGTAATTCCCCGTGGAATACAAATGATTTATTCTTTCCAATTGATAAATATCCCAATATATCGAATGAACAGTATTATTATTATTCTATACATCATTTATTAATCGCGCCAAGATTAGGTTTGATCTATGTTCAATGGAATTATCATTCACAATTGAACGTTATCAATAAAAATCAACAAGAGATTGGACCAAAATTAAGTTTATTCAATTCAACAGGTGAGAAATTAACGGAAATCTCCTTGCTAACATGTCTCAATTCTGACAATGCTGATAGTAATCATTTGACTCAGGATGAACCGAATCAAATTCTTGTTACACGTTTACTCCTTACTTCAACACCAATTTTATCAAGAGAACAAACTATGCAAAAAGTCAATCAATCTAATCGTATTATTTCGAAACATTTACTATTATCATTTAATACTGGAGATTTTATAATTCTACTAGCTGAAACTTTAACACCAATTTATCATGTGAAATTAGATGAAGGCATTACAGATTTATCGCTAGTGTCTAATTTGACAATGAATGGATATTTTATTGAAGGTGTTCAATTAATGGCTTCACTGAGTAATAATCGTTTAGCTATTTTTCAAACTGTACGCGAAAAAAAATCCCTAATAAAAACAAATAAATGCTCATAATTATTGAACATATAATTCAAATAAAATTTAAGAAAAAACAAAAGATGAATTTACTGTATTTTGAATAACAAAAATTATTAATTGAAGGTGTTCAATTAATAATGGCAAGCATTATTGGTAAAATAATTATTTAGTGGTTATTTTTCAAACTGTGCGGAATTAAAACAAGTAAACAAATTGATTAATTCAAACAAAATCTTGAAAAAAACATGAATTTGTTACATTTTTGAATAAAACTTATCAAAGGTGAATTTATGGTTGTTTAAATTAATGAAAACGAATTAAAATACATGAAATAAAAACAGAAAGCAATCATATTACAACATATCAATTGTATTCAATGTTCAATTTTTCGAAATTGGTTTATACTGTGTTTATTCTGTAAATAATAACATATTGTACGTTACAAGTATCCAAAAGTGTTTACTTTGCGAAATGATTGTTGCTATCATTATTATTATTATTTTTGTGATTTTGTACAATTCTTGTTTTACCTCCAACAATATTCAAAATAATGAATTTTTTTTAAAAAATACTTTTGTTTTGTTATTGTTACTACTGACAGTAAGTATTCATTTGTAAGATTAAAAAAATTACAGTTTATCAGTTGTGTTGAACAATGAACGCTGACCATTATTTTGGATAATTTTTACATATATATTTATATATTTTTGTACATTTTATAAATGATTTATTTCGAAGAAAAATTTTGTTTTAATGATTAGTTTATCAAATAAACAAACAATTGAACAAGAATTGACTATTGAATGCTCGTGTTTTTTAAAACCAAACTTTTGTTTATTTTTGTGGATATTTGAACACAGATTTTTTTTAAAAAATCTGATGATACATCCTATTGTAAATGGACTACAACTGATTACAAGTTTTAATAACTAACTAACTAATTAATATTTTTTTCAAAAAATTTGTTTTGTTTTTCTAAAAAAACAGATGATTTTTGAATGAATAAATAATGACAGATGATTTTGTTTTTATTTTACAGTTTTGTATTTAGTTGTTTGAATCTTTAAAAATTGATTGATGTTTACGGAGCCCAGTTGGTCAGTCTCCTCTTGTTTGGTATATATGTGTATCTTGTGCAGATTGACATGATATTGCCTATAGGTTACAAGGATAATTAGCTTACTTACTTACTTACTTACGCCTGTTACTCCCGATGGAGCATAGGCCGCCCAACAGCAGCATTCTCCAACCAACTCTGTCCTGGGCTTCTTTCTCCAGTTCTGTCCAATGTTTGTTCATTCCTCTCATATCTTTCTCTATTTCTCAGCGTAATATATTCTTTGGCCTTCCTCTTTTCCTTTTGCCTTGAGGGTTCCATGTGAGGGCTTGTCTCGTGACGCAGTTAGGTGCTTTCCGCAATGTGTGTCCTATCCACTTCCACCGCTTCTTCCTGATTTCCTCCTCCACTCGAATCTGGTTTGTTCTCTCCCACAGTTCGTTGTTGCTGATGGTGTCTGGTCAACGAATCCGAACTACTTTGGGGTAGTCAACTGTTAAAAAACACTTGTATCTTCTGGATGATGGCTTTCGTAGTTCTCCAAGTTTCCTCTCCATACAGTATAACTGTCTTCACATTTGTATTGAAAATCCTGATTTTGGTTGTAGTTGAAAGTTGTTTGGAGTTCCAGATATTTTTCAACTGTAGAAATGCAGCCCTAGCTTTGCCAATACGCACCCTCACATCTTCATCGGATCCACCTTTCTCGTCGATGATGCTGCCCAGATATGTAAAGGTGTTAATGTCCTCCAAGGCATCTCCATCAAGAGTGAGTGATTTGGTTGGTGCATGTTGTGTTGCATCGAAGAATTTAGCTTTTTTCTGTATGTATGTTGAGACCTACTGCTGCAGAGGCTGCTGCTCCATTGGGGGGTAAAAGGCGAAAGTAAGTTAGCATTAATTTAGCGGAAGTGTATAGTGGTTAGCAATGGTATTCAAGGCGTAAGTTTAGTCTCATCTGGATGTATTAGCATTTTAGAGATGATGTTCACTTCGGGATTCGAATCAACTGGTAGTTTAAGTTTTATAGAAAATGAGATAGACGGAAAGCAAATGGTTGTAATAGAAATAAAATTTCAATTTAATTTCTCCAGAGATTAAACCAGAAAGTAAAAGAAACGGTTGAACCGATTTCGGCTCTACACAAAATTCTAGTTTTTACAGACATATGGCAATTACTTTGGCAATGCTAAGAAGACGGTCGTCAGTTACCTTTTGTCAACTTGCTATTCTCCTTAACAGATAACTGTTTGAACGCACAGTTCATTTTGATGAAATGATCTGTGCTCACAAAGTATCTGATTGTTGAACTCTTTACTAACATGTCTTTTCAATCATTAAGCAGGATAATATATGCTGTAATTCATTTGGATAAAATATACGACCCAAATACCAAACTCTTCATGAACAAATAAAATCTAAAATCTGTACGTTTTTCATAATTCGCATCTTTGTCGTTGTGTGTCTACACATATAAGTAGTTTTACATTATGGAGATATGAAAATTGTTGTTATTGATTGAACTCATGAATCAATCATTGTTAGACCACTATGAGAAGCCTCGAAGCATTAGATGACCGTTTTGTTCAGGTTGCGCAAAATCCCTAGATTGATCATAGTTAGGCAGTAACACTATCTGATTCTGACTCATTGTTCTAGAGGTCAGGCGTTTGTTCTCAGAACCGTAGGTGGTTGGGACATGTGGTACGAGTGCCCAACCACCGACTGCCTCGACGAACTATGTTTTGTGGTATAGGATTAGGTTGGAAGAAAGTAAGGGGCGGCCAAACTAAAACACGGCACAGATCCATGAAGTCATTGACGAGTGGACTAAGTCATGCTGGTAGATGTAGTCTACCTGGTTAGGGTCCGCGAGACGAAAGTCACCGATGGTTAGAGACCTTGAATGACATGATTCAGAATCGTTTGCGATGGCGCAGGTGAATCCATTCTTTGTGTTCTCTCAAATTCTAACCTCCAGAATTCCTCATCATCTCTCTCTATTTCTAAAGTTATCTCACTGAATTATACTTTTCGAATCATATCTTTGCTCCCTAATCTTCTTCATTACTGCTAATACTTCTACTATTTCTATCACTACGGGATTTGAACTGACAATTGTGTCTCTGTGCTGATAAGGTATAGCAACCTGAACTTTTGTACTCATGAACCAAGTTCTACGTTGTATCTGACTGATTGTCTTGGGTTAGAATCTCGCTAGTTACGAGTGTGGTGCACCTACACTGCTGACGAGTCCTATATCATGACGAAACGGCCATCTTTCAAGTTTCTGATATGTTTACGTTTTTATTTCTTAGAAATTTTTTCCAGTTCAGCATCATACTACTTTTTATTTTGATTATCTTTCTGTTAAAATTTTGATTACACAAATAAGAATGTTTATGTCTATTTTGCGTTTGATTGATATGTTTAGCGTAGTGTTATTATTACGATTATTTTTATTATTATTATTATACTACTATTATATTTCAGTGTTAAAAACTTAGGCGCCAATCATGATTTGATTTTCTTTTGTTTAATTTACAGTAATATAAATACTTAGAATTAAATTTTTTTTTATTTTACGGAAGTTTAAGGTCATTTAGTGCAAGAAAAAAAAGGAATATTCAGAGTACTTGTGTGTGTGTGTGTGTCTGTGTGACTGGTTGTTGAGAGGAGGGAGAGAAGAATGAAATTATAAGAATCAGTGTATTTCGCATGAATAGAAAACTAGAAGTTGACAAAGTATGAGTTACATACCTTATATATTATGTCCTCTCAAAAGACCAACTATATCACTTTCGTTACGCCTGTTACCCGCCTTATTCAGCATACACCACCGACCAGCATTCTCCATCCTACGATGTCTTAGACGGCTCTTTCCATTTGTGTTCAATTGTTGTTGATTCTTCTCGCGTCCTTACCCATTTATCGGCGTAATGTGTTCCTTGGACTTCCTCTTTTCCTTTGACATTGAGTGTCCCACGTGAGGGCTTGTCTTGTGACGCAGTTCGGTGCTTTTCGCAGTGTGTGTCTTATCCACTTCGACCGCTTCTTCCTGACTTCTTCCTCAACTGGAATCTGGTTTGTTCTCTCCAACAGTGAATTGTTGCTGATAGTGTCTGGCCACCAAATCCTCAATAGTTTGCGTAGACAAGAGTTACTTGACCCTTGTATCTTCTGGATGATGGCTTTGGTAGTTTTCCAAGTTTCCGCCTCATGTAGTAGAACTGTCTTGACAGAATTTCACCTCTAACAGCACCATCCCTCTTAACCATTACTTTGGATCGGAAAACCAACAAAATAGAACCGAAGTCCTATTTCATTATTCCATGCGAGAATTTTCAAGCGCATAGGCCTGCTTTGAGTACCCAAATTTGTTCAAAGTGAAAGATGCCGTCCGCTCCCGACACCCGGTTAAAAGCATCCGGAAGCATGCCAACAGGACAACAAGACAAGCTCATCATCCCATCAACACCTGTAATCACAGAAACGGCTGAAAGGCTGCACAGTTACTACACCCCCAGCCGAACACAGGTCCTGATCGTAACCAAAACCGCGAACAAGCAACGGCATGCCACCGCACAACCCAGATTCAACTACGAGCTTTTTAACTGCAGCAACTTTAATATACGCTATTGGAGCTGGAATTACCGCGGCTGCTGGCACCAGACTTGCCCTCCATTTGGTCCTCGTTAAAGGATTTAAATTGTACTCATTCGAATTACGGAGCCTCAATTGAGTCCCGTATCCGTATTTATATTCGTTATATTATGTCCTCTCAAAATACCAACCATATCAATTTCGTTACGCCTGTTACACCCACCTTATTCAGCATACACCACCGATCAGCATTCTCCAGCCAACTCTGTTCTGTGCCTTCTTTTCCACTTGTATCCAACTGCTGTTGATTCTTCTCACGTCTGTCTGCATTTCTTGGCATATTGTGTTCTTTGGTCTTCCTCTTTTCTCATTTGGA